GTGGCCTTCTCGCCAGACGGTAAGCTACTGGCGTCGGCCTCTGACGACAGGACGGTCAGGCTATGGGACGCCAGCTCGGGCGAAGTAAAGCAGACACTCAAGGGCCATTCGCACGGGTTCAACGCCGTAGCCTTCTCGCCAGACGGTAAGCTACTAGCGTCGGCCTCTCACGACAGGACGGTCAGGCTATGGGACGCCAGCTCAGGCGAAGGAAAGCAGACGCTCGAGGGCCATTCGGACGGGGTCAACGCCGTAGCCTTCTCGCCAGACGGTAAGCTACTAGCGTTAGCCTCTCGCGACAGGACGGTTAGGCTATGGGACGCCAGCTCACGCGAAGTAAAGCAGACGCTCGAGGGCCATTCGGCCTGGGTCAACGCCGTGGCCTTCTCGCCAGACGGTGAGCTACTGGCGTCGGCCTCTGACGACAGGACGGTCAGGCTATGGGACGCCAGCTCGGGCGAAGTAAAGCAGACGCTCGAGGGCCATTTAGACTGGGTCAACGTCATGGCCTTCTCGCCAGACGGTAAGCTACTAGCGTCGGCCTCTTATGATAAGACGGTTAGGCTATGGGACGCCAGCTCAGGCGAAGTAAAGCAGACACTCCAGGTTGACGATATCATCTACACTCTTTCGTTCTCCGATGACGGTACGGTCCTCCGGACTGATAGGGGATCATTATATATCGCACATCTTTCCCCAGGTAAAGATGTGCCCCGACGAACCCTCCCACTTTCTATATCTGTCGGGAAGCAATGGGTAAGTCGGGGTGAGGACAAAATTCTTTGGCTTCCTTTCGAGCGTCGGACCAGCGTTGTCGCTACTTACGAGAATGTTGTGGTATTTGGGTATGAGTCCGGTGGAGTTTTGATCATGGAATTCGTGTCCTAAACTGCCACCCCACCCACGTCCTCTAAGGGAACACGCTTTTATATTCTTCTGAGCAGCGTTGGAGCGGTAAATAGCTTATTAATTATGGATTCTCCGGCCTTGCATAGGTATCTATTGATCTTACAAACCATCTACCTTGGCTACCATATATAGGCCCAGGACTCTCCGAGCATTGCGAAAGGAAATTGTGGTATGTGCGACCATTAATTGTTGAGCCGACAAAGTGGCAGAGCGCGAGCCAGTCGCGAGTCGGTACAGGAATGCCTTTGCCGCTTGTCGTCTTGGTGTTGTTTGTTGTTTCGTGGTGATCTGCACGGTGGTGATGATCATCTTACTCGCTCACTTTACTACCTAGGACCTTAGAGCATGTGAGCTTAGTCGTAGCACGTGAATGTTTCCAGACCCATCCGCTTCCCGGGGGCTCCCTTGTTAGTCATCAGGTGTGTGCCAGTTCGTTCACTCGGATGGAGGATGCTGGAGCCTCCCTTACAAATGAGTCCATGCTCATCCTCATGCGCGTATCTAGTAGTAGTGCTCATCGTGCTCATCATGCCCAGCCCCTCCCGGACCGAGTAGTAGTAGCAGCCCAGGTCCCTAGCAATTACCCACCCCCCTCGCCAGGGCCATTGTTCTGCCTGCCACCTCGGTGTGCCCCTCCCCCCAAAAGACATATCCGGCATGAAAATCAAATCCACGACCAGCGGCAGGGGGAGGGGAAACAAAGCCTCCTTCCATATGGCTCAATTTTCCCATGCTGAGAAGTTTTTTTGCGCGGCCAAGAGGGCCTAGATTCGTCCATGCCGCAGAGAAGGGAGAGTTAGAGTGCGTGATGAGACGCATTGCGTCAACAAGAAAAAAAGTGAGTGCCAAATCCCAAAACTCTGGGCTGAGCGAGCAAGCCACAGGAGGTACTCGGTACTCCTGCTCCTGTGTTGGTCTGTCGACAAAATTCCAGAAAAAAATTAAAAAACAACCTTAGCGGAATGCCGGAAGTGATGAAATGATAAATCCAATCAGCAAGGGGAGAAAGGGGAGAAAATGGAGAGGCGAGGAAAAGAGACTTTTGGTGCGGCAGCGCAAGGACTGGGCCAATGGCGAGCCAAGTTTCCCGTCCTTCCTCCTCACCTCATAGGGCTCAAATCGAGATAGCAGTAATGGACGGGAAAAATCTCGAGTGGCCGGCGTGACGCGATCCGTCACTCGGTGCGGTGGGCCGGGGGGTGGGCTGGGAGCCTTTCATCCTCCTGCGTGTACCATGTAGTGTAGCTTCAATGCACCTTCGAGTAGGGAGTAAGTACCCTCAAGTCCTCGTAGTTGTTTTGCATCCCAAGGTTCGTGAGGGGAGAGAGAGGGTTTGGCGCTGTGCGAGACGCTAGACGCAATGCGGCAGAGGGTGCGAGAGCCTTGAGACGATGATGGGCCGCCATCGCTGGCTCGCTTAACCCACCACCACGGTGGAGCTCAGCTGCGGCTGGACCTGATGAGGCAAGTCGATGCTCCACGAGGGCGCGACAAAAGGTACTTGTACCGAGTACCCAGTACATTGCTTCCCCCCCTCTGAAACTCCTTGCGAGCTGGCGTCCTTAAGCTTCCGGGTCACCACTGGGTACCGATCCCGCACCAGGCAGCTGACGAAGAAAGAAAGTCTAAAAACTTGCGCGGCCCTTGGGGTCTGTGTTGCGGTTACACGTTACATGGGCGCGTTGGGGGAGGTCGTTCGTAGACAGAAATAACTGAGACTGTGCGAGAGTCATGGCACGGAGACGGAGGGACAGCGAGGAGATAGCAGAGAAAAACTCTCGTCTGATTGATCGTGCGCTAGCTATTGTACATGGGTATCATCAATTTCATCATCGTGTGGACCATGGCCATCCGAAGCAGGCTGCTGCTCCCGGCACCCCTGGCCTCTCCAGTCTGGTTTCTGAAGATCCTCAGATCTGTCCCTTCAACATAGGAAAAAAAAGGCACCCCTGTGCTTCGGTAAGTAAATCGCTCGCTTTGCTTTTGTCGCTGTCCAAATTCGCTTTTCAAATCCCCCAAAAGTTGTCTGAAGTGGCAGTGGTGGTACAAGAAGACATGGGCGTGGTTCAGTGTGTCACGTGCACCATACTGGGTCTTCTCTCGTACGTGTATCCGTATGCTACCGAGTCGCTCGGATATGAGTATTGCGTGTCGTAGCTGTAAGAGAGGTCGTATTGCTCCTCTTGGAGGTCCCGCAGTAGCTCCTCCTCCAAATCCTCTTCCTGGTCGAGCAAGTCCTCCACCGCTGTAGCACACCGATCATGGGCCAACCTCAGACCTTCGGTGGCATCCACCCCGGAGACGGTGCAGATACTGAGGATGGAATTGAGCTGGGATCGTTGAGTCTGAAACTGTGCTTCGATTCGCTTGGAGGCGGAAATGATGGATTTGTATGGTGTGGAGGACTGGGCAATCGGTGAGGAAGCCACCGGGCTGGACGGAGCCGAGGAGACAGGTGAACTGGTAGGCGTGCCCGTACTGAGGTTGTAGCGAGCTGAGAGCGGAGAATGAGAGGCGATCAGGGTTGCCAGTTTCCAGATATCACAGTAGATGCATTCTTCGGAGCATGCCAACGAGAGGATCTTCTGGGTGGCAGCCAGCTGTTGTTGGGTAGAGACGAGAGGGCGGATGCCCCTCAGAAGGGCGGTCTTCGCTTTGCAGGGCGAAGTCATTGTGTTTGTCGAGTGTGAGGATATTGGGACTGTCGGAGGATGGTGGTTATAGATATCGTCTTGACTGTTGGGCTCTGTCGAGGGGTCGTGGAATTCGAGCAGATTGATGTCTGAGACGTGGAAGCTTGGACACGCGACCAGGCGGATTGCTGTCGATCTCTGTTCTGTTCTGTGGGAGAGTAGCGGACGACGAGGTGGACGGGGGAGGGAAAGATATATGGGAATCTCACTTTCGGAGGTTAATATGATGACTACCTTAGCCCCTGGTCCATTTGGAAGATGGGATTCATCTGTGTGTAAGCAGGTGACTCTGGATTCACTCACCGTTGGAACCCTGGGAGGGTAGTCAGGATCAGAATGCAGCCACGCATCTGAACCCCCAAACAAGGGATGGCGGGAACCAGGTAACATTGTGCTGGGTCGAATGGGAAACATTGTTTACGGATGCCACCACGTGGAGAGACAGGGATGGGTGTAGGTGCGGACGCCAGCTTGTGACGGTGAGCGAGTGTGAGTGGAGAGCGACTCCGAGTGACGGCGGTGGTGGCAGCATCACCAAGACGGTCGCTAGAGCAAAAGGACAAAAGGACCCCAAGGGCCAAAGGGCACAAGGGCCCCAGCCCAACCACTGAGCAGCCAGGGGCCCGACAGCGAAGCAAGCCACCCAGAGATCAAAGGGCGATCCTTAGCTAGAAGCAGCCTCCCAGGGCTCGCTAAGGCGGCACTAGGCCTGTGAGTGGTTCAGCCGGTGCCCGTAAACTTCCCCCCCGGGCAGCCCTTGGTGGCCTTGTGGCCCTGTGACGTGCAGCCTGGCAGCCCGAACGACATGAACGAGGGGCTCGGGGGATGGCCAGGCAGACTCCAAGCCAGAGGCAGCGGTGAGCCGTCACTGCCAATGGTTAGTCATCCACAGAGCCGGAGAGGCCCATTCGGTAAAGACTCACTGCCCTTTTCGCTCGCTTTGCCCTCACTTTGCCCTTTATCGCCATCCCGCCAATTCATTCTTCCACCAGCATTTGATTGATAACGCGGTGAATGAAACGCTTTGCCTCATTCTCGACCGGCCTCCTGCTCTCACTGCCCTCCCTCGCCTTCAGAAACTCGGTATCGCAAATGATGACTCTGCAAGCCTCCAGCCCCTCCTCCAGCCCAACTAGTGAGGCAGCCCTCAAACCTTCCCAGGGCCCAGCCGCCTGATGGCTGGGTCATACGCTTTCTCCACGGACAGGAAAGGCGTCGACATCAATGCACGACTTGATCATTTGTGTTTGCTTCATTCTCCTCTCTGATTCTCCTTGCTGCTTCCTGTCTGGAGGCTTCCTCGCAATGCTACCTTTCGTGCATACGCCTCACGCCTCCAAATCTACCTCCTCCACGACTCCTTTACTCCTGAAGAGCCGCTGCACGGTCACACAGCTCCTTGCCCCAGAATGGCTGAATCTCGGACTCTGGTCTCATCATCCGCACACCTACCTCCTACCTCCGTGGCTGCTGCCGGTGCTGCGGGTACCCTTGGTGTCTTCTCCGCTCTCAGTCAGCCCTACTTCCTCGCTCCACTTGGCACTCGCTGCTTGCCCCTCTACAGCTCCGACGTCTTATTGCTGTCCGCATCGAGACATTGTCGCTATCATCCACTCATCCTCTGCCTGTGCTTGTCTCGGCGCCTCAAGATAAGGATTTTACCCCAGTCGCGGTGTCTTGGCCCTCGAAGCGATGTAAACAAAGATACGGTGCACTTGCTCAGCTCTGGTGACAAAAAGTCTTGGGTCGACTTCAAGAACTGACCTGGGGGAGGATACGAGATCCCATACGACCCAGCTAACGACATGTCAATATTGCATGGCCCACAAAACCGTGTGTCTCGTGTCCTTTGTTTTCCGATGCCTCTGTCGCACCTTGTCCTACGCAAAATTCCCTTCTGAGTCATTCCCATGGGGAGTTGTGGTAAGGGGGAGCCAAAGGACAGCATGTCCGCTTCGTGGATGTTATGGTTTCGGGAGCACATTGTTTGACCACGGTCCAGATCAGAATTGTTCCAGAACAAATTTCCAAGCCACCCCCCTCTCAGAAAGGTAGGTACATGGGGAACTGACTTCCTTTGAAGCTGGGAAGTTCCAGGTGCTCACTTCGCTGTCTGAGAATCAGGGGCTCCATGGGGTCGTTGGACCATGAGGCAAGATTCTTCCCGGTCTAGACAATGTTTCTCGCCGCCATCAAGCACCCTCTCTGGCTTTGGCTACTACCTGGAACAAAGTATATAGTGAGTCACTCCGTGGTGGCTTGCTTGTCTGGCCTTTTTCCGCTGCCCGGACGGAGGTGTACAGATGACTTTGAAGGCGTCAGCGACCCGGAAACACTGTCTAACATGTCGGTGAGGCCGACAACAAGACCTAAAGACAGACGAGTGGCCTTAGCAAAGGACTTTATTGAAACCTGGTGCATGCACATGGCCCTAGAGTGACGAAAACGGACCCCATGAATGCAATGACTGTCACCGGTGACACAACGACAACGCCGATCTCTGCACGGGCAATGCCATGTCCATCAATCCATTACCGCATTTGCGTAGTCCCGTTGCACAACACGGTCCTCCGTTCCTGCATCTTGCCCTCACCGCTACTCACTCGTTCAGACACCCCGGCATAGGAAAGTTGAGGAGGAACGCAGCCGTCGTCTTTGACGTTGAAGCGCGCTCAATGTGTCTCGATTCCACATTGACCAGAAAACGACCCGTCGGGATTCAAATCCAGGTCGCACCTATTTTTGCCGCCCCAGGCAACCAAATCCCAAACCACCCAAGACGCACGGAAAACAAGCAAGGCAAAACCCAGGTCAGGTAGGCGATCGGGGGAAGTTGGCGGGAGATTTACAATAACAACAACAACGTACCGTCTCAAAATTGCGTCAATGGATTGTCGATTGTGACGGTATACACACTCCTAGTTAACCCAGGTACTAGGGACGCAATATAGCTTGAACATATCTGTCTGCTGAGGAACCGTCCACAGCCCATCTGTCACGTCACAGCATTGTCATGAAAACATTACGCCGGCAGGAGGCCAGGACAGAATTCGCCGAATGCACAACGCCCTGTGGCCATGTGTGCATGCGGCAAGACGGATGGGTAGGTAGTGTCGACATAACGATGATAACATGATAGCACGTCGACTTTTAATCCTCTCACCGATCCATAATATGTTTGGGCGTGTATTACTTTATGCGGAATCAAAAGGGGGGACTTCGCCTCCAGTGAACAACTAGAGCCTTCTCATCTTGCTGGCGCGTGAAAAGGGTTGAAAAACATCAACATGTCCCTTCCACTCCCCGTGCAATAAGTCATGCGGAATGTTTGTTTTGTCTTGGATGGATGTGCTTGCTCTGCTACGGAGCTGGAGGCTATTTATCTCGGATTTCGGCAGGGCAGCTCTACTCACGACCATCTTAACCACCCTCCCTTGTTGTTGTTCTTCGGATGCCATCCATCTCACCACCTACCGCTTTTTGTTTCTTTTACTTTGCGATCGCAAGAGCCCATGCAGGCGGAACGTGGTTAGAATCAGGATCTGACTCTAGCTCTAGGCAACGTATTTCCCCATCGCGACCAGAGATCGGCCTGGCTCCCTAGATGCACAGCTCACAACCCGCCAGACAACCAAGAAATTGGTCTCCGTGGGCGTGTCTGTTCATCCATCCGCAGAGTCTCTCGTGCTCCAACCTAGTAGCGTGGCGGTGGAGGCGCACCGTAGCCACCCTGGGCCGGATATCCTCCCTGTGGTCCACCTTGCGGAGGTCGTCCATACCCACCCTGCGGTTGTTGGCCATAGCCACTTTGAGGTTGGCCGTAACCACCCTGCTGAGGGGGATAGCCGCCTTGACCGGGAGGACCACCATAACCGCCTTGAGGCTGTCCATACCCACCGCCTGGAGCACCACCATATTGTCCCGGGGGAGGAGCACCATAACCACCGCCTGGAGGTCCACCGTAGCCGCCTTGAGGAGGTCTTGCACCGGCTTTCTCGTCTTTGGTGTCGTAGCTTGAGTCGATACTACCGAGAAGGAGTTTGATGAGCCAGAGTTCGGGGGAGAGTTGGACGGGCGGGTTGGCACGAGACATCTCATCGGCCTCAACTTCGTAGTCTGTAGGTTGACACGTCAGCAAAAAGGTGCGTTCGTAGCCCAAACCAATCTACGCGGCTGCTTCTCCAAGAACAAGACGTACTAGATGTGCAATCGATGATATCACCGATCGTAGGCTCTTCGTCGAGCTTACTTAGGAACTCTCTCGCCTTCAGGTCATTGCCGACTTGCGCAAACTGGAAAGCCACCGCTCCCTTGCCGTATCGCGGGTTGCGCGCCAACTCACTCGACGCTGCCGAAATGATCTTAGCCACATCCGACGAGCTTTCACCCGTCGGTTGACCATCGGTGATGGTGATGATCAAGACGGGCTTGCGCAAATTGCCACGTCGGGCATTCTCTAGCACAAGAGGCCCCAGGATCTTGTTCTGCAATTCCCGACCCATAGGCGTGAGGCCAGAGAAGCGGGTACGTGCAATCATCTCATTGACCTGCTGCTCATTGCGAATGTTGTTGCCCTGGTCAGGAGAGTTCATGAAGCGAACTTGAATCCCGTCATCGTCGAAGAGGCTGGTAGCATATGCGACGCGCGACAATATCAGCTTGAGGTCATCAATGCGCTCTCCATTTTCTTCGAATTGCATGGACCCGCTGTCATCGATGTACAAGATGACGTCGTAGAGGGCCAACTTGACAATATCCGAAGCTATTTCGGGAGAGATCCTCCATGTTGCCGCCAACTGAGCAACTTGTTGGGCAGCGCGGTTAGCGATCTGGTCAAGCATGGGATGGCCGGGTGGGTAGAAGTTTTGAAGTCCTTTCTCTTGAATAGTGGCCTGAAGAAGTTGCTTGTATGCGCCTGCGTTACCGACTGGAGCGGCAGGAGCTCCGCCAGCGGGACCGCCGCCGTACTGCTGTTGGGGAGGGCCGCCGCCATATTGTTGCGGAGGGGGGCCACCGGCAGAGGGACCGCCGGGATAGGGAGGTTGCTGACCCTAGAAGCAGAGAGAAATGTTAGTTTCAAAGTTCGAACAGGTTCACGAGTGTGTAAGCATGAGGTAAAAGTGCTGTGCGCTGCCACGAACATATCCATATCCGCCAGCCGGCTGCTGCTGTTGGTACTGCTGTTGACCGTATTGGTTCTGTGCTGGTGGTTGATACTGCGATTGATATGCCTGATATGCTGGCTGTGGTGATTGATATCCTCCCTGTTGCTGCGGGACCCCTAGCTGTTGACCATATGGAGACTGTTGCTGTTGCTGAGGCGCTTGCCACTGCGGAGGCTGGTAGGGCTGGGGTGATGCACTTGGTCGAGGAGGGAGCGCAGGCTGATTATAGGGCGATGCAGGCGGTTGTGGTTGTTGTTGTTGTTGCTGCTGAGGATATGGCGGTTGGGAGGGGTACGGTGGCTGCGGGGTTGATGCACCAGGATATGCACCTCCCGGCTGGGCCTGCTGTGCGATACGAGAGAACTTGCTCATGGTTTGCGGAAAGGATATTCTGAGGTTGATGATTGGGGGTGTCGAGATAGAGATGAGAGATTGAAGAAGAATAAAGCCGTTTCCAGTCTTGTGGACGCAGCGCGGGATGACGCAACCAGCACGGTGATTTGGGTTGGAATTGGGAAATAGAATTTGCTGGGAACGACCGGGAAAACGCTTACGGGTTGACCTGGTCTGGGAGCGCCAGCACCGGGAGCAGATGTCGGAGGACCACCTGGATATGCTTGATATTGCTGTTGGCCAGGCTAGACAGCAACCGCCCAAGTCAGTCTCTGCTGGTTCGTGCCAACGGGTAGAGATTGACTCACGTATCCACCACCAGGAGCACCTCCTGGAGGAGGAGCACCACTACCACCAGGTGCAGGAGGACCCCCGGGATACGCAGCCTGTGCTGCAGCGAGCTTGGAAGCTAGCTATAATACGCGTCATCAGTCAGGAGAATCTGGTGTGATTGCATAAACAAAGCCATATGCGAAGCGAAGAGGCGTGAACAGGGTGATTTGGGCATGAACTGGTAAGAGGAGGGACTGGTATTGGTGCGGGGCAGGTCGAGGGGGGAAAAGTGAGTTGAAGGGGACGGGAGGATGGGACTTACACCCATGATTGAGAAGCTGTCTGTTGGGAAGAAGAGAAAAGATGAGCAGAGATGAGAAGAGGGAGGTTGAGATGGACGTTGAGGATGCTCTTTTAAAGGAGAACCAAGTTCCTGAGCTGTACAACTTGGTCTTTTGAGCTGATGATGGTCGCAGTCTTGGGGACATTCAGCGTTCACCAAACAAACAGGCACTAGGTCCCCAGTGACAGGGAGGGATTAGCCTGCAGGTTAGTGGCAGGGCTGTGTTACAGGGGCCCAAGCTCCCTGCGAACCACCTGCAACCAAAGGATGGGGCGGCCTGTTTACCTATGGAGGTACCTAAGCAACCTACGACGTAGTTCCCTGGGCACAACAGGCGTGCAACAGGAACCTGGCGCTCCATAGTGAGAGCAAAAGTAACGCCACACCCCGTCACAGACAAGATCCGTCAACACCACGCCACACAGAACACAACCGATTGGTCTATCCCGGCACAGCCTCGTCTCAGGGTCAAGCACCGGTTCTCAACCTTGCTGAAACAAGTCCAACTCAAGTAACAAGCGCGAGAGAGAAGCCTAGATGGCCATGACAATGCAAATCCCTCCTGCACTGCCTATTGTCCATCACAAATGTACAACCTCTGCGGCATTGATATGTACATGGTCCTCTATCCCTACCGCCACACTGTCCCACAACCTATTACCCCTCACAAAGCCGGATGCCAGACCCTTGTAGAATTGATTAGATTAGATGAAAACCCGAGTGCTCGCTTGACCTGCCGTCTGCTCGCATCGCCGACTTTTTGCTCGTTCACCCTCTTAGGCGCTCTCTCCCAAGTGCCAACGTCGCCAACGATATCGTCCCGTTATCATCGAGATATCTATAATTCAATTGTGCTGCTCACACCCAACCCCAGACTCCTGCCCTTCCTGCACGTTAAAGTCCGAATCTCAACCAAATTTGTGTCGCCAGAGTCTCCCAGTTTCATCCACAAGGCTGTCCATTATCTGCTTCAACCGTCGTCTACCGACTTGTCTTTTTTTCATCTGCCTGGGAAGCTCTGAGGCGACAAGATCTCGAGCAAGATGCCGACTTATACCCCATCGCAAAGATCATCCATAGCCCAATTTGTCAGCTTCACCCAAGCGAAGGAGAGCATAGCAGCGAGGGTACGTGAACCGGAGACTCTGGGAGGAGGCAATTGACTGAGCGCATGGTGGCAGTTTCTGAAATCACACGACTGGAACGTGGAAAGGGCGCTTGATTCGTAAGTCAGCAATTCCTGTTCTATCATGTCGAACTGAGAGCCCCGTACTGGATCGTGAAAACGCGGGATTGTGTTGGGCAGCCATTTCCAAGGGCCAACTCCGCACGGTCTCGGTTGCAGGATGTCAGAGGCCACGGCAAGCAGAATGAAACAGCTGCCTGAGCCTTGTTGGCGCCGTGTTTTGTGAGACCGACCTCATTCACAGGCTGTCGACACGACACACGAACGTGAAGCTGCCCAGGTTGAAGGCGGCACCCGTGCCTGCCAAGCCTGTTGCATCATCCAAACCTTCAACCCTCCAGTTGTTCACCTCAACTTGCCCAGCAGTTGGTCAACTTTTCTCTCTTGCTCGTTCCTTCCTTCGTCCAGCGAGCACATCGTCTACTCCGGTTGACGGGTGTTCCTATTTCTTCCTCTCATCTGTGTATTGTGCATCCATCAGCCTATCACTATGCCACCGAAACGCAAGTCCGCCGACTCGTCTGCGTCGCTGGCCTTGAAGTCACCCAGAGAAAAAAAGGCCAAGCCAGCCGCTTCAGCGGCTCAGACAAACCTTGCCAAAACAACTCCGCCTACTGTGACTCCAGCCACGACGAATATGTCTGCGAAGTCGCCGGCGAGAGGCAGGAAAAGTGGTGGCAGAGCGAATCGTTCCAAGGCACCAGGGTCTGTGCATGAAAGGTTACCGATCAAGAGTGACTGACACAAACTCCGTTGCAGGTTTTATCAGAGCGGATCTGGAAACTCTGTCCCTCCAGTTCAGCACAACCTCAATAAACTCTTTGATCAGTATCGCGGTATGGTGCTAACCCAGGCTGGCAAGGAACATTACCCACTGACTTCCCCCTAGACAATCCCAAGGAATCCCCAGACACGATCGGCATAGAGGGTGCTCAGAAATATTTGACCGATCTCGGAATAGAATTGGACGAAGTTGCTCACTTGAGTATCTGTGATCTGTTACAGTGTCCGTCTATTGGCGAGTTCGAGCGCGAGTCTTTCGTTTCCGGATGGCGAAATGTGTCCTTGGGTGACAAAGCATACGATACGACAGCACGACAGGCACAATACGTCGAGGCGATCCGAAAGAAGCTCGCAAATAACCCGGCATATTTCAAACAAGTCTACCGCAATGCCTTCAAACTCGCGAAACCCGAAGGTCAACGAAGTGTCCCAATGGACTCGGCCATCGATTTCTGGAACATGTTCTTCCGGCAAGGCAAGGGGGGGATCGAATGGAACAGTCCTTCGACCCAGTGGTTGGACCTGTGGTGTGAATTCTACGAGTCCCAAAGCAAAAGACCAGTCAATAAAGATCTGTGGAACATGGTTGGCGAATTGGTCATGAAGACAAAAGAGCCTGGTGGGGAGTCTCTGAGTTGGTGGACAGAAGATGGCGCGTGGCCCATGGCAATCGACGACTTTGTGAACTTCATAAAAGAGAAGAGAAAAGGCAGCGGCGACAGCATGGATACCAGCTGAAGGGTCAAGCTGCGTTCTCGAAATTACGGCCTGTTTCTAACGGTGTGTTATCGCCACCATATGTGTATGCATGGTCAAACCCGGGTGATGGCAAGCTGACCTGTCATGCTCTATTGCTGAATGCTTTTGAGCTGGAAGGTCAGGGTTGCAGCCAATAGCAAGCACATAAGGATACTGTGACATGCTAGTAACGAACATGAAGAAACCAACAGCTGCTTCCCTTCCCTCAAGACCCCTCTTCGACACCCACCGTCACGTGGGCGACACGTGGTCGGAAGAATGCTTACTAAGGGCTGTGGCTCCTGCGGCGATCACTTCATTCGCTTCGCTCGCCTGGCTGTCACAATAGAATTTCCGCCGCTGCGTGACACTCGTTGCTTCTCCTCCGTTGGGCAAAATCCAATATAACTCTCTGCTGAATCTGCACCACTCTTCCTCCCTGCTGCAAATCTACTTCTGTACTGCATGTTTTCTAGTGGGAATGTCTTACTAGAGTGTTAGTCCAGCTTTTTTAACTTGCCTGTTTCAATACCGCATTGACATTCCTCATTCGCTCCACCTCGTCTCCAGACATGATCCCCGCTTTCCTCTCCAGCTCGAGGCGTTCATCCTTCTCTCGAGCCTAGACCATTGTGATCTCGTCTAATCACACGACCGAGCCCAACTGCCACTGGTAACGTTGACCCTGGATATCTACGCTATGCGTGGTCCGATCTTGTAACGCTCGACTTGTCCAGTCCGACCCCATCACCCCAGTCCTGGGGCGAAACCTGCCGATGCCTGCGTAGTCTCACCGTTGACCTGGATACGCAATGCACAAAAGATGCCTTTGCCTTCGAGGGAGGTCCTGACCCTCCGTTTGATCTTTGACTGCGACGGAGACGAGGAGGACGAACATGATGATATATCCAACGACGCCTCACATCCCTCGTCGCTGCTGCGACTGCCCGTCGAGCTCCGCCTCAAGATCCTCCGCTACCTCTTGCGCATAGATCGCAATCGCAAGTCTCACACTCGGCGGCCGCCACAGAACAGCATATCTGAACTACTCTACTTGAACCCGAGGCGCATTCTCGAGGCCGCACCTTTCAAGCACAAGGGGAATCAAGAGATCAACGGAAGCCCGCCAGTCATAAACAGCTGCCACCTACACCCCGCCATTCTGAAAACATGCAAACAGCTGTACCTGGAGGGAAAGACAGTTTTGTACATGGATAACAAGGTGGTCGGGCTACAATCGGGCATCAGAGGCCTCGGCGCGAAGCTGAAAAACTACGGCATACCAGTCTTTGGGCCATTCGCATCGTCCAGGCTGATTAACGCCCCATATGATGCATCCAAGCCTTGCCAGGCCAGATTTGACCCTGTCATGCTTTTCAGTGGTGGCAATACCAAGCAGGATGCTCCCTTCTACATCTGCAGCTACAAGGACTCAGCGGATTTCATGCACGCCCTTTGGATCATGGTCAAATGTCCCTTTTCGCGAGGCATGGGATACAATCTGTCGCTGTCAGCAGAGCCACGGTATCGTTATGTCAACCGAACTGACAGTTTTGTGAAGTTTGCTGTGTTGCCGTGGCTGCACAATCACATCAATTCGATCAGCTTCCACAGTCCAGCCCCAGAGACCGTATCAGAAGGTCAGGCACAGGCAACCTCGGAGGCGTGCAACAGTCGAGTGGCCCCTCTTCGTGACGAGCTTGCAAAACATGTTCTCGCAAGCAAAAAAGAGCCTAATCTTCACACCTACAAAGCCATCTGTGCTTATCTTGAGCAGGTCCTGCTTCAAGGCGAGATTTGCGTTGATCAAGGGAATTTCGTCAGTGGAGAGCTACTTTTTGAGCGGGTGTGCTATGAGGCCTCCAGCATTGTCCGCACCAGAACAAGCAAGTTGGTGGATGTATCTTCTAAGAGCAAAGATGGGATCAATCGCGTGTGCAAACTAATCGCAGTCAGTGCGTACAGGCTGTGTGAGCTTCGCAGCGGCGCATTAGCCCGGCTCGTCTCCAAAAGACTGCAAAACTTACACGCGAAACCAACAGCTACTCCCGAGCCAAGGCGCTGTGACAATTGCCAAGTCACCGAAATTCAAAAGGAAGAAGATGGCCAATCTATGGATGACTCCGCATCAGCTACCCACGAAGACACCACATCAGTCGCCTCAACCTCCGAGGCGCGAACGAGTATCAGTGAGGAAAGCGTTAAGAAGCCTGATGACGTATCCACGGGACATCAACCAGACAAAACACAAGTGACAAGCACAATCACAACCCCATCACCGACCTACTTCATCCCGAGAACGACGCGTTTAGAGCCGCAACTAGCCGGCGATCTCGCACTTACAAGCGGGCTTCTTGCGCTACGACTACCATGTGCGTCACCTGTGCCGGAGTGGAATATCCGTCTAAATGTCATGCTTTTGCGGCTTTTTGCCGAGAGGAATGACACCCCCAATGCAGTTTGGAGTGTTCGTCGCATTCACAGTAATGGTACTGTCGAATTGCAAGGTATGAAGCAGAGGAACAAGACCGGCGACAAGAAGTGGCAGGCCTTGAGCGACTTGGTGCAGGAGTTGGCGCAGCAGCTGAGGCCAGGTGCCGTCAGAGGTTCTTTCTTCGACACGGCAGACAAATGCCAGCAGGTCGTTACGTTGCTGTGGGGAGAACGGTTGATTCCGAAGAAAGGGTTTAATGGGTTAATCTGGACATTTAGGTGGGCTGGATAAAGGATACAGGTATGCTGGAAGCAAAGCGTGGGATAGTCAGATGCAATTCCGCGTCACCAGTCGCCATGCTTTCTGTTTTCTGCGTTTTTCTGGCATGGCGCTGGGGTTAAGGGCATCTCCAGGAGATTGAGCAAATGGGATCCTGCTTTCTATGACGATTGGCAATGAATGAACATGAAGTGACATGACGATGAATATGAAGCCAACTGTCTGACAGGGTATTTTCATGATTGTATTTTTTGGCTGATTGAAGCATACGGTGCTGGGAGTGGTTATATAGTCTGCGAAGGCATATGACTGCTTCATCCTCTGTAGGACAGGTAGTACGGATCAAGCTTACAACTCACCTTCCTCAGCTTGCTACACGATCAAGCTTCGCCCTAGCGACACCGTGTTGATCGCCGACACCAGACATCCGACTCGACCTTGAAACTAATGCTTTCGACGTTGCCAAAGCAAGTCGCTGGACAATGGCGAAGGAGCTACGTGATTTCCGCAGAAGCTGAATGGCTCACAGTCTGACGTATACCGAAGGAGGTGATCACTCTAGGTGAGATGAGTAGAGATGGCCGAAGAGCCGGATCCAGCATTTTTCCCTCATTGGGCAGTCGCCTTCCGGCTGGTTACAGCCCCCTTTATATACAAGGCCCGACCAATGCTCTCGACTCCACACGGGTCGCTCTGATTCGCCAGCCTTGTCTAGGACACCATCACTTCGCGATCAGGATTCAGGACCGCCTTCCCGATTTTCCACATCACCTCGGATCTTGATCCCCAATCGATCCCGCTTGTCCTCGCAAGTGCATCACTCTTGCCTGCGGAATCACCAGCTGCGTCCACGGATTCTGCGCCGTGGCCGGGTGCCATGCGAAAGAATGTTATAAGCGCGTGACAGCGCTATCAGTTATGAAAGAAGAGACCCCAGCGAGTTCAACACAAAGGCGTGGCTTTCTCCCCAGGATGGACGTCTATGCAGCGAATCATGAATTCGAGGGGATTCTCAACCTTGACGACGAAGGCTAATCGCTTCTTGCGCCCCCACGAGCCCTAATAGGCAAGTGCATTTGGTACCGTCAGCCCCCGGGGCGGGGGGTTATCTCACCTCAGTGACAAATATGATCAGCGCTACTGAGTATTGTTACTTTACTGCAACATAGACCATTGAAACGGCTTCGATATAGGTCCGAAAGGGGATTGTTTGACGGACTTCTGCCGGCTCCGTAAAAGCCAGCGGTACCGCTCGTTCATTCCGACGTGGGCCCTGCGCTTCAACTTGCCCAGGTATGGTTCGGTTGTATCCGCAAAACTTACCTCCGAAGTACTAGCTGAGTGCTGTGCACCTTTTTTTTTCAACACTGCCATGGTCAAAATAAAGGTGTCGATTGTGCTGGGAGGCCGATATCTGATTACCAGCCGGGTGTAAACAAGCGGATGACACATCTGTTGTTGAGTTCGGATCGCCTTGCATACAGAGCATAATACAGGCCGCTATCAGGACCCGAATTTTGCTATACGGACGAAGATTCGAGCATGCGGCAGGACCGAAGCCGTTCTCCTATGTGTGGGTGTGAGAAACACCTGTGTCATGAATAGTTGTTACGTGGCTATTGTACCTGTGTCTGCCAACGAAACGTCCTCGAGGTGAACGCCGCTCTTGCGTCGATCTCGCCCAGACCATGTGCTCTCGGTCATTCAAGGCAGCACCTCTCAGAAGCTCGATGTGGATCCGAAAGCCCTCCAGAAAGGTGATACTCATCTTCTCATGGCCGACGGACACCGCCAGGATTTACTGCGGAGTTGGAACGCCGCGAGGCTTGGAATGTCAGAAACGGACCTGATACATCATAGCTTGGATATTCGGTCCGTCCTGGCTAACTGGAATTCACATTCAACAGACCGTTGCTGACCCTGTACACGCTTTTCGATAATGCGACCGACTCTGACCCTGATCAGAGATTCTCTGTGGGCCAGTCAGCAAGGTCTACACTAAATAGAGGACTGCTATTCCCGAGCCACCTGCCTGTGCAGGCACACAGCGCAGAGGTACACAGCGATCTGGATATGAGTGGCCCACGTCCAAAATTGACAACTTCGGGGCCATTCGAAATCAGCGAGAAATCAACTGGCCTTCCCTGGGAACGGGCTGCTTAGTGATGCCCAGACCCCGGAGCACAATCAACGCTGCCCTCGTGCAAGGCAGGCTATTCCTTCGAGGGTCCGTGTCGTGAGTATACTATTTGTATGATGGCTGAGCGGTGGCATCTGGCTATCATGCACTGGCGGGCCGTGGCTTGCTGCAGCGCTCAGGCGAGCAGGCAAGTATAAGATATACGAGATTCCAGGTGGTTAGTGGAAGGGACCATCTTCTTTCCCCTCAAACATTTGAAGACATACCTTTTCTATCCGATTCCGAGAAGCACGAGCAATACCCTTAAGAGAAGATGGCAGAGGTCTACGCCCCGTCCTTTGACCCGTCCCAATTCGAGAGCGAGGTGCAGTACATGTCCACCGACGTCAACACGGGGATCGACGCCACGCAGTATGAAAGCCTCATGATGTTCCTCCAACGGCTCTCCGGCTCCGGCGCCGACGTCTCCCACGACCAAACCCTGGAGCAGGGCATGGAAGACCTGCACAACACGGTGAGCGCCATCGCGACGCCCGGCAGCTCCCAGCCCGGCGGCGCGGTCTGGAGTGATCCGCTGGTCACCAGCTGCGTCCACCAGCTGCGGACCGAGGGCCACTGCCTGAACCTCTTCGTGTTTCTGGATCAGCTGCACGGGGACTCGGTCGACTTTTCGTTCGACAGCCAGCTCCAGTTCACCATGAACAATGTCGCCGTGCAGTTGGAGGGGGTTACTACCGTAAGCGACACCTTCGTCATTGGCACGGACTGAACGCCCACCTGTCTAACCAAGTCAAATAGTCAGGCTGACATGGATGGCCCCACAATATATCACCTAGGAACCGACCCGACGGGGGAGCATGTAAGTGAATGACCTACACGCTTGTAGAGGCAGTGAGAGCTGACAGGAGTTCCTAGTCAATAGTTGGCATCATAGGATTCTCACCCATGTGCCTGAGAACTCATGAGTTTGAGGGCATAGATGCCTTTTTCATTCGAAGAAAGCCGCGCAGAAGTATCGGTGATGGTTTGAGGCATATTGGAATGTTCAGTAGGCAAGGACGTTATCTCTCATTCTGCTTTTCTCTTTGAGCGTCGAATCATCATCAGTGAGCACCCTTTCAGACCGAGCGTGGAGCTATAGGCGAATCATTCTACCACCCTTGAAGATGTCTTTTCCAGTTTCCATCAGTTTCCATTACCTGTAATCGCTTGAAGCAGCTGGCGAATGCTCCTTGACGCCACTATATCCAGATTTTCAACAGGCACTGCATCTACGGAAGAACGGAGGGCTTCTTGCTGTAAGCCTTGTTAGTATCCTAGTTGATCGTGTTCTGTACACGAGGATCCATGCACTTCGTTCCACTTGCAACCGGAAACTACGAGCAGATGGTCGACAAGTCCCCACCATGGGGTCACCCGGTCACCCTACCCTATTCGAGTTTCGCGGAGCTGGGGCCATCTCCGCGTATACTATTGCTCGCGAGTCGCGACATCCCGGACCATCTCACACATCCTGAAATCAAAAAGTCACCTCCTCCCTTCGGCAAAGAGACCCATTTTCGACAAGGCCATACATCGTGAACGAGAGCCGGCCGCCGATGTCGACACAGCCTGATACCTCGATTTGCGGAACGACCTTTATTTAGATCCCTGTTACATTAAAACTTCAATAGCTTGAGACCTGCGGATTTCCCTGGAAGGTTCTAGCCTGTGACCATGGGGCTACACTCATCGTACCTTCCGCCACGAAGTAAGCGCCTGCACTTCAGGCGTGGCGTCTTGAAGGTAGCAAGCATGAAATGTTTAACGGAATATCAAAGGCTCAGAGAAGATGACCGCAACCCTTTTGTGGTCAATGTGCCCTCATATTTGGGAATTTGTATAACCTCAGTTCCACAAATTCCTGCTCCCAAGCTGCAATTGTGAAGTTCTACTTGTATGGAAGGGGTCGGTATGGAAGCTATCCCTCCGACGTCTCAGCGTTTATCTGTTAGCCAGCAAACGATCCGCTTACCGCAGGTAATTACCTCTACGCAGCGAAGCACCTGAGTGAGTCAATATCATGTGTGCCGTCATAGGAATTACTGCAAGGTCCATCAACACGGAGGTATAGACAAACGGGGTGAATTTCTACATACTCGGTAGTAGGATTAGCTTAACGAGTGTGGAGTATATATAGCTTAGCAACTCGTATAGCCGAGGCTAGTGTACCTAAAAGGGGGCCTGTCGGGCGCCGAACTTGCCTAGTTAAGTATGTACTTCGGCGCATCGGAAACTTGAGGGAACGCCAGGGGCACGGAGTATTGCTTTTTTCCACACCCAGACACAGTCAAAGCCCCCGAAAACCGAGCAAGTATGGTGCCTCCGATGTGTTTCTCCTTGTTTGACTGGTCTTGCAGCTCTGCTGTGAAGTTATAAACCTTTCGAACGTCCTCGGAGAACCCAAGTCGACATTGTCATGTCATTTTCACTATCTAGTGTGCCTTCGCTGCCACCATTGACAAGATGCCTACTGCCTTGAAGACCTTTTACCCGGATAGAGGAGAGCGTGATGTCTCTTATAGACAAACAATTAGAGGGATTGGTGCTGACTCCCTCTGGCCATATGTTCAAGACCTGAGCACACCCTTTCTTCGAAAGATCTTGTCAAAAATTTCCCTCATTGATGGTGAAACCCCTGCTCAACAAGTCAGCAACGAAGTTTGGACAAGAGTAACCTGTTGCGTCTTGAGGGAATGCGACACTTACCCGTCACAGAACAGGTTCTGCCCGTTGACCAAGCTCATTCGAGGCAGACTCATGAGCACAACCGCGTCGCCAATCTCAGCAAAATCCGCTTTCCGTCCTTGGCGGGCTTCAAAGTAAGACCAGAGTGCATTGCCTAGACGGCCAGCCTCGTCCATTACGCTGGATTCGACCATGGGGGTCAATAAGAAACCCGGAGAGATGGCATTGACGCGAACATCGTGCTGCCGCCCTTCTAGTGCTGCCTGGAGAGAGTTCGTTAGTCACGACGGTCAAACGGAGGGAATAGGGAGACCACGGTGAGACCAACCGCCTTGGTTATGCCCAGCACGGCGTGCTTGGACGCCGTGTAGCCACCGGTGCCTGGCATGGACAGCATTGAATTTACCGAGCAGCAGTTTACGATCGCACCTCGTTGCAAGGGCCGCCCGGGCTCACTACAAGATGTAAACGCGTTAGTGATCTGGTCGAAGGACCTGGATGAGACGACGGACACTTCAATCGACTCCTGGCCGGCCATCTGCCTCATCTCATATTTGTTACAGAGGAACACCCCGGTCGAGTTGACTGCCATGACCTTCTCCCAGTCCTTCAACTCGATCTCGCTGATCCTTTCGCCAGGGCCGATAACTCCTGCAAAGTTTCTGGCAAATGATCAACTCGTCAGTGAGATAGTCACTTGCACCACAGTAGGAAGTCAGCTGCAACATCACGTCGATGCTGAAAACGTACGCTGCATAGTCGATCCGTCCGAATCTGGCGACGGCTTCTTTCACGGCTCTTTCGACCTCCTGTTCCTGCGTGACATCCGCTCTGATGACGAGACACTGCACGGAAACCTGGTTCAGCAAACGGTCGAGGTCGCTTCATTGCTGAAATGCAAATTCGGAGGAAAGAGGTGCACCGAGACCCCACTGACCTCAGTTCCATAAGCCTCGACAGCTTTCTTCCCTGCTTCGCAAGTCTTTTCGTCCTGAATGTCGACGATGACGACCCCTCTGGCGCCTTCTCGTGCATATGACACGGCGATTGCGTTTCCCAACCCTCGTGCCCCTCCCGTCACGAATGCTACTCCTGGAGCGTTTGGGCCTGCTCTCTTCGCCTTGAGGCCTGTGTTCGTGGACGTGGTTGAGCTCGAGGCGACAGGGTGGTCGGCGTTGCTCCCGTCCGCGACAGAATCGGAGATGTCAGGCATTATCCCGGAGTAACAAGCACTAGGGAGGTTTGCTCGCGAAGTCGGTCGACTTTCTCTGCGCCAGATGTCTACGCTAGGGGTGGCCGAGATTTTTCTGCCCCGAGGACGTGAAACGCTGAAAATTTACCTCTAGGCACACCTTTCAAAAAGTGCGGTCTCCAAAACCCGAAAGATGGAAGACTTTAGGTGGTCAACTTACAGACAGCTTTGCCTCAGGAATAGTCGCCCGTGCTCCCGGCGGCAGTCAGCTTTCTGTGCCTCAGAGGCTCAGACGTCTCTTTGTTGAGCTTTCGCTCAACACATTAAGAAACACCTCAGAATGCGGAGACATCTCGCAGCAACGGCGTCAACCCTCGAACGAGTCACGCTTTGCTGAGTCTTTCAGGGACTGTGTAGGAAGAACCCTCTGGCGTCTTTGTAATGGGAAACACCTAACCGGGGGCTCTGAGGACGGTTCTGCTGGAGAGTATCCCTGACTCAGACTCCTCTGACAAGAACAACCTCCTCCTCCACAAGGGACCAGCGGGGAAACCCAAACTTGCCCCCAAATACTCCGTACTCTATGCTAGATGCCAATGAGAGTGGCTACTGAGGTCGCGCGGCCAATGGCATTGACTGCCTCCACAAAATACGATCGGAGCCGGGTGTTGTTGGTTCATTCCTCCGACAAAGTACCCGCAAGCCTCCATTTTACTCATTGACCTCATTTCCCTTGGCTGTTGATGCCCTGCATTGAGCTGGTATCACGATCATCTGGCTATCGACGACTGGAGGAAATCTACGCACTTTGACCAGAGCAAGAGCTTGAAACCATGGCCCCTGATTCGAAGCGAAAGCGAAAGGCCGAGTCCTTGCACCAAGGAAGGTGAGTCTCAACGAGACACTATGCATGAGAGCCTACGTACGAGTGGGCAATGTTTTCTTTGCCTACCTCTGACTTTGGCCAAAGCGCGAATCGAAAACAACGAAACTGTGCTGCGCAAAAGGCGTACAGGCAACGACAGACGCTCTATGTCAGAGAGCTCGAGGAGAAACTGCGCAGTGCGTCAAAGTCGGACAACGAGCGATTCCAGGATTTGGAAAACAGCAACAGGTACTACCGCCATCACCTCCTCGAGGCCTATAAGAGGCTGGAGAGCACGCGCATCAGCCTGGAGAGTGTTCTGCATTCCGTCGCCGGTGCCATTGGGATGCAGGTGAGTTTGCCCACTGGCAAGACGCTGTCTGCACGCTCATGGAATGTACGCAGAACAAATCTAGAAGGTGCCAGAGATGTGAAGACAGCGCTGGAGGTCATGTCGAGACGCCGTCGCCGGATGCTGATCGAGATACCTTTCCAACCAGCGATTTGAATGTAGTGCCTGTTGAGCCATCAACCGCCATTCTAGGCCCTGCTGTGGAGGGCGACTCCCTAAGCTCGGCCGATGAGTTTGCTCTGTTTGACGATATATCAGCGGGAATGGACGATCTAAATGGATCAGCCAACGATCCCTCAATGGCGACCGAGATCTTTGGCATTCGCGATCCGGGCACAAAAGATGTTGAAGACTTGACGCTGGAGCACGAACCGCACCCCGCCCCCCAACCAGTCCCGTTGGTCGGCGAATCCTTTCCTTCCGGTGACCAGACCCACGGCGAAATCTCGCACATACTTCCTCCTTCATTACCCTTCGATCTCTCTCAAATGGGCTACAGCGGTTTCCAGTCTCTCACGGAGCAGAGCCCTGTCGTGCTTGACATCAACGGATCTCGAGTTCGCAGCACCAATTCCCCATTCTCCGACCATCTCAGCCTGGTCGAGCACTTGATCCGGCAGGAGTGGGGCAAATCTGCCGTGCGTGGAGGCGGAGGACATTCATCGAGGTACGTTTGATCGGGACGGCGTGATGGCGTGGTACTGTTGCTGACCAGGTTTGGCCTTTCTCAAAGCCTCCAAAACAGCGTCTCGTTCATGTTGTCGACGTTCACAAGCGTGTCGTGGGAGGCGATGCGCCCGTTTTGGATCTACACCAAAGCGCACCTGCCAGTGGTCAACGTCACATCGTGGCGACTGAGCCCTGGGCCCGAGACCTATGTCCAACTTGCCTCGTGGTATCGGCCCACGCACGTCCAGCTCGCCGTGCCGCATCCCATCGTGATCGACTGGGTGCCATTCCCGTCTCTGCGTGACCGGCTGATCCTCCTGCACTCGTGCAATCCCCGACTCGACGAGATCATCTGCGAGATTGCAGACTCGTATGTGATGGAGACTGACTTTTCCAGATTGGTCGCGGGGGTCGAGCCGTGCCTGGTGTATGTGCGGGCGCTGGACCTCATCGCCGCAATTTCACGGGCGGAAGAGTCCAGCACTGCGTTTTCCAAGGGCGGCCCAGCCTCATTAACGCACTCCCAGGGCGCCTTCGACTCTGCTCTAACATTCCCGAGCTCAATGATAACGGCCAGGGAATTCTCGCAGGCTCCCTCGTCGTCGTTGTCGAGTGATGTAAGTCGCACATGGCCCGGGAGGAGCCTCCCTGCCCCCTCCGTGGCTGCCATATTCGGCTCCAAGACACTGGCCCTCCAAGCCCTACAGCTGCTCAAGATGGATCGTGGGCCGGGGGCCATGAAGTTGGATCCCGCGTTCTTTCAGAGACACCCGGAGCTCTACGACAGCAGCATGTCTGACGGGGTCATTGCACGCGGCATTGCCATCAGCCCATCGCAACCCGGGCACATGAGACCGACGCCTCTCTTGAGGCCTCTGGACCCCGAGACTTTGATGAAGTACAGCGAGATGGCCAGGTGGTACTTTGACGTTTCGTTCGCAGACGAGAGGGGGACATCTTGATCTAGCCTTTCCCTTGATAGGAAGAGATTTATAAACGTGGGAAGAGAGGTTGGAGAGACCGGCTGTCTCCCTAGTTTCTAAATATGGACTGTATCTTGCAAAACCGGACCTAGATGATGCTGGAAAGAGACTCTAAGCTCTAACCTATCTTACATGGGACAAGGCTATCTTTTTTCGCTTGCAACACCCCCTTCTCACTCATTTGATGGTCCAAGGGACGTCGCTGTTCCGCATGTACGGCGTCAAGTTGGGCAGGTCATGCTTGATCTCGGCCTCGACCTGGCCGTTGCCCAGGTACTCCCACATGTTGGCGAAGTAGCGGAAGTCGTAGTGCTCGTACTTGACCTCCTTGATGGTCTTCATGAAGTGCAGGGCCGAGCCGCCCCAGATCCACAGCTTGCCACCGATGATGTTGTTCTTGTACCAGCTCTTGCAGTCGGCGCCCCAGACGGAGCGCGCGTGCCACAGGTCGATGTGCTGGTACAGCTGGTCGACGGGCCCTTGGCGCACCTCCATGGCGCGGATGTTCTCGGCCTGGATCCGCCGCGCGCATTGCAGCACGTACTCGACGCAGACCTCGTGCGAGGGCAGCGCCGTGCCCGCGGCCCAGTTGCCCCGGACGCCGTTGATGACGAAGTAGTTGGGGAACTTGGGCACCGTGGTCGCAAGGTACACCTGCGGCTCCGGGTTGAACTCGTCGGCCATGCTCACGCCCTTGACGCCTTTGATCTCGCTGCAAGTCGACTTTAGCAGAGGGGTTTCTTTATCACTTTTGGGGAGGGGCAAATGCTTACAAGGGTGGTACAAATGCCAGGTTGAATCCCGTGGCACACACCAGAATATCAACTTCGTGGACCTGGCCCGACTCGTCGACGATGCCCTCACGAACCACTTTCGCAATTTCCTTGTGAATGGTCGTGACATCTGGCCCCCATATAGTCAGAAAAAGCTCGTTCATCCCAGCCCGAAGGGGGGGAGGGGGGGAGTCTGTGTCTTGTGCTTGCTTACTGGGTTGGACCAGAGCCTCCAAGTATCCGTCTCCGGGCGTGATGCGACGACACCCCGGCGGCCAGCTCGGGATCAGCTTCTCCTTGAGCTCTTCATGGCCGGGGCCGATGCGCCGGTGCATTTCGGCTCTCATCAACCGCTCTGCCTCGTGGTTGGTTTCGCTGTCCTTCAAGAACATCTCAAATAGGTTGTTCACCGCCGCTTCTAGTTTCTTGCGGTACGCGAGGTGGAAGTCCGGGTCGTCGCGGAACTTTTGCTTCTCGTCCTCGGAGAAGAAGTACTGCGCGTTGGGCGGCACGTCGCCCTTGCCCAGCTCCCTCTGTTCGTCCAGCGCCGCCTGGCCGACCATGGGCGAGATCCATGTGACCGATCGCATGAACGAGACGAGATGTTTGGCAGCTACCTAAGAGTCAGTACAGGACAAGTGGGAGAAAAGGGAAGGGCATTGATTCGTACTTTTCTGAATCTGAGGAACGATCTGGATCGCACTAGAGCCAGTGCCAATGACTGCGACTCTTTTCCCAGTCCAGTCGCATGCTTTTGGCTAGTCAGCAGGGCCAGTGGTACCATGAAGCAGGCAGTTGGGCGTGAACGAACATGAGTCCCAAGAGGCGCTGTGCATCAGCTTGCCCCCAAAGTCGTGCAGACCTGGTATTTTCGGCCCTGGCCCAAGAACCTCAGTCAGTTTCGCCGCTCAAGAGAGGTTGTCCAGCAGGGAGCGGGATGGGATATGCTCACATTTCCAACTGTTGAGAAATCCGGTCCCATTAACAAAGACGTGACACCAGTCTCGCACGATTTGACCTTCAACGTCGATCTCGACCTCGTCTTCGTTCACGTTAGATTCCTCCCGAAAGCAAACTTTGCACCAAAAAGGGGCTATAACCACTCACATATGCCCTTTTCTTCCTGCCACACCGCGCTCAGGACTTTGGAATTCAATTTGACAAAGGGCATCAGATCGTATTTGTCGGCAAAATCCTGGAAATACTGTCGGATCTCCGGCGCATAGGCATAGAAGCTGGACCAGTTCGGATTCGGCTCGAACGAGTACGTATATGCATGCGCCGGTCTTTTCTCTCCCTCCGTGTCAGCCCACGCAGGCAAAAGATATGTTCATGAACATGGATGCACTCACACGTCGCAGGCACAGCCTGGGCAGCGGTTTTCAAACCATGTGCCGCCAATTGCCGGGTTCCTGATATTCGAGAGATTTTAGCCCCAACCCGCGGTCGACCTTGAACGTAGCTCCAACGGGGGGGAAATGTTACTTTTCGTAGCAGACGAGGCTGTAGTTCTCAAAATCCTTTTTCATCTTGTATGCCATCAACAGTCCCGCGGCTCCCGCCCCAACGTGGATGACGCGAAGGTGGCGAGGCTGCGAATGCCATTGCTCCTTGATCTGGTAGTCTCCGTTCACCTCTTCGTGGACCGTCGGCTGCACCTCAGCGTGCGTGACGTGAACATCGTTGAGATGCTTGGAGCCCGGGAAAGTCTCGGGGATTGGGGCGGGAAAATTGGCTACCGTTGCCATCGTGATGATAGCAGTTCTAGTCGATGCCCAAGTGTAATTGAGGAGGTCTTATGGCCAAAGTTGATTAAAGGCACGCATACCTTGGTGTAGGAGATCGCAGCCATTTCTTAAGGGGCTTCTATATGCAAGACAGGGCATCGACAGAATGGCGATCTTCCCATACCCGTGATCTCGCAGCTCGTCTCGTGGAGCATATGGAGTCTTAGGTGTTGCCCATCAACTCATGAATATCTCAACAAAGCAAGATCCACGAAACCCGCCGTTTCCTGTGTCTAGACAGTCTGCTGGGTGCAAAGTGATAGTGGAAATCATCTAGGCGTCCAACGAGGTTGGATGCATTTGACTGACTCAATACTTGGGCTGTCAGGAAGATGGAGAGACTCTTTCCCCACGCAGCTAGACACGGGCATCAACACATCAAATGCTCAACACATCGCCAGCATTCACAGCCCCGGGCGACTCCACATGGTGCGCCACCGTTGTTCTTGAGCCAATCCTGACTCGAATCACAGAGGGCATCCTGGAAACCGAGTCTTTACTATGGGTTGCTGACACGCCGCAGTAGTAATTGGGCCTGTCCGGCTATCTCAAGGCTGCGGGGCCCCGCAAGGCAGGTAAAGGGACCTACGCCTCCACCTCGCACAGTATAAAGCAATCCATTTCTATGTCCATGTCGAAGCCCACGCCCTTTGAAACTCCTTGGAGGGAACCCCCTGCTGCTTGTCCGCCAGTTTTTCTCAGTACGGCACTTGTCCCCTTCTTCACAGACGTCCTGCTCGAGATTGAGCCGCGATGACCTCGTCCGGAGAGGAAGCCATAACCAACCTGCAGCGGCTCGAACTCGAGCATGCACAGCGTGATGCCGGCACCATCGCCGACTACCAGAACTCGAGGGCCCTGACGACCGATCAGTCCAAATTCAATGCCACGTACCTGCTCAGGCTGGTGTCGGCCGTGGCGGGCATCTCTCTGGGGACCGTCGCAGCGTATTGGGGGTTCAGTCCCCCGGCCGCGGTGCTGACCTATATCAGTGAAGACCTTGGTCAGTCCCAACTGCGGATGCTTCTCTTTCTCCTCGTTTGGATGCTGACCCGGGCGAAATAGGTGACGCTGAGAATGCCAGCCTCTTCAGCATCGTTTGGACCGCCGCTTGCGCCGTCTCCATCATCCTGTTTGGCAGGCTGTCCGATAAATTCGGACGCCGCTACTTCATGATCGGGGCTTCCGTGATCGGTGTCATCGGGGGCATCATCGCCTGCACGGCCAAGACAATGAACGTCCTCATCGGTGCAAATGTGTTGCTGGGCCTCTCAGGTGGCGTCCACACCTGCTACGGCCTGACGGTCGGCGAAATCTGTCCCAACAGGTACAAGTTTCTGGGAATCACCTTTTGCGTCATTCCCAGCATCTTGACGACGGGATTTGGGGCCTATATCTGTGAGTTTCTTCCGGCAAATTTCCCGTTTTGCCTTTGTACCACGGGGGCTTTTATTGATCTAGAAGTGCAGCCTTGCGACTTGTCAACACTGGCGCGGGCTGGCGGTGGTGCTATTACACCTACCTGATGATGATGGGAGCCGCAGCCGCGTTGCAGATCTTCTTCTACCACCCTCCGAGCTTCCAGCAGCTTCACGGCGGGAAACGTACAGTCATGGAGGAAGTCAAGCGGATTGACTTTGTCGGCATTTTCTTGATGACGGCAGGGCTTTCCATGTTCCTGCTGGGTGTCTCTTGGGGTATGAATCCCTCGCTATTTTCCCTGTTGGCTTTGACCTTTCTGACATGGTGTCTTGGACAGGTGGCTCTCCTCTTCCCTGGACATCAGCCCGTATTCTCAGCCTCCTCATCGTTGGAGGAGTCACCTTGGTCGTGTTTGTCTTTTATGGTAAGATCATTTTTGTCCCTGTCCGTCAAAACGTGTGTGCCACTGACAAGCTTCAGAAATCTACTCTGGCGTCGCCAATCCCCTCATCCCCATGTACTTTTTCAAGGACCTCCGGGGGTTTACGTGCTTGGTGGTTATCTGTGGCATCTCCGGCATCTCCTACGTCGCTCCCAGCATCATTTGGCCGACTCAGGTCGCCGAGATCTACGGCTTGAACACGACGGGCTGGCAGGAGAATGCGTGGCTGTCGACCACCATCGCCTTCGGCATCATTGGGGGCATTTACCTGTGGGGGCCCATGATCGCGGTGGTCAAGCACGTCAAGTGGCAGACGGTGGTGCTGGCCGCCATGGTCATGGCCTTCTCCGGGGCGCTGGCTTCGAGCAACCAGTACAACCGAGGCCAGAGCGCGGCGTTCTCATTCCTCACCACGCTCCCCGGCGGCATCCTCGAGCTGATCCCGGTCTCGCTCGTGCAGATGGAAGCCAACGACGCCGACCTGGGGACCGTCTTTGCCATTCTCTTCCTGGCCCGCACGACCCTGGGCTCCATTTTCGCCACCATCTACCTGGCCATCCTGAACAACAAACTGCCGGGGGAGATCGCGTCCAAGGTGCCCCAGGCCGCCCTGGCCGCGGGTCTCCCCAAATCGTCGCTGGCCGACCTGCTCCAGGCCGCCGCGGCGGGCACGACTGCGGCCTTCAGCGCCGTCCCCGGCATGACGCCCGAGATCCAGCAAGCGGCCATCAACGCCCTGCTGCACGCCCGCTCGGTCGCCTATTCGTACATCTACTATTCGTCCATCCCGGTCAACTTCTGCGGCGTCGTCGCCGCCTTGTGCATGCGCGACTACGACCATCTCCTGAACAGCCACGTTCCGCGTCAAATCTACAGCCACGGACAGGGCGCCGACGCTGCCGAGAAACAGGCGGCTGACGAGGAGAGATCTCCGGTCGAGACAGTCGATGCCGTCAAGAATGAGAAGAAGCCCTGGAGACAGGTGGAAAGCACCAGTTCCGAATGAGACGTCGGTCAGTCTCGGAAAACGGCCAACGGGCATCATAAGGGGACAGAGGTACAGCAGTACTCTGTACACGTAAAGTGGCTCTCGGAAATCGGATCGTCTATTCAAGGATAAATCTATGCGCTGCACGGAGTACCCCAGCCAGACTCCTAGAGGGCTCCGTATTTCGTAAACACTCCATTCAGGGATAGGAGAACGAAAAGTTGTTTTGATATACGAATACGGGCCCGTTGCGGCGGAAAACGGCGGCCGGAATACCATGTCCAGAAATGTACCGCCTATACGAGCAGCCCACGCACGCATGCCTCGGTAGGCGCCGAGTACAAGTTACTGCTCCGTACCTGGCATCCCCGTATATTTTAGCTCGGTGCTGCTCGTGGGTCAGTAGTGGGCGTGGACGTGGGCTGGGACGTGGGCTGCGGCTGAGATGGGCGCCGCTTAGCCGCTTGGAGGAAGAGCAATCACACCGGACAGGGATCGCCTGGCAAATTAACCCAGAGGAGCAAGGGAGGAGGCCTGAAACTGGGCCTTGAAACCACAGCTCGTCGTCGAGAGCTTCCGGACCACGACGAGAAGACGAGCAGTGGCCATAACAAGCATCTTTGTTCGATCAAGGTTAGGTTAGGATATACTCTGGAAATACATATCAGAGATACGAACTGCCCGAGAGGCACCGAAAACTGGCGCCAAAGTACGGAGGACCGAGTAAACAGTGCAGCTTGTTCGTGGATCGTGTCCAGCATGAGCAAAGTCCAGCTCCACGACCACTCCGCCTCATACCACGCCATCACCACCAAGTCGCCCCAAGGCCTCCAATGCCTCAAGAGGCTGTTCCTCGAATACGACAACGCCAACCCGAGCCGCGCCAATCTCAACAGTCTCTTCTCCCGAGACTTCACAGACAATGAGAACGAGTCGGAGCGGAACATCGGGAGGGATGAAGCTATCGAGGCCATCATTTCCACCCGGGCAAAGTGCTCGCGGCATCAAATCGACCTGAAACGCGCAACGTGCCTCGTCAACTCCGGGTCAAGCCATACCGTCTTCTTTGAGGGCGTGAGGTTTATGATGTTTGCGGCTACCCCAGACGGAAGTGATGCAGAGCTGCCGGTAGTCGAAGACAGAAGCAATTGGACGAGGGTCCCCTTCTCCGGCAGGATGGACGTGAGAGTCAAGGAGAACAAGTTCTCGCTCAAGGAAGCCGTGGCCGAGATCGTCAGCAGGAGGGTCACGTCCGACAACAGCGTCTTGGTCAAAAGGGACTTGATGGCCAGGACAAACTCGATACCGTTCGGTAGCCCAGCCGAATCGCCGCTGGCCAGATTGCAGTCTACGAGTACCAGCCAGGTTGGTCTTCCCGCGAATGTGTCCGAGTTGCCAGCAGTGATTTCTGCGCCCTTGGGCGATACCAAGTCTCTTCCTGCATACCCTTCCTCGGCCACAGGGACGCCGACTGTTACTTCGGGAAGCTCAGTCGATGGGGATCAATTGATGAAGCGTTGAGAACCATGGGGTTTCTGAGCATAGCAGAGCCCCAGCGATCATTCACACCATCGGCCAGCAAGGCGTCAAGGATCCTAGTCATGGGTAGCTCAAGGTAGCGTTGAGCTGGCGTCGAAGTTGCTTTAGGCCGCTTCTGTGTTCCTCATGGTGGTGATACAGTCTTTGGTAGGGGAGCTGCCCTTCCCAGCCCACCTCGCATAAATCGTTCGAAGCGGCTCTCTATTCTACTGAAGAAGCCTCTGTAGTCTCGCCCGGGCATTTCGGGATTGCGCCAGCCGTCCCTGGTCCAAATGCTCCAGCTGCCCATCTCACGGGCCAGGAGAACATCGGTGGCCAATCGGTCCCCCACGACTACGATCTCCTTGGGGTCCTGCGTAACACCATGATCCCTAAAATATTGTAGAATATCCGGTCCGCAGAATGGTTTCTTGCGGTCAGGGTGTTGTCTCAAGACCGGAAGGCCAAGCTCCTTCTCCAACTGCTTGGCTTCAGCTTCATGTTCTGGCGCAGAGGAGCTTCCTGCAGTGTTGGAGACAATCAGGATGCTGTGTGGATTGTGGCTGAACTCGTCGCTTTCCTTGATCTTTGCGATCTTGTTCAGATATGCATGATGTAATTTAACCGTCTCCGGTGGACATAGTGTGTTGTCTTTGTCTATGACAAGAGCACGGATCGTGGGTTTCTTGCCAGCGGCGTTGACAGATGGAAGCCAAGGGCCAATTGGTAGTGGGAGAGGGAGAAGAGTTGGAATGGTTCGGTGCGGGAGCAGGCACGATGGCTCGTTCAGAGCGTAGGCTAGGGTGAGGCGGAGCGCTGGCACATTGGAAAAGAGTGGCATGTCAAAAGACCGAGTGATCTTCGTTCTTGGAGCGAGTTTGATCGAATGCGAAGGATGAAGTTGCAGATGCGAAGTGAATATCACAAATGCGGAGATAAGTCGGACTTAGTCATGCAGGTCAAAATGTCAAATGTTGCTTTCATTTTCGTGTGGCTGCGGTGCGCCGTCAAAACGAAACCAGCCTCAACTTCAACACCCGCAACCACTTGCGACTGCCTCAGCTGTGTTGGTGCTGTTGTCGCCTGTGTCTGGCCGTCGATCCTTCACCGTATCATCCCTCTGCGCCGAACCACTGTGACCCGCGGGCGCCCAACATGGGCAAACTCACATCCACCATCGGCATTCCGATCAAGCTGCTCAACGAGGCTCAGGTGAGCATTGCACACAGATTGTCCTGTACCTCTGGACTATGCTGATGGTAAATGTGCTATATAGGGCCATGTAGTAACGTTGGAGCTCACATCCGGTCAAGTGTACCGAGGAAAACTGCTTGAAGGTGCGCATTCCTCCATTTTCCTTAGGATTGCCTATTTCAAGCCACGACTCCATTTGCACTTGATCACTGAGGCTAACTTTTGCCAAATGGAACAGCCGAAGACAACATGAATGTCCAACTAAAGGACATCACCGCCACAGCGCGCGACGGCCGAGTGTCACATCTTGATCAAGTCTACATTCGAGGCAGCCACGTACGCTTCTTCATCGTCCCAGACATGCTTAGAAATGCGCCTATGTTCAGATCGAGGGGTACTAGAGGCCGTGGTGTTGGTCTGGCAAGAGGAAGAGCTACAGTTAACCGGGCACGGGCTGGAAGGAGGAATTAAGCTGGTACAGGCGCAAGTCGGATGACATGGAAACAGAAATCGGGCAAGGGTTTGTTTTACGACGTTCGAAATCTTTTCACCGAAACGTGCAAAAGAATCGCTGCGCCACAGGAGGTACAGATCGAGAGCGGCTGGAGGGAAGCGAAGAGAGGAAGTTCGTGTGAGAACTGAGCTTTAGAAGATACCGCCGCTCTCCAGGAAGCCTGTGGATGTCTATCCAATTCGGTCCAACTCGAAAACACGCTCCGACCAGCTGGCAGACTCCTGATGCCGATATGGCACATGATTGAATGAGTGCAGGGCAGGCGTTGCAGCCTCGCTTACGAACACATTTGAAAACCTCGCCCTGCCAAGGCTGAATATAAACATGAATGAAACACCATTCGAACTTTGAATCATTCGTAGTAGTTCATCCACTTAACCAACATCGTCTCTGACGCTTGGGATTCTCTCTTGGGAAACCTGTGAGGTCGACCGAGTAAAGCTTCATTACTAGGAACGCTCCTTGTCGCGGGGAAAAGTGCCGATGGCATCCAACCCGCCACCTATAAAGCCATCCTCCTTCCGCCTCCTGATCCTGTCCCCATCGCCGCCGGACGTGACGTCGACTCCTCCATTCCGCCCGTTTCTGGAAGCAGTCACCGGCTCCAAGCCGTCGGACGAAGTGACCTCGTTTGCGGGGTATACCTCGCACCCGCCGCTGAGCTTGAGGACGAAATACTACAGCGCCGACGTGAGCATCTGGTGCGACGAACTGCCCTCGCCCACGGCCGCAGGGGCGACAAAGAGCACCGGCAAGGGTTCGGACCATGCCGATTCAGAAGAGGGCCAGCAGCAGCAGCAGGTGGCGGAGTCCGAGTCTGTAACCCTCTCGGAATGGAGGGAGCAAATGCTCTCCTTCGAGGCGGCAGAGGTGCGCGCCGTCATCGGTGGGGTCATTCTTATCCTCCCCGTCACCTCGCTACAATCGTCGAATGCGTCGCATGTCTCGCTCGTCGAGACTGTCCATGCACTTCGTGAAGCGATCGAGGACGAAAGCTACGGGCGAGATGTCGCTTCGCTCGTGGTACTACAGGCTACGACATCGACGGTAAGCAAAGCCAGGCTGAACGAGACGATGGAGCATTTGGAGGAGACTTGTTTATCCGAAAAGGGCATATTAGGGTGGGACTTCGTCGTGTGGGATGGTCAGCTCGAGGCACCAAGCGAGGGAAAAGATCACCAGACGGCCGAGGAGACGGGAGATATAAACAGGGATGAAGGGGATGAAAGAAACGAGTTCGGCGAAAAGACAGGGATCAAACGAGTCATCGAAGCGCTCGAGGGAGTCGACTGGTCTGCACCACCCCATTCGGACGGTGAGGATGAAGGGCACGGGGACTTTGACTTTGCAGATGTTAATGAAGACGACGAGGACGCTGGCGAGCTGTTTTCTTCTACGTCAAAGAACATACTCGGAAACAGCACGGGGCTGCTAGGGTTTGACTATGAACTCCAACGTGAGATGATGGAGTTAAAGATGTCGATGCTTGAAGACGCTGACGACAGTGATGACAATAACCAGGAAGGTCCCGAGAGGGAGCAAGAAGATGAAGACACGCAGGTCGAGCAGCTGCAGACGTTGATGGAGAGAGTCGTCGCAATCCGCGAGGCTGGGTCAGAGATGCCGAAGCCCGAGAGGGAGAAGTTCGCGCGGAGGGAGATTGGGAGGATCATGAGGGAGATGGGCTGAGGCGTCCCTGATGTGTTTTTTGTGTGCGATTTAACTGGGAATCCACGATTGTACGCTCTCAGTCTCATTTTTCGACCGTGAATGGTGACGTTTCCCACGCCTAGCCTGACGACTCCGTTGCATGTAGTCGTATCGAGCCTTGTGCTGGGGTCTCTTTCAATCTGCGGCACCTGGTTTCATTGCCCCAAGGACCGGCTTGGGTCGCTTGCTTCAGGATTTCATTTCCTAGTGGTGGGAGATTTCGATTCTCCTCAAGGAGGAGCTTGACCTTGAGTCCTCAATAAGGCTGGGTAACCCCTTCACATCAAAGCGAAGACGCGCTCCGATTTTGATGTCTTCTAACGTCACCTCTGCAATGCAGCCGTGCCTGAGGCCCGACTCTGATGGACCGACTCACGTGTAAGGACCGGTCAAGAGCGTTTTCAGATGGTGGGGGTTTGGTGTCGTTCTCTTCACCCATCTGGATCGTCAAAGGACAACTTGATCTTCTTTCCTTTCTTCTTTGGTGGAGCTGGTCTGGTCTTAGCCGTATGAGTCTCCTCATCTGTCTCCCTTGGGCCATCTTTCTGTTTGTGGGCTTTATCATTCACATCCCGGTCATCTTCGTCTTCGCCCCCGACCACTTTGACAGCCTTCCTCTTCTTTGCATTCGCTGCAAAGCCAATCTCTGTCACCCTCTGCCTCTCAAGTTGCTCGGAACCTTGGCTTGCTTCTGCTTGAGTCCCAGTAGCACCAGCGTCCTCCCCGTCCGCTGGGTTTTGAGTCTCGTCCTCCCCTTTCATCATCCGCTCGAATTCGGCCTTTTCAACTCGCTCACCCCGCTCGTCCAGGATTACTGGCTCGTCTTCATCATCGTCACCTGTCTTCAACCTATCCTTTTTTGGCCGAGGGATCTGTACGTTGTGTCGTCCATCGAGGCCTCCGACTTCCCCTTTCAACCTGCGAAGGAAGGTGGGTTCTTGCTTGTTATACTGTAGGTTTTTGGCATTGAATGCCATTGTTTGTTAGATCCTTCGTGTCATTCGCTCGAATGCGCGAACTAAGCGCAGTATAAACAAATCCTTGAAGGAGATAGAAGACGAGGCACTTGAGTCGGGAAGTGGAAAAGAGCACATCACGTGGCGATAAGAATTCTTATCTCTCCTCAATGCTGCCTCTGCACTACGCATCGCGTGTTCGCCTCCTGAGTTCACGACGTCAAGATTCTTGTGTTGGACTTCGGACTCAGCTCCCTCTCACGATGTTGAACAGTATCTCAATACCGGCCGCATAGATGCTGTGGCCTCCTACGCCGGCGCAATGCGCACGAGGCTATATCAGAACTTCGCAAAAGTTCAGGTTACGCCCACAATTTGCTTCGAGAGCGGCCGCCCTCCTACGACGACATTATGCCTCCGACGTTGACCGCTCCGTCAATACTTCTGCTGCCGATCGAAAGTCACTCGCGCGGGTCGCGAGTCCCAGATATAATGAGATCGGTATACAACAATTGAGCGACTCCCTTCATCCCCAAGTCTTCCCTTCTGGGGCCACGCGACCTCGCCCAGAGCTGGTGGAATTGTCCAAGGACCATCTCCGTCGGCATGATCTCTTGGGAAAAAATCAGGACAATACCCCCGCCATTGGCTTGGATGCGCCCCCGGTCATAGGGAGCAGTTTGGACGAGCACTTCACCAAACTGGGCCTCGACGCCGCCGAGCCGTACCTATCGTACGGCAAGGCATTTGTGCGAGCAAACACCCCCCAGAGGCCACGGAAATGGGTAATCAAAAGCGGCTGGACAAAATATAACGCGGACATGACGACAGAAGAGGTGGATGCGCCAGATGACACCATGCTATCTTTCGACGTTGAAACCATGTGGAGAGAATCACCCTTCGCTGTCATGGCCACTGCTGCCAGTCCTACAGCTTGGTATGCTTGGATATCACCCTGGCTTCTGGGGGAAACAGCGAATCCAAGGCAATTGATACCCTTGGGTGACCCAAGCAAACCCCGGATCGTCGTTGGACACAACATTGGGTACGACCGTGCGAGAGTTAAGGAAGAGTACGACTTGAAGCAGTCACGGAATTTCTTTATCGACACTATGTCGCTGCATGTCGCTGTCAACGGTATGTGTTCTAGGCAGCGGCCAACCTGGATGAAGCACAAGAAGAACAGGGATTTGCGGGATAAAATGTCAAGCGAACACAACTCCGTCGAGCTTCAGAGGATGCTTGAGAGTAAGATGTTGAGTGAGGAAGAGGAGGAACTTTGGGTTGGCAGAAGCTCCATCAATTCGTTGCGGGATGTGGCCAAGTTCCATACGGGTATTACAATTGACAAGAGTCAAAGGGACTATTTTGGCGAACTGGATCGAGAAGGCATCCTCCAGCGAATCGAAGAACTGCTCGACTACTGCGCCGCCGATGTGGCCATCACACACAAAGTCTTCCAGAAAGTCTTCCCCAATTTTCTCGAAACCTGTCCACACCCTGTCAGCTTTGCCGCACTACGCCATTTATCGACCGTCATCCTGCCTGTTGACAAGTCCTGGGATGAATACATCGATCGAGCCGAGAAGACATACCTCCAGAGACTCAAAGATGTCGAGCAGCGACTTTTACAGCTATCAGATGCCGCTTTGGAAAACAAGGATAAGCCGGAGGTCTATAATAACGATCCGTGGTTGAATCAGCTGGACTGGTCGGGTCAAGAGATCAAATACAAGAAAGCCAAGAAGAAAGGCGAGGAACCTGTCCCCGTCGCTCGGCAAAAGAAACCTGGCGCTCCTAACTGGTATCGAGATTTATTCGCCTCCAACACGTCCCCAATAAACTTGACAGTGCGAACAAGAATTGCCCCGCTGTTATTGAAGCTGTCTTGGGATGGCTACCCTTTGGTATGGTCTGACCAACATGGTTGGACTTTCCGTGTCCCGAACCAGGATGCCGGGAAATATGAGCACAGCAACGTTGTCAGCTGCGACATGTCAGAAGAGACGAATCTCAGGCTGAAGTCGGACTTCCAGCATACGTACTTCAAGCTTCCCCACAAGGACGGACCAGCAGCACGTTGTGCGTCACCACTGGCCAAGGGCTACTTGCAGTATTTTGAACAGGGCACCCTGTCCTCGAAATTCACCCTGGCGAAAGAAGCTCTGGAGATGAATGCCTCCTGCTCATACTGGATCTCGGCCCGGGATAGGATCACTTCTCAGTTGGTGGTCAGAGAAGCCGATCGAGATCCCAGTCTGGCCGGAAAGTCCGATCAGGGATTTATTCTTCCTCAGATTATCCCCATGGGTACCATAACCCGACGTGCTGTGGAGAATACGTGGCTCACAGCCTCAAATGCCAAAGCAAACCGAGTGGGATCGGAACTCAAGGCAATGGTCAAGGCACCGCCCGGATACTGCTTTGTCGGCGCCGACGTCGACAGCCAGGAACTTTGGATTGCCTCAGTTGTGGGTGATGCCCAGTTTCAGCTACATGGCGGAAATGCAATCGGCTTCATGACTCTGGAAGGTACCAAGGCCGCTGGAACGGATCTACATTCCAAGACCGCAAAGATTCTGGGCATCTCTCGAAACGATGCCAAAGTGTTCAACTATGGTCGTATCTACGGCGCCGGCGTCAAATTCGCAGCAACCCTCCTGCGGCAATTCAACCCTTCTCTGTCGGAACAGCAAACTAATGACATTGCGACGAAACTCTACAAAGAAACGAAAGGCACGCGTACAAGGCGCAAGATGTTCGGCAATGGCAGCTTCTGGCGAGGAGGCACCGAATCATTTGTCTTCAACAAACTCGAAGAATTCGCCGAGCAGGAGCGTCCGCGCACTCCAGTGCTGGGAGCGGGAATTACCGAGGCCCTCATGCGGAGATTCATCAATCAAGGCTCATTCATGACTTCTCGCATCAATTGGGCCATTCAATCCTCCGGCGTCGACTACCTCCATCTGCTAATAGTCAGCATGGACTACCTAATCCGGCGGTTCAACCTGGATGCTCGCCTCGCGATCACCGTACACGACGAAATCCGATACCTCGTCAAACATGAGGACCGATATAGAGCTGCGATGGCCTTGCAAATCAGTAATCTGTGGACACGGGCCATGTTCTCCCAACAAATCGGCATCGAAGACCTTCCGCAGTCTTGTGCATTCTTCTCAGCAGTGGACATCGACCACGTTCTCCGCAAGGAAGTCGATATGGACTGCGTAACACCCAGCCACCCAGAGAAGATCCCCCACGGGGAGAGTCTAGACATCAACCAGTTGCTTGACAAGGGGCAAGAGGCATATCTGAACCCAGCCATCGCGCCGAAAGATGGACCGATCGATCTGGACCGATATGCCTACACGCCAAGACAAAGTGTCATGTCGAGTCTGAACAGTTCGGGCGACACTGCTTACATCAAGGCGCAGATCACAAGCGACGAAAAAGAGTTGAAGGCCATTATCCGGGAAGCGGAGAACGAGGCGTCATCTCGATCGGCGTCAGAAGCTTCTCCAGCCGCCACGCCCAAGGGCTCGACCGGATCTCGATCTGCCTCTGGCTCTGGCTCAGGCACTCCGGGGCTGCCGCGGGGAAGACGCCCGAAACCAAAGGTCCCCATCCCTCCGCACGCGCAGCCGCAGCGCGCAATGCTGATGGAGGTCGAGGACCGGTGGGACATGGGATACAAAAAGGCATTTGGCCACGCCGGCCACGGTGGTAGCGCCGGCGGGGGCGTGCACAAGCCGTGGTTAACAGAGAAGAAGGCGCCGCCGGAGTGGTCGAGTCAGTGGGCAAGCGACGGATGGGAGGTGTGAGACGGTGAGATCATGAGATGTTCTTGTTCTTAAATGAGACGGAATCGTGTCTTTGTTTCCCGCCCATCGTACGAATGATTACACGTTTGATACACATGTAGGTACTACGGTCGAGATGCGCGGACGGCTCCCTGTCCTATGGATTCGGGGTTATATGGTATGTACCGAGTACCTGTACTTTATCTTGCATGCAAAGTTCGGGGGCGCCATGGAAAAGACCGTCGATCATGCGGCGGATGTATAAAAGAAAAGAGAGGAAAGGAGAGGAGAGGAGATAATATGGCCTGTAAAAATCCTTGAAAGAGGGCACTGTGTTGAGCTCTATACTCTGAATAGTGAATACCTGCTTGATCGTTTATTTATCTGTAGTATCTATACCTACCTCTTGTCAATTGTGACAGTCAACGGCGATCGATGCAAGATGAATGCATGTCAAGTCGAGTAAAAGTGAAGCCATCGTATCAAATTGTATCAATTCGTGCCTCTTTGAACACTGCTGTCTATGATCCGTCATGTTGTGTTCATCAACTCTAGCAAGAACTCTGCATACTCCTGGTGTCGACTGGTTCTATTCGACACATATCCTATCCCCCCTTCATTCCGTCTCTTGCGCTCCACTCCCTTATTCGCCTTCGCTGTGGTGGTCTGCATCTCTTCCATCAAACTGCCTCTCCCCATCCCATCATCACCATCGTGCAACAATCAAGCATAGGCAGCCCAGCCGCAGTACAACACAGCCAAGTTCCTCTCATCTGTGGCCTGTCTGATCAACTCGTTCACGGTGGCCTCTACGCTCAGGGCCTTGCCCAACTTCTTCGCCACCACGGTCAACGCGCGATCCGCTTCCGAGGGCTCGGTCTCTTCTCGGCGTGCCGCAATCACGCCGGCAGCATTGTCGGCCGCACCAGCAAAGGTGGAACCGACGCCGCTGGTCATCGACGAAGTGGACGGGCCACCAGCAATACTCGCGGCATCCGCAGCGGCTTGCTCATTGCTTTCCTGCATCTTCTGCAGGCGAAGAGGGGAGATGGACCACGAGTATAGGGGGTCGTAACGCAGGACGTCCAAGATAGTCATGATTGCTTCTTGATCATGGCGAAGGGCTTCAAGGGTGAAGTTGCAGCACCGCCGAAAGACACCCTCTACTCCGGTGAGACCCATCCCGTCTACCAGATCACGAGTGAGCCGGAAGGGTACAACTTCGGGCACAGGGAGGACGCGACCCGCTTCAAAGGCAACGCCCAAGTCAATGTGGACCACTTCGCCCGTCTTCTCATCAAGGAGGATGTTGTGGCCGTGTCGGTCTCCCAGTCCAAGGACATGGCCTAAGATGCTCACGGCAGCAGTGGATCGGCTGTAATTCAGACGCTTATAAAACCAGTCATCTGGGTCAAGAAACTTCTCCATGAAGAAAAATCGCATAACGGGGTGGAAGTTGGCGGTAACCGTCTGGTAGGTTCGCACGCGCTGCTCAAGGTTCTTGGCCTGTGCCTCGAAGATGTCTTTTCGGGCACGGCTGGCCTTATAGTCCTTGGGATAATAGCGCGCGTGAGCAGGAAGCAAGTATTCGTTAAGAGGGATAGTGTTCTGGACAAATTCAATAACGCCCGAGTTCTTTGTAAGTGGGATGACCTTGTAGGTCCGAATGCCAAGGTTGCGTCGCCGCGTGGCACGGTGGTCCTTCAAGAGGTTCGAGACTTGTTCAAAGACCTGCTCCATGATGGCGTCCTGCCGAAGGTCATCGTTGCCTCCCTTCAGCAGCAGTTTGTGTCGAGACCCATCCGAGGCGGTGATGGTTGCAATTTTGGGAGCCGATGCACCGCCGGCGACAGAGATCATCGGATCAACCATGGTCGAAGTGGGTACTCCTGAATAGTCTCGATCTGCTCGCAAGGCAATGTTCATGGTTGGTGGAGGGATCTTTGTTGTCGGTTTGGTCATCTGAGCTTCCAACGCTGGGCCGTATTTCAGTTTTCGTAGCGGGAGTTTCGAACCACTCTTGAGGTCTCGGTCAGAGAGCCCTTCAACAGCCACCCGATTCAGAGCAACGCAAGTATTGTGAACAGTCGTCCATATTGCCGAGGATGTGCTTTGTTGCTTGACGCGTTCGGTCAATATGTTGGCGGCGGCGAATCTGGAAGCAGCCACTTCATCCCCAGGGGGAGCCTTGGATTTGCTGGTGGCAAACACCTGGTACAAACTGTGATATGGATGATCAGAGCAGATGCGGAACATGAGATCCTTGAGCAGGGTCTGAAAATCATCCTGAATATCCAGCAGGCGAGAAGACAGCTGATTGACGAGCGGAGCGAACTTGAGAGTAGGGACCGAGTCGAGGTACTTGCGAACAGCAGCGTTCGCTGTTGGACTCTCGGCTTGATTGAGCCACAGCGCGATAAAACGGAGCGTGTCACTGGGATAGTCGTCGGACGCCCTCATCGATAACAGGTAGTTCTCCAGGCACCGAAGGATGAGGTTCTCTCGGTTCTGCGAGACCCTCCTCCATTCTTCTTCATCGAGTTTGAACCAGGTTTTGGCTCTTGCTAAGTGTGTTTTCAATTTGGCTCGCTGTTGGTCATTGCTCGCCTTTTTCACCATCCTGTCTAGCTCGCGGACTTCGTGCATCTTCCGATCTCTGATTTTGCTGATTCGCGTGAAGTCGTCCAGGTTGTCCGTGTCCTGCAGCTGCATGTCGCAGAACGCAGCAAAATTGTGAAACACTCGGCCAGCTGCGGAGCCGGTACGAGGTCCCTGCAGCTCTCGGATTGCTGGAGCTAGGTACCGTTCTATAATCTCATCCGGTTTTTCCAGACGAGCTTCGGCAATCTTGTGGCCCAGGTCTGTCAGAATGTCAGCTCGCGGCACCGCGATGGCCTGTGCGGCAGCATCTTCGCGGTCTCCCAGGCTTTGGAGGATGTCAATGGAGGCTGACACTTCTTCCTGTGCCCACAGCGTTTTGGCCAGGTCGTAGTTGATAGCGACGTCTACCTTCAGTCCTACACTTTCAGCCAACTGAGTGAGGTGCGAGAGGTACATTGCTCGATTAAGGCTGAACTGTGGCGCCTCATAACTGGATGCCATATCCAAAGACTGCCGAGTCACTTGAACTTCAAACAGCAGCGCCCTCGGCAGGTTCAGTGAGAACGCAGCCCGCAACTGGTTATTTCGACGGATAGCGGCGAAAGCTGCCTCCCTGCCAGCCAAGATCGGCGATAGTGCATTGAATCTGCTGCGGTCAGTCACCGTGGACGATGTGAGCGGCAGCACTTACTCCGCGAGTTTGATCCTTTGATCCCTAGCCACTATCGCCGCACAGGTCGAATCTAGGGACTCTGCCGTTGTTGCACCCAAAATCTGCTTCGCCTCTGCCAGGACTGCTAATTTCGGATAGAGGTCATCCAACTGACCTCGTCTAATAGCGTCCGCTCGGAAAGTGTCAACCTGTTGCAGCAACAACAGGTCCAGCTGTCGAGCTAGACTGCTCTTATTTGAGATGCTGTGCATGTTGCGAAATAGTGATGACAAGGCGGTCGACGGCGTAGAAGACTCACTGGTCCAGCAAAGATCCCAATGACCCATGGCCAAGCTACTGTCGGTAGTGTTCTTGTGAGGCCCTTCATAATGTTGCTTTACTGCTTCAGATATACCCTGCATATTTGCGGCGCTCAAGGTTAATGCTGTCGTGAAGGCAACATCACCCAGGCTGTTTTCTTGCTCCTCCAGTCTCAACCGAGAGTCAAGCATTGCGCTCTGAAAAGATAGAGATTTCTGGCTTGCCCCTTCATGGCTCATTTTGCTAATGATTGACTTCAGATCGTGACTCTGGTGCTTGCCATAGAAGAAATCAGGATCATCGACATTTTCGTAAATCTTGGAGAAAACTTCCGTTGAGATGTTGTTAGTCATTGCGAAAGACCGTCGAGAAGACCGGCCTGTCTGGAGTTGGGCTTGAGAATAGTGAAGTTCCAAGAAGAGCAGAGCTTCATGCCACATTTGACAATCGCTAGCAGCCAAGGCGGCGTTGCTGAGGTCCACTTCCAGCCAGGAGTTTCGTTGCGCCATGTTGGTCTCGTTCGGGAGGTGGCATTTTCGGAGATACAAGAGCGTCTTCAGCAGTAATTTCCTGGCCTCACTGAGTGCCTGATCCTTTGATGAAAGAACTGCGGAAGAGGTCTGAGATAATGTCTCGCGGAAAACTTGGCGCGAGTTGGCTTCGGCGAGTAAGATAAGATGGACGCTATACGGCAGCAAGACACCTGCTGCATTAGGGATCGTTTTGATTAGAGGCCGGAGGAAACCCAGGACAGGGTCGCCAGCAGCAGCTTCGGAGATCTGAGTAAGTAGTTCCTTAGCCCAGTTACGTGAATATTTCTGAGAGTCGTGAGTGGCTCCTTCTTGTTCGTCTATGAGACCGAATGTCGTGGACAGTGGCGCTGCAGGACATGGGAAATTCTTGAGTCTCAACTCATGGACTATCCTTTTGTCAAAATCTGCTGCCAAAAAGGCGCTTTCATCGGCTTCGTCCAAGTTGCTGGACACAAGCTGTAGAGTATTTTCGGCAAAAGTCAACGCAGGGTAATCGGACTTCCAGAGCAGATCGACGAGGTAGCGTACGATGTTTGTATAGGAAGAGGCCGCTTCGAGTCCGGCATCAGGCGACTGATTTTGTATAAGCCTCGTTTCAACATTGGTAGTCGAGGTTAACCCGCGCATGATATAACCTCGACCGATCCCTTGTGCGGCCCAGATGCGGAAAGATTCGTCTAAATCGAATCTTCTCAACAGGCTTTCGAGAGTAGGTAAGAACCGGGAAGCGTCGTCGTCATTGGAAAGTATGTCGTCTTGATAGTCTGACGCTGGGTAAAACTGTCTGCACAGAATCTTGATTGAGAGATCGAAATGAAAATCCGACAGAAGAGGATTGGTGCTGCTCTGGTCCGAGAGCAAGGCATAAAGCAACTGCCCTTCGCTTGTGCTTCGCAAGCTGCTCCCCGTCCGAGATATACCTTTCGCATGCCGAATGATGTTCTTGTACCTTCTTAGTGTTTCGCCATCCGTTTCTGCGAGCTCTAGGGATTCCAAGAACTGCCCCAGAAACGCGCGAAATTCTTGAGCCTTAGTCATAGTCGAGATAAAATGGTCCTCTTGTGTGGTACTATCCTGAGAGGACGCGATGAAGTCAGTAAGAGAAGCGAAGATTGAGACACAGAGGCCAGCGATAAACGAAGGGCGAGAGGCTAGAGATTGCGCTCCGTGACGAAGAAGGAAATGGTAGATGGCCATTGTCTCCTCAGCACACTCGAAAACAGTAAGATAAGGTCGCAGATCATGCAGCATCATCTCCAGTGGATAGCCTTCGTAAGCAATGGGACCTGCAAGGCTGATGACGATGCGAATTTTGCGGATGATACTGCAGGTGTGAAGAGGTCCTAAAGCCGGCCTTGCTCTGTCCACAAGTTGTCTGTATAGATGGACTAAGAAGCCTGGTGTCCACATATCGCTTTCTTTCAGATCGAGACGCCAGCATAGGTATTTGAACTCTTCAGTCAGGCAACGTGCTCGGAAGCATGGCTGCTGAGCAAGTGGTAATTGGACATTTTGACCCGAATCGTTGACTATCTCTTGCCAAATTGCGAGGCTAGAGCTCGGGAGAGCCTTTTCGATGCCTCGATCATCTTGAAGGGATAGTACAAGCAAGGCAATAATGTCTGGAAGGCAGTCGCGAAGTCGTAGGAGGTATAGCTCCGACCCTAGCTGTTTTCGCACTAATTTTTCCGAGCCATCATAAAGACGGTCGTGTTTTGGCACGCTAGTTTCTGAAGCAAGTGTGTATGCTTCGGCGTAGGCAAAATTTTCGCTGAGTAAAAGGTCCCATCCCTGGTCAACGAGCTGGGCCAGCTCCTCCGAATGTTGAAATCCTCGAAGAGCGATCTGTCCTGTAAGCTCTGCAACATTGTCCTCAGCCATCTCTTCCACGGACTCATACTGGAATAGTTGGAAGGGCATGTTGGCAAGGGTCTCCTGTGATAGCCATGTGTAGAAGATCTGCGGAGAAAACAACTTGAAAAGCTGCCTTGGGTGTCGGAGTTTGAGCACTTCACAGGTTCTGGCGATACAGCCACGTCCGAGTTTTGTCGTAGATGGTACATGTGCAACCGTGTCAAATAAGTGATACATAGCTTGCCGCAGTACGGTATGCCATCGGGCTCCAAGGTATGAAACAATATACAAGCGCACAGCGATGCCTTCTTTGTTGTCGGGATCCGTGGGCAATTTGGTGACAACATCATCGAATATTGCTTCGTGTTGAGTCAGGACGTATTTTTCAAAGATATGAGACAGTTTCTCTGCAAGTCGATACTGGTTTGCCGCGTCACTCACATCTAGGATGCTCAGCAGGCTTGTCCTGGGCGATGGAAGATCATCGCCGCCGTAAGAAGCATCCTTGCGCAGCAGGGCATCCAAAAGGTCCGCCAGTGTTGATAGCACCCTCGGGGATACAACGCCCCTGCGGGTCGTGGTTTTGAGGAACCAGAAATAAAGATCAAAAGCCGTGCCCTCCAATTCGTCTTCTTCGTCTGCAGCAGTCCAAAGATCCATAAAGCTTTCAAGAGTGTGGAGACAGAAACACAGTGCAGACTCGCATCTTTCAAAGGCTTCGTCCCGCAAATATGACTCGGCCAGTTTCTTGAGCAAGCGATGAGCGTCCTCACGAGTCGTTGCGGTTTTCAAGTTGAGAAATTCTTGCACCGCTCCTCGTGCAGCAATGAGCGAGAACGGATCAAGCGCTAAGACCTCATCGATGATCAGACCAGTTACAGAACTGTCAAGGACTCCTGCAGATTTGACGGTTTGAAGAGCTCTCGTCAGCTCCACCGAGTATCTCGCCAACCGAGCAGGCGAATCTTTGCATAGCGGAAGGTCAAGTCTGGACGTATCGATACCGGCGCCTGGCTGACTCCTTTGAATCGCCTGGGAATCCCATGCATCATCGTCCAGGAAATCCAAGTCTGCGGGATCGCTCCTAGTCGCTGAGGGCATGGCAAGGCGAGCAATATCCAACGCAAATTCGATGAAGGCTTGATATTCTTCGCCATAGCTGCGGTTGCCGTTGTGATACAATTGTTTGTGGGTAGTAACAACGCAGTCGCAGATACGATTGGCCATTTCCCGTGAGCGATCGATAGTTTGCTTGACGATAAAGTCCCTGAGGACGCGGCGGCTCTCTTCCAAGATCGAAGGCTGCCTGTGTCCAGGAGCTTGACCACTGCAACGAACCCATAACGCTGAGGAGACGACTGAGGCGACACCTAGAATTTCCACGATGTCATTTCCAATATTTGAAGTTCGCTCTTCGCGGATCACCGTCCATGAGTGGACAAAATCTCTCGTCTTTTTTGCTAGAAAGTCGATCACAGTTCGGAAAAGACGAGCCAGGGTGGCCGTTTCTAATTGGCGACGAAAGATCTTTGGATCCTCGTCTACCTCGAGTGATGGAGCAGGAATGGAGAGAAGATACCGCAAGAAGTCGAGATTGACTGACGCTATCATCGCCGAGTCGAACAACGGATGCGCTGGTGTCCAAGTTTCACAAAAGGCTATCGAATCTGTGAGGCCGCACGTAGTACTCAATAAAGAATATAAAAGTTCCGGTCTGGCGTGACAGACGGTGTGTGCATTGTGAAGGCGATCAAGGTTCGAAGCTGCAGGAGAAAGTCAGCAGTACAAATCAAAGCCCCGACAGGAACGAACGTACGGAGAGTCCAGCGAGCAGCGAGCCACGCAATGACCTTTAGACCGAAAGACTCAAAACGCCGCTCGTGGTCAAAGCATTTAGAGCGCAGAGCTTGTGTCATCAAGAGCAGAGATGTGTCTGTGAGACTGCTAGGGCCATTATTACCACCTCCGAATAAGGTACTCTCCAGCGAGTTTGCGCTCATTGACGAATCTAGAGCCCCTACCCGGAGGAGGACGTTGAGTGCATGGCATGCAGCCCTCGTTGTGGAGACAACTGTCATGGCTCTGGTCGCTGCGTCCCATACTTGCAACCAGAAATCTGAGGTTTCATAATCGCGACCAGCATTACCGATCGCTAGTCTAGATTGTGATCAGCCATTGAATCGAGACTCCAGGAAAACGACGTACCGTGAAAAGACCAGAAGAATCCATGTTTGAATGGTAGGATCCTCGTTGCCAAGGTCTGGCAATAGCCTGTAAAGGTCCTTTGTCCAGTCTTGCTCAATGCCTTCAGGTTGATCAAAGAGAAACAAGATAATTTGTAGAGCAACTAGTTTTTCTTGCCCTGTGCCCACCATTGCTAGCTCAAGGATTTCATCTAGCCGGCTCTGAACCTTTTGTCGCTTCCGCGGAATCTCCTCTGAATCGGCTGCATCAGTCTGGGTATGTCTTTTGAGACTCAATCCAATGATGAGACATGCGATGGTGGACAACATAAACCAGCTGGTTACTGCCCGCGGAGAATTGTGAACAGGTTTGAATTGCTTGAGCTGCAGAGGGGTATTTTCTGGTGCGAAAATTGGCTGCATGTCATCAAAGTGAAGGACGTCCCTTTCGTTCCTCGTGCGGTAGTCCGACAGAATGGTGATCAAAAGCGGTTCCAATAACGCTGAATCGATTGGAACCCAGGGTGCACTTGGAGCAAGGAATAGATATCGACATGAGAACAACGTGATTAGCATCTGTTGCTGGAGAAGGATAGACCTGGTTGGCCACAATCGTCTAATGGCGGGAATGAGGTTAGACAACAATCTCTGGGTGAAGGTAACATCTTCGGTGAGAGAAACAAAAAGGAGGTTGTTCACAGTCTCAAATGCCCCTTCTTGACCCCTCCTGTCGACCTGCACGAACTCTTCAACCTTCTCAGCAATAATTGCCGCTCGTGACATGACTGGTGCGTTGGTATAAGACGTCAAACACTTCAACGCATCCCAAATGTCTTCGAAATTTGATGCACTTCCCTTACCTGTGCTCCTGGAGCTTGTGTGGCTGAGTCGTACAGACAAGTGTTGAGTTGTCCTCGAAGTCATGCTGATGTCTCTACTGCTTGAGCTTCCCTCGTCAACCGAGCCATCGTCGAGGCCAGTCGTCAGACACTCGAGTGCGAAGTCGACATATGCCTGCCATTGTTTCCGGCGCATATGTTCTCCATGCGGAGCGTAGCCAAGGAGGATTCTGAAGCTCTTGAGGTAGTCATTCTGGAGGGGTTCGCACAGAGAACCATCCGGCGAGAGTAGGGTGTCGATTATATGGTCCAATACTGAAAGAGCGGTTTTGAAAGTGAGCCTTTGGGTGGCTACCTCGACCACTAGACGGAGGGCTGCCGACGCCGCCTGCAAACGAGCAGCAGCAGTGTTTCTTGTCGTTGGCTTAGTAGTGGCTCGAAGGAACACAGGCTTCTCCTTGGACACTAGCTTATAGAGAAGCTCCAGTATCCTGTGGAAGATGTCCTCTCCAATATCCTGCCTAGATCGCCCGGTCAGCCCGCGCAGCAATGGAAGAAACGGTACACATACGAGTTTCTCTCTTCTCCCAGGAGCCGTTTGAGCTCTGAAGCAACATCATTAGCTCCGAGCAGTCAGAGGGATTCAGCATTACCCTCGAGCCCCTCACTTCTCACTCTCTGACTGTCCGCTCCTAGCTTTGCTGCGGCACAAAAAACAACATTGTTAGTTCGCGAGGCTGAACGATAGGGGGAGATTGGGGAATCTCGAGTTCGTACAAACGGTAGTTGCAATGTTAGCCTCCGACATCTCTCCGGTCCGCAGAGTCGTATGACTGCGTCGCAGCAGCAGTCATGATCCGGCCAGGTAGACAGCATAGACCTCTAAATCAAGACACATTTCCGGTGTGTGCTGGCGGCTAACGAGGCGAAAGTCGACGATGGCGAGAGCAAGGCGACCCGTGAGCTTGGCAGCGCTAACCCTTTTTGGAAGTTGCGACAAGTGTAACTGCGATCGCGTTTCGACTTTTTTTTGGAGACGCGCAGGAAGCCTGCCACCGGTCAACAAGTTCCTGGCGCGTTTCTCCCTCCCAGATGACCTCTGTTCCGATACACTCACTATGGACAGTCTCTCGCGTCTACAGGGTCTCCATGCAGACCTTGTCGCCTTTACCGAAACAAGACTGGCCAACATCGACCGCCTATGGCAGGAACTAGAGGACAGCCTTCAGGACTTCAGGAAGCTGCTGGACAAGACAACACCCACGAGTGCTGATCGAGACGCTTACAACAATGGTATGATACTATCCTGTCCCTCCTAGCGATTCAACACTGATCCATGTGTAGGGAAACTCAGCGTTGACGACCAGGAATATGCCATCAATGATGAATTCAAGCATATCAGCCGGGCTGTTGCAACCACCCTTGACCTAGACGAAATCGAGGCCGGACGGCTGCTGATCCAGAGCCAGACCGATGTCCATACCACAGAGGACTCTTTTGTGATGGACGCAGTGAGCAAGTTTCACAATCGCAGAGACCTTCTACTCCAATCCCTCCGAATTACTCTCCAACAGTCGCTCAATTTAGAACCCGGTGATGCAGTCAAACGAGTCTTTGAGACCACCGTTGCCCGGGTTTTGGAGATTGATGGTGGTGTTCCCAGCAACGGGTCAATCTTCGCCAGAAAATGCTTGAGTACATTGGAGGATGTTGAAAAGTTACAAGCCAAGGTTGCGGACGCGCTTCAGAGCAAAGCGGTTCTAGGCGGGCCTCGGGGTCCCGAGTTTTATGCCACCCTTGAATTCCAGCGAGACAGTCTATTCAAACAACATGAAGCCCTGGCTTGTATTCTCGCGTATTTATTTCAAGGAGACTACACCAACCAGGAAGATCTACGAAAGCTTCACGGTGTACTGCCGCGCTGGAATCGCCTCGATTTTAATCTCATCCATTATCTGCCCGCATTTTCAGCAGCATTTCGGCAATACGGTTCTCCCGAGAGCCACCTTTCCCAAGAGAGCACTGCCTCTCTCGACTCTGTGTTCGGGTCATTGCCACAAGATGCTCCTTCCACCCCCATCAGGCCTTTTCAGGCGGTTTTGAACCTCTGGTGGACCGTTGAATACAGTGGGAAATTCCGCGACCTGTCCGATCAGGACCCTGGAATGGAGAAGCGGGCAAATGCAGTCAAGGCGGCATTGAAGGAAGATGCCTTGGAATTCATGCTTGCAATATGTACAAGCACCAATTCAGATGTCTGGCGGCATCCTGCCCGGCAGGAGCTAGTGACTCTGCTTCTCAGTGACACTGCGGGTTTTGCCCTCGAAGGCGAGCAGACGTCATCCTACTTTCGCTTGCAGTTCATGCAATCTCTGGAGAACTTCACCGAGGCATTTATTTCGAACATGCCGGACTCAATACGAAAGCTCAGGACCGAAGAAGATGACCAGAGGTTGAATCAATTGACAGCACTGCAAGAAGGCTTACCACCTGCCAATCAAGGCACGAGCGTCAGCAAACTCCATCTGGAATGCTTTCTCATCCTCATCTCGTTCGCTTTTGAAGGCAGGCCTGAGGCTGCGGAGCAGTGGTGGGAAGACCCTGACAGCAACTTGTATGGCTTCTTGCAGTGGGCATCTCGAAGACAAACAGTGCCAAGGGTGAGCGCTTTCTGCGAGCTCTTATGCTCGATCTCCGAGGAGCAAGAGTGCGCAGAAGCAGCGCACAAATTCTTGCTGGACGACTCACAGCCTGCTCAAATACGAGGTCGACGCAATCCTTCCATGAATTATCAACAAATATTTGCCGAGTTGGAACTTTACGCGCAGAAAGTCCATGAACATCCTGTTACATCTCAACTACCCAATGTACGGAAGATCCAGCCCACTGACATGAACGAGCTGGAGAGCCCTGTCATGCTCTCCTGCTATCTCCGCTTACTTGCGCATCTCAGCCGACAACCCAGTGGTACTCGCCAGTACATCCTACAAACCGTGACTCCAGCCTTCCCGCAGGCTCTCCTGCTTCTCAGTTCCGGTCCTGTCCCGAGTTATTTGAGAGCAAGTGTTTTTGCGGCACTGGACGCGCTGTTGACCGACAAGACTGCACAAACTGCTACCACGCTGTGGCAGATCGTCGACGAGTGGGCGGCAAATAGCCATGACAGGGCCCGACCCGCTGCTAGCAAAACGATAGCACCTCCCAAACCAACGCTGTTCAATCTACAGAGCACTCTCAATTCAATAGCAATGTCATTTGATCAGTATGACGCCTTTGTCGTGTTCCTGCGCGATCTGGTTGTCTCTCTGCCTTCCACTGGGCTCGGGACTGATTTGCTTCCATTTCCCAAGGATCTCGGGGCGTCATATAGGGCCCCCGGGATAGCACCCTATATCGACTTCGTATGCGGTCAGGTCTTTGGCAAAGCGATCCTAGAAGTTACTGACGAGCTTCAACGGTCAATTGGTTCATTTCATTGTCTCGAATTCGTGGCTGTCGGCCTCGAGGGATTCAATGAAGACTATGTGGCGATGCTTGATCGCACGACATCGGCACATGATGCTCTTCAAGACATGCCGGAGGCAGCTTCATATGCTCAGCGCAGTCCATTTGCGAGACTTATGCAGTGGATCCTGAGCAGTGATGTGAACAGGCCGTTAATGGAAACCCTCCGCGTATCTGGAGAAGCTGCGGAAGCAGCTCTTCCGGATTCGCCCTTGCTCCTCAGTCTACAACGTTCAATTGATATCATCAATCGAGTGCTTGACCTGCAGCCAACTTATTTCGACATAGTGAGACCGCTGGTGCAGTCCCAGCTAGCACAAGACGGACCTCTTGCTCGGCCAAATCTAAACAGCTTAGAAGACAGCTTGGCTGCAAATCCGAAGACCGTGCTCAATCTTTGTCAGTTTTCTGCTACCGGACATTCTGAGCTCGCACTTCGTGCTCTAGCTTTGCTGCAGAAGCTCTCGAGCTCCCCCAAGCTCAACAACCATTTCCTGGCCAGCGATCCTACCCTAGGTCGAACGCGGAGAATTGTGGATATGTTGGGTCCAGATCCGGCCTTTGAGCTGGAGCCGATCGCGAGAAATCTGTCTGCCAGGCTGCAGTTCGACGTGCGAGAGCTTGAGGAAGGATTTGGGGCTGTCAGCTACCTCCTCAAAGATGGGATTTTAGCCTTTTTCAATGCATGCCTCGAAACGCAGCCTGACCTTCCGAACGTCGCGCACCTCCTGTTAGGTTTCGCTAGATTGGGCGAACGTCTGACCATTTCCGACTCCATCGATGCAGCAACTGCTGTTTTCAACTCCGTCGTTGATCTGGCCCGGAATTATCCCGACGACGAGGATGGGATTATGTCGTCCTGGTTGATACACATGAAAGCAGCCGCCCTACGTGTGCTGAGACATCTATGGTCGTCCCCGATATCCACCGCCATTGTTGTTGGGCAACTCCGCCGATTTCAATTCTTACAGTCTTTGTATATCAGCCTTCCCGTTGTCCATCAGCAAACTCTGTGGGACGGCAATAGCGTGCTTCACCCGGCTTTCTGGTACACCACATCGGCAGAAGCCCTTGCCGAGTTTCTCACGTTTCGGGCGTCTTTGTACAACTACACCGTCACTGAAATACGGTCAGCGGCGAGTGAAGGATTGTCGACAACACTGCGGCAGACCTTGTCAACTCTACAGGGCAAGACTACAAACGTAGACGGCAGTATCATCACCAACCCTGACGTTTTTGCTCTTTTTGACTTCCTCGAACTCGATCTTTCCGCCAACCTAGAAGTTGACCCTCAATTATACCCAGGAGTTGACTTTGAGATCTATTTGACAGAGGCCACTGAGAGGCAGCCTAGTGTTTACGATGTCAAGATGATCCGCGAGTATCTCAATGCTTATCGAGCCGACATCATACGAAATCAGGCTACAGCACAAAGCAGCAGCAAAGTCGATGAACAGATTCTGATTGACGAAGCCGACACAATATTGGCCATAATCGAAGCTCGAAACCGATCTATCCTTGCCCACAAAGCCAGAAGCGATGCGTTGCATGAGTATGTGGAAATGCTCATCGCTATCATTGAATGTTGTCCCATGGAGGCCACACCCAAGGCACAATTTATCTTGCACATGCTACAGGTCATGCTTCCCAAGCTCGATGTCTTCATCGTTGATGGAAGAGCGGACGTGACGGAGCTAGCCCGAGCTGCTGATGCCTTGTTCTTCTCCCTTGCTCAAACTGACCTCAAAAACACCCAGATGAACAATATCATCACTGAGAAATTGTTCCAGCTCTTTCGTGCCTCTGTTGAAGGAGTTGCGGCGTCCAACTCAAACACAAATCTTAGGACGATATTCTACAGCATTTGCTCGCAGTACCTAGGCCGCATTACATCCTCGGCTGGTGGCGTCTCGGATGTAGACGTCAAAGCAAGGCGTAACAGTATGGACTGTGTCCGGTCCATGAGCCAGCGCGTCGTGCAAATTTTGTGCGATGATGCGGATGACGGAGTGGACGCTTGCAGGCTGAACGCCCTCAGTCTTCTGTCACTTCTGACATCCCTGGCCCGCACAGAGAAATCTAACTTGGTTCTCGATTCGTTCGTCAAAGTCAATGTGTTGGAGATCCTAGTCGACCCCCTTAAGAACGTTGCGGAAGAGTTTCAGAGCTCGGAACCACTTTGTACGTCTCCCCAAGCCAGTCCAGGTAAGATCCCATGAACTCGTCGCTAACGTGTAGACTCAACAGATCGCCGCTCCCTTCTCTCCGTCTTCGAAGCACGTATGTTTCTCCTTCTGCAGATCTCACGCACCCGGGACGGCGCAGGAGCTCTCCTCGACGCAGGTCTCATGTCTGCTATCCGCGACTCAGTCCTCTTCCAAGCAGATCCCGATCTCGGCATCTCGATGGCTCCCACCTCTGGTGACACGGCCGAATCCAATACCTATGCTGCCGACTCCGTCATATCGGCCCTCCACACATATTACGTCCTTTTGTCATCAACCCTCCGCGTTCTTCTTTCCACATTCCTCTCCAGAGGAGCTCAGAACGAGCAGATTCAATATCTCGCCCGCTCCTTTTTGACCGAATATCGGCCGAATATGGTGGGTGTGTTCAAAAAGCATGCAGGTGTAAGTGGCAAAGTGGACCAAGTGTTGAAACCATTAGTGGAGGAATGTGTGCGGTGTTATACAGGCCTGGCTGCATTATCTGGCTTCGTGGACTTTGAGGATCAAGCAGGATTGGATCCGGGACGAGATGCCAGGTTCTCGTAAGTGTATGAACATGTGAAGAGTAGCTTAGGACATAGTGTCAAGGTTCATGAAGACATGAGCATTAGGAAAATGAGCCGGAAGGAATGGTTTTCTGATCGCCTATCCGCCCTTATTCCATCTGTCCCGTTTCTGCATTCTGCTTGCCATGTCTCGCCTATATATAACCTTACTATTTTACCCAGGCTGATGACACCACGGCTGTACTTACGCGCACCCAGAACCTCAGGGGAGACGGGGCCCTTGAGGGACATCCTCGTAAGTCCGTGCCGGGACAATTCAACATGGCATCAGAACTGTACAAGACTTTTCGAGGGGGGTGTTGCGGTCTCGTCCGACATGCGCATGTCCTCCCACCGACGTCACCATGTTTGATATCTCGGGTATGGAGGAGCAGGAGTAGTAGTGTACACCACGTGCTCTCGTCGAACGCTATTCCCTATGTTCTCGATGGAGATGAGATGAAGCGCCCTGGGCCCTGGGCCCTCTCTTTAAAGGTTGAATGCGGTGGATCACAGGGGCAAGTAGCACAGGTTGGCAAGGGTGTCCCGAAAGGCGATGGCGTCTTCGGTGATGCCACGAACCCAGCCCAGCGTAAGAAGGGGAACTCGTCGTGATCACCGGGGTGGCGATAGAGATGAAATCAGCGCACGACAGCACACCGTCGTAGCATCACAAGGAGTCAAAGGATGTGCTCACGGGTCGTCTCAAATACATGGCAGATATAATGGCAGAAGAGGATCCAGACTTGTCACAGGTCACAACACGAGACGAACAAACAAGTCAAGTGCGAATTAGAAAGCAGTGAGACCTCCCTGTCGAAAGTCAATGAGCTTCTCGCAGCAATGGATACACCACGGTGTTCGCTTGGACCTGTCCGATCGTTTTCCGGCTTCCGAAAGGACGAGAAAACTGGAATGATCCCTACACCGACAGACACACCGACCGTCATGCCCAGACGGAAAAGGTCGCGATAGAAAGGGGAGACGACAGCGACAGCGAGCTGAGTCCACGCACAAAACAATGGAACAACAAGAAACCGCCTGGCTTTTTTTGAGACTCAGACATTGTTTTTGGCGGGGTCCTGCCGCAGCGGCAGGACCCCTTTTTCAAGATGAAAGCAAGGAAAAAAAGAACATGAATACTCCAACAAGATATCATTTCTGCCATTTAGAAATGGCGACAGCACGCCCACCCAGTCCAGCACCGCACAGCACAGCACCCACCCTGCCCCCAGCTTGAACATGTTCATTTGAAAATTAAAAAAAAAAAGAGGGAAGAGACAAACAGACAAGACAACGGTTGACGTCTAGAGGACGCCGACCCGATCGCCCTTGCGGACGGTCGGGCCGGGTCCGTCCAGCACCGCAGCGAGCGACGCCGGCACCGGCATGTTGGCCACGACGGCCTCGATGCCGCCAAACACGTCCTCGTCGGAGGCGACGCTGATGTCGCGCCGGTGGAACAACCCGTCCCCGTATTGGGGCAGGCGGACGGCAAAGGGACCGCGGGCCTCCTTGCGCGCGCGGCCCAGGGCCTTGCGCTCGCTGATCTTGGCCGAGGTCTTCAGCTGAAGACCCCGGACGGTCGCGACCGCGGACTCGGGCGCCCGCAGCATCCTCAACACCTGTGGGAGGGCGTAGAGGTTCTTGACGACCACGTCGTCGGGGAGGCAGAACGCGTGCACGCCGACGTCCTCCACGATGCCGGACCACGCCTCCATCCCCGAGTCGCGCAGGTAGAAGCACTGCTCGCATGTGGCTGAGAACTGGACGGTGTGGATGTGGGCCAGCACGAGGTTGTATTGCGTGCGGCAGTCGTAGAGGAACTCGACCACGGGGCGCAGGCCACGGGCTTTCCACTCGTTGCTGAAGCGCATGACAATTTCGGGGTTGAGACGTGCGGCGTTGGCTTCGTGGACGAGGAAGTTGTTCGTGGCAGTGACAAGCATGAGTTCGATGTCTCCAAGAATGCGTGCCTGGGTGGCCGGATCGAGGGACACGAGAGTGCGAGGTGCAGTGGCTGCGGCACTTTCCTCCATCCACCGGTCGACTTTCTCTTCCTCGGTTGCTTGTTGAGACTTTGTTCAAATTAGCAAGAAGTCGAGACGACGTGCGAATATGTTGGCCGGCCACTTACCACAAAGGGATGTTTCAAGAAATCGCTGAACTTCCGGAGGCTGTTCTTGCGTTTCTTCTTCTCCACTGTCGGACGATTTGTTGGTGTACCATATTTCACCTCTTCAGAGTCACTGCGCTTGTTCATGAGATTCTTGATTGGAGTGAAGATGTGTGACTTCGAGGTCTGGCGGCGGTCAGGCTGCGCGGGCTGAGGCGGCGGCAGAGAGAAGTTTGAAAATTGTTGACGGATCGAGGATACAATGTGTTCAGGAACTGCAGGTGGAAGGCCACGAAGGTGCTCGGGCATTTCTCCACGGATGGCAAAGAGAGGTTCTGGTGCAGAGACGGCAGGAAGTACAGCAGGAATTTCAGTGGTAGGATTGTCCATGAATGGGTTCATATTGGCAATGCTAGAGTATGTGATCGCCCTTCTCAACTATCAGTTCCATAACCATCACCTAACTTGGGAAGACACCTTACGAGAGTGGTGGCTGTTCTATCTTCTGAGGCTCAGCTGCATGTGCGGCAAATGGGTCTTTGGCTTCGCGAACAGGCGAGAGCTGGTGTTTGACAGGGACCTCTTTGCGCTTGATGTGATGAGAAGTCGGAGCTTGAGAGTCATACTTGAGATCTGCTGAAGCAACAGTGTTGTTGAGCGTTGCAGGTCTGGGTTGACGAAGATGAGGCAGAGCAGTGTGAGCTGACAGAGATCGCACGATTTCGCCAGGACTGAGCGGCAAGGGCTTGTTGTAGTCCATGATGTATCTTGACGCAAGTGAGCGCTGATCGATGGTTCCGTCAAGTCCAAAGTGATATGGCTTTCGCTCTTGCTCAATAGGAGACTGCGTGCTGACGATGGTCTGTTCGGTTGGTGATGTGACTGAAGCTGGGACCGTGGATTGAATTTGATGTGAGGAACTCTCAACTCTGGATTGTTTGGCTTGGCTAGAACTCGATTCGGTCCGAAAGAAATTCCGCATGATTTCCATCCAACTGTTGCGTGAAGAGTCGCGTTTCTGCCAGACCGGCGTGAGGCTGCGTCGCACAATCGATCTCTTCCTCTCCTCCACCACGGCCTCTTCATCACAAGGAAGGTTGATTTGCGATGAGTGTCTCTTGCGAACCTTTGGAAGCCATATTGTCCCATCGAAGACTCTGGCTTGCCGATTAACAGCCCGTGCTCTCTTCATAGGCTCAGAGCCGTCACCAAGGGGGCGGCGGGCGAATTGTTTGAGACTGTCCGAAAGTTTGCGCTGTTTCTCTGCTGACTTGTGGTGCTCCGCAGGCTCTTCCTTGTCGGCTTTGGTCGAATCTTTACGAGGCTCGATGTTGCCCGCCGTTACAGGGCTAGAAGTAGCTGACATGCGTTGACTCCCAGGGGTCTCACAAGAACCAACATAGGTTGGACTAGACAATACATGCGACGACGGTGAGCTGTCTGCCTCGGCACCACAATCCTTGCTGGGACTGGTATCGTGAGAGGAGCTGATCTGCCGAAGAGTGAGGATTTCGCCGTGGCCGTCTCTCAGGGTAGGCTGTTGCTCCGAGGATGACTGGCGGGATGAGAGCATCTCGAAGGAGACCAGGAGGGCTGGGTCAATGCCTGCATCAGCCAATGACGGATCCACTTCAACAAAGTCTTGCTGCGAAGAGCCACTTGCTGATTGTTGGGTGACATGCGATCCTCTAACCGTGTGAGGCTGCTCACTTGTCAATTGCTCCGACGCCAGCAAAGTTCTGGTTCTCTGATGGGAATAGGTGGTGGAGGGGAGTCGATACGAGTTCTCTTCATCCGAGTCTCCAGGTTTAGCGAGGTCGTCACCGGGAGTAGGCTTGGTTATTCTGTTCTGGTTGGGACAAATGTCCACCAGCGCGTTTCTTTTCCCGGCCTCTTCAGCTTGACGAGCTCGCTCTAGTTTCTGAGCTTTTTCGGCTTCGAGGATGAAATTCCTTGCCTTGAGCTTGCGAATGTGTGGTTGGGTGGGTTGCTGCAGGACAAAACTCCCCACTTTCGGAATGAAAGGGTTGAGGGCATCATCCTGGGAGTCATGTCAATGTCATTGCCTCTGTTCAAGGGCTAGGGATACTTACATTTCGGTGTCTCCAACTGTGACGCCATGAGCGCCAGACGTCTCCATCATCCCCCAAGCCGGCTGCGGTGCGTTCATCTTCGAGGAGGTCTTGCAGCACGCTTGTCACGTCGGGGAGACCTGCATATCCATATCGCTCAAGAATCAAGCTGTACACCTCTTCCATGCCAAAGGAAAAGGGATAGACAGGCACGACTCGCTCGCCGACTTCTCGCAGGAAGAAGCGGCATTCTTCTTCGTCGAAGCAACCAAGATCTTCGATTCTGTTCGCATTGTTGAGCAAGGGCGAAGGGATCGTCGCCGTCAAGATGCGACGACGCGTAATGTCCATGATGATGGATGACAAAAAGCAACGCGAAAAGGAGAGTGCAGAAGTGAAAAGCGTGTCAGCACAGCAACACGATCAGGACATGATGCAGACAATACAGGAGTCTCGACAGAATCGAAACAAGGAAAGCAAGTGCACTGACAGAGGGAGGAGATGAAAGAGTGACACCTCGACCAGTCTGCAGAGACAATGGAGTTGAATGTTTTGGTCGAGATGCAGACTGTGCGATGAGTTGAATTTGTCGCAATGATATCGCTGCCGGTGCGGTCGTGACCTCTCGCCAAGTTGCTTCGGAAGATTCTTTTTGCGATCCGAGTCCGAAGGCGACGACAAGATCACAAGCAGGTCAACCACAGGCACGTGCTGGCTGAACAAGGGCAATCTGTTTATTGTCCTGTTGAAGTATTTGGCGGCGTTGCAGCTAAAAGCAAACCATTCACTCACAGATTTGGTTCAATTCATGCTCTCAATATCCTGCTCTTCACCTCAACGAACCAGTTCCCGGGTCACCCATATTCACCTCGACTCCATTGCGCCTGTCTCATTATTTCTGTCTCTGACAGACAGATGTGCCCAGCAATGTTCCTTCATCCAAGATCAGGCATGATGGACTGCTCCCTTGGAGGTACAGTGCTTGTGCCAGGTAGAATGTCATACCGTCCAATCGTCCAATCGAGACATACAAGCAGAGTCCATCTTCGCCAGCTACATCACTAACCCACTCATCCCAGTGATCTGTGTGTCCAATGTGTGAGCAAGCATGAAGCCGTGATAAAGGGGGCAGCTGAGCAGCCGGTGTGTTGAAGTTGAAAGAAGGCTGAACTCTGCCAAGGCGCTAAGTGATAGTCACGTGAAAGCCTGCCACCGCCGACCCCTGAGAGGTCATAGTCACGTGATGAGTTGAGATTGCCGACATTGCTATCCGAATCTGCGGGGGACTACCGCGCTCGCCGCTGTCTGACCTTCGTGCTTCCTCCATGACGTTTTCAGCTCTCCAAATAACGTCCTCGATGGCCGCCACTGGGGCTTCTCAGGCGTTGCCAATGCCTGGATGGTGGTTGATCAAATCAAAAGAGCCCCCAGGAAGAGGATCTGGGCCTGCTCGGGAAAACACCACACCTTGCCCTTTTTACTCCATACACCCGTGCAACCCGCCTCCAGCTCTCAGGACCTTGCCAGCGGCAACAATTTCGGTGACAGGTTCGGAAACGGCCACTCTCTTCGCTTGACCCTCACACTTACCTGGCCCCGTGGACCGGGCCTCCAGATATCTGCCATGCTCCGAAGCCGAGCATCGCGTCTTTAGGATTGATTTCATAAATTGGCCCTTTTCCTCCCACTTCTCATTTTGAAAGTCATCAACTTCGTCCTCTGTGTAACAAGCCTAGCGGAGCTACAGGGTGCGCCGTTTGTTTGCTTTGTGTCCACGTTACATCTTGACCGCGCCTCCCGCTTCTTGTCTTCCACTTTCCCGACCGTACCTCAAGATGCCTTCAGAGATACCCTTGTATGATATTGTAATCATCGGCGCTGGTCCAGTGGGTTTATTGCTTTCAGTGTCGTTATCACGATGGGGTTACAAAGTCAGACACATCGACAACCGCCCTGTACCAACAGCGACCGGACGAGCCGATGGCATTCAACCGCGGTCGCTTGAGATCCTCCAAAACATGGGACTAAAACGCAAGATCATGGCCCATGATCCAGCGCGAGTTTTTGAGGTGGCCTTCTGGGATCCCGCGCCTGGCGGGAAGATCGTGAGGACGGGTACTTGGGCCAGTTGTCCCGAATTCCTGGACGCTCGATATCCCTTCACGGCACTTCTTCACCAGGGACTGATTGAGAGAGTCCTCATCGAAGATCTTGAGAAGAACGGTACCAAAGTCCAGAGGCCATGGACCATCACTCGTTTCGAGACCAACCACAAGAACCCAGAATATCCTGTCGAGGTGGACCTGAAAAACCTTGACAGCAACGTCACCGACACCGTCCGAGCGAAATACCTCTTCAGCGGCGAAGGTGCGAAGAGTTTTATTCGTGAACAGCTGGGTGTTCAAATCCGACACAAGGACCCGATTTCCCACGTTTGGGGGGTTATGGATGGTGTTGTCCGCACCAACTTCCCCGACATCAAGATGAAATGCACGATCCACTCAGACCATGGTAGTATCATGGTTATCCCCCGCGAAAACAACATGGTCCGGCTGTACATCCAGATCGCCAGCTCCACAGACCCCGACTTCTCACCTCGAAAGACAGCCACCGTGGAACAAGTGCAGGCTGCTGCCAAACGCATCTTCCACCCTTATTACTGCAACTGGGACCGCGTGGAATGGTACTCGGTCTACCCGATCGGCCAGGGAATCGCCGATAAATATACGCTGGACCACCGCGTTTTCATGGGGGGCGACGTGTGCCACACACACTCCCCCAAAGCCGGGCAGGGCATGAACACAGCCTTCCACGATGCCATCAACTTTGCATGGAAAGTACACCTGGTCGAATCCGGCTTCGCCTCACGGGACATCCTGTCTACATATGAAGTCGAGCGGCGCTTCATTGCCGAAACGCTCCTCAACTTTGACAACAAATACGCCGCGCTCTTCTCAACACGGCAACCCACGTCCTCGGAAGTAGATGACGCGCACAAGCACGATGGAGGCGAACACAAGAACGATTTTGTCGAGATGTTCAAAGCCAACTGCGAGTTCACTGCTGGATTCGGCGTTGCCTACAACCCAAACATCTTCAACCACTCGCTGGAGCACCCCTTCCAGCATCCCCTCATCATCACCGACAGCCAGAAACTGCGCCCCGGTCGGATAATGCCACCCTCGAACGTCACTCGAGTCGTCGATGCCAATGTCGTGCATCTCGAAAATGAGATCCCGTTCAACGGGTCTTTCCGCCTGTTCATCTACGCGGGGCTCTCTCAGTCGCCCAAGAAGGGGGCACACAAAGCTCTGGTCGACTTCGCCGAGAACCTCACGGCAAGGGACTCGTTCTACTCGAGATTCGGGTGCGAGGATCGCCGGAGAGACAACCACCACGACATGGACAATCCGCACTCGCGCTTCTTCTCGCTTGCGCTAGTCCTCGCCGCCAAGAGACCGGAGATCGAGATCTCCGACCTCCCCGACGTGTTCCGAGACTACTCTGGCCGGGTCTACGCCGACGACCGCAAGGATATCAAGGTGCTGGACGCGAAGGCTTCAGCCCACGCGAAGGTCGGGTTGACTGGCGACGAGGGCGCCGTCGTGGTTGTGAGGCCCGATGGACACGTCGGCATCGCCGTGCGCTTGACCGAGGGGAAGGGCACGGTCGAGGCCCTGGAAGGATACTTCAAGGGATTCATCGTCAGGACCGGTCTGGGCGGCGGGGCCGATAGGGTGAGATCGCAGTTGTAAGTCGTGCACCAGCACACTCGCGCAGCGATGTTTTGTTCAAGGGGTTGGGATGGGATGGGATGGCAGCCCGTATGGGCAAAAACAACACAAAGAATCAATGGACGAGGATCTCGACGTTTTCAGAGATCGCCGGAAGAGTCTCGGGGGTATCTGGCTTAGCCCATATCGTTTGCCTTGCATGTCATGTCGGCGTTGTTCAAGCTTTCTGAACGACATCAGCTTTTTAATGTAAGCAATGAAGAATCGTGAAATAGCGTATCGATTCCGAAAAACACTGTCCCCAACCGTTTGTGATAGTTTGCATCCGTTACCGCGTCTCTCAATCTCTCCAGCCTCGCCACCCGTCCGCTAATCCAGCCATACATCCATACATCTATACGCACATTCTCATATACGTATATACACATATACATCTTCTTCGGTTCGGATCTTCGGCGGCAACCCGTCCTCAATCCTCGCCCTTTAATCGGCCCTCGATCTCCTGCAGGTCCTCCGCGTCGGCGATCTCCAGCACGCGGTTCACCTCGGCGGTCGAGCGCATCAACTCCACCGCTCCAGCGTAGCTCATCCGCATGTTGGGGTTGCAGTTCACGGGCAGGTAGTACAGGAGGACGTAGGGGACGGATTGGCGTCCCGAGGCCTGGAACAGGGAGAGAGAAGTGTTAGCATTTCAGCATAGACTGCGGACTTTCAGGGAGTGAGATGCAACTAGTAAGCCAGTCAAGTGTCTCGTGCTACCGAGGGGGGGATTGTGGCTATGTTGACGTTGTGCCACGGTGGGATGGTTGGATGATAAATTTTGAGGGAAAGCAACGGAGCAGAGGGAGGAGACGCACCAATGTTAACGGATAGCTCAAGAGGATAAACCGCGGTGACGAGTCGGGGAGTTCGTCGGCCAGCTCGAGCATGTCGCTGTACGTGTCATCGGAGGAAGGTTTGATTTCTTGCGTCTTAGTGTCGATCTGGTCTGTATCGTTTTGCAATCATGCGGCACAGTCAGTGTTTGATCCCAGCTCTGCCTTGGGAAAAGTCAACGCGAAAACACCCTCGTCAGCCGGGCTTCGCAAGTCCTTCGAATACTTGGGATCGATCGCAACCGTCCCAACCCCATTGGAAACGGGGATTTCCCTAACTAGACCATCCAGCCCCTCTGAGCCAAGTCTTCCCTCTTTAAAGTCGCAGTATCGAGATAATCGACGGATATCAAGAGAACACCCAGTTGGAAACACTCACAAATTTTGGCCAGAGGCGTCTTCGCCCGGGAGGTGCCTAGGCGGAACTTGCGCAGCTGGTCCTTGGTCTCCTGCGAGAAGGTATAGAGCCTCGATTCTGACTGGTTCGGTCAGTGGGGAAGCGAGAGAGACAACAACGCTGGTGTTGCTGTTGGACAGCTGGGCAAAAGCCTAGGAATAGGCGCCAGCGTGAAAGGGAGAGGAATACCATGTTCGCTGGAATTCAGCTCACTCGGACTCTACCAGGACCTGTGCCGGGGGGATCGTGGTCTATCCCGTAGGATCCGATCTGCTCGTCGCTCAGGGGAACCGAACGGCAGCGATGTTGTTCTTTCCCGTGTCGACGGTCCGAAGGCTCAGCCTTGTGCAGCCCTCGATCTTCCGCTTGCGGAGCGCTTGAGAACGGAAGAGCCAGGCGGAAAGAGTCCACGCAGATAGCAGGTCGATTCAGAGATTTCACACCGGGAGATTCACATCACTTAGTACAAGTTCCAGCGTCGCGAGAGGTTTCGTGCAATGGAGGCAGTCAGCATCGGAGTATGAGATGTATGGTGGCAGGCTGCTGTGCCGTGGTGGTCGATGGTGGGGCATCGCAATCCTTCCGCCGGCTTATCGACCTGCGCCCTGTATTAATGACCCTTCGACTTGCACCACTTTCTCAATGCAAAGCTGCCGTCGAGACTCCACGATCCTTCCCACCGCATCGCCTTCTTCTCGCTCTCTCTTTCTCGGCAATCAATGTTCTCTCGCCTCTCTCTGATCGCCAGACACCTCCTTCGACCGCTGCCAAACTACGCGCACCGCTCTTCTGCCGCCTTGTCCTCGTCCTCTGCCTCCAAAATGACATCATCCAATGGCGACTACACCGTCTCTGCGCCCAACAAGGGAATGATACATACGGCAGGGTGTATAGTGATAGGAGATGAGGTCTTGGGTGGAAAGGTCAGATCGGGCCCCCTACGCCTCAGAGAGTCGTCCGCAATAGTTGGCTTGGGGAGAATGGCAGAACTGACCGCCTGCGCACGAGCGTGTTAGACCGTCGACACCAATTCCGCATATTTTGCCCGCTTCTGCTTTTCCCTAGGGATGCAATTAAAGAGAATCGAAGTCATCGCGGACGACGAAGACGAGATAATAGAGGCTGCGCGGCGCATGTCGAAGAATTACGATTTCGTGGTGACGAGCGGCGGGATCGGTCCTACGTATGTCGTTTTCCCCGTCATACGCCTTTGGGCCGGCTGTGCATCACTGACAAACGCGAAGGCACGATGATATAACATACCAGTCAATAGCCAAAGCTTTTGGTCTGGAGCTGAAACTACACGAGCCGACCATGGGCAAGATGAGGAAATACTCTAGACCTCACAAATCACAACCAGATTTCGACTGGGATATACCTTCACCGGCCTTGACGGCAAAGATGCGCATGGCTCAACTACCAACAGACCCTAATATTCCCGACGAGGAGCAGGTTATATATGTCAAGGAGGACCTCTGGGTCCCGATCTCGGTGGTCAACGGTAACATCCATATCCTGCCTGGTGTGCCGAGGATATTCGAGACGCTGTTGGATGGGATGAAGCCTCGCATTCTTCCTCGTCTGAAAGACCCCGAAGGGAAGGGAATGTATCGGATGCTCTTTAGCACTCCACTTGCGGAGAGTCAGGTTGCAGATTTCCTTACTCAATTGGCTGCCAAAGTCGAGCCCAAGGGCATCAAGGTGGGAAGTTATCCTCGATGGGGCAAGAATAAGAATGTGGTAACCCTGGTGGGTAGCGATCGAGAATACATGGACACTTTAGAGGCCGAGGTGGCCGAGGGCGTCAAAGGCATGAGGGTTAGAGTAGAAGGTGAAGATGATACGGACGACGAGACCGATGTGAGAAAGGACAAAGATGCATGAGGCCGTTCTAGAACCATAATGATCAACCCGTCCGCATCATCTTTCCCGAAATATACGTCATGGTGGTTTCTTTTCCGCTCCGTCCAGACTACCAAATCTCGATACGGATCTTGCAAGCGAAGTCGTCGCAGGTATCAGGGGCTACCTCATGCAAGATGTTGCCCGGGTCACTAGTGTGCTATGCGTATCGAATGGATTTCTGGAGGAGACATCGTCAGAGTTCGCCTCTGTTGCTCGTACACAGGATCTAAACTGCTGGCATGTCACGCAGGTGAACGATAGTGGCGGGTGGGAGTGACACATGGGAACCCACGTGGATCAAAGCTTCGCGGTCAATGCACGAGATAGCGTCGTGGTTGCTCTTGTCAGGTCCGTGCTGGTATCATCGTCAAGCCAGATGGTTGCCGGGAGTGGCACAACTGCAGGTGGAATTCGACGAATCAAGCAGACTTCGGATTTGGGCAATTTTCCAGAATGTCACCCTGACCAAGTGGATATCTCAAGGGGGTATGATGATCGGCAGTCCATCATCCATTGCCTTGCAGCTGTTCCAAGTCCGCTATATCTTTCAACTGCTGATCATGTTCGGGCTGCTGGGGGCAGTAGAAGATCGAATCGATGCCGGTTCCAACAGCCTTGACGTGAATGCCTTGAGTCAATGTTCGACGGACTGCCTCCAGCCAAGACCGACTGCTATGTGGGTTGGCTTCCTCGCTTCCGACAGGGGTAGGGAAAGAATGACAACTGTGGGCGGCGATGACGCTTGTGGTTGGACTGGCGTGCGAGAACGACGATCGTGCCGCGCTTGGCCATGTTGCCATGCGGACGTTGGGTCTGTCAAACAGAGGAAGGGGACAGAGAAGAGAAAACCGTTATCTCGAGTTTCTTCTTGCCCCTGCGGCCTGGAGGTAGTGTGATGCACGGAGGCCCGATCGCATGGAAGCCACAGCGTTCGAGGAGGAAGGTTTCTGGGTCGTTGACCAGGGATAGAAGCGCGGTGCTAGGGGAAGCAAGTTCAGGACGGCGTGTGAACGGGCGTGATGGGTCGATGAGCCGCCGAATCAACGGCTGGTAGAGGCATCAAGGGCCAAATTTGGCTGCAACTGGGCGGGCGGGTATTCAGCGGTTACCGCCCACCCGGTTCTCCTGGGTAGCCATGGTTGGTTCAAGGGTCCATGGGAATGGGATGCATTCTCTAGCACTAACATGGGCACCACGCTAGGGGACATGTCCCATTGCCTTGTCGGCCGCACTCCACCAACTGGCGGGCGGCAGGTAGGCGAGCGTGGGTAGGGGCGTTCTTTTCGGTAGAGAATAGGGGGCGGATGCGAAGGAGAAGAGCACACAAATGATCGAGACATGCACCCGAGGAAAGGCGACGCGATGGATGGTGCATACATGGCAACGACGAGAGGTAGATCGCAGCAGCCGCAGAAGAAGAAGAAACGAGAGAGAGAACATCCGAGCAATAGTACCCGTAGGCACCCTGATGGCCCTGTTGCTGGTTATTGTTGTAGTCTTGCGAGCGTCTTCTAGGTACTAGCACCGAGTACCACGCCAGACCAAGGGAGGCCGGAGGCAACAGACGAGTTGCCTGCTATCGGTTTGGCGTCTCCCTCGCCTTCTCTTCTGGTCTTGGATCAACATATTTCTCCCTGCTTCAACGGCCGCCTTCCCGAATAATGTATTATTGAGTCTTTGCCCAAAAGATAGTTTTGTTGTCGCGAGAACAGAAACGATAAGACTTCAACTACTCCGTGTTTGGTCAACCAAAGTCTCAAATCGCCCCTCCCATCGCACTCACACACACGCTCACGCACACACTCAAGCCTCCCCCAGCAGCAGCTGGTGTGATAAAGTGGTTGCAGTGCCTCCTCTTCACCCTTCCATCCTTCCCACCTGGACCCCTTGTTGGCTCCTCTCCCTGCGATCCTGGACCCCGGTCCCGAACTAGAGTCTCAGTCCACATCCACACCACCTCAGTACAGCCACTCCCAGAACCTCCCTGGCGTGCTAGACTCCTCCTGCACCTTGACCCAAACTCTCCACAGTTCGTTCTTCGAGCACGACTCACCATCGCTGTTTCCGTCAGTTCCTGGACTCTCACACGACGCTTCTAAACCTTCACCCTACGAACTATCCTCAACCAAGCCTTGCAAGCGAACGCGAACCCCTCGAAATATTGCTGAGCTATCGAAACCTCCGTCTCTCTTCCTCCTCGCCTCGTCTCTGGTAACTTCGCAAGTCGCCGTTACAAAGTGCTTCAACACTTCTGTTTCACTTCGAGCTACGGAGGACGACCGTTCAACCACTGTCTCTCTTCTGCCCGCCTGGACCGCTTCCCGTCGATCCCTATCACTTTCTCCGCGAACGGAACTGTTCTCGCCTGCGCCCTTGCCCATTCTCGTCGGAGATCCTTCAGCCGAGCCCTCCTGTATCGCATTTTTGCACGCTGAGCATCCCAGTACCAGGATAAACGCCACCCTGACGTTTTTGGAATACCTGTCTCTGGCGAGGTTTTTCATCCCGAGACCCGAGCTGTGGCTGTAGCTCTCTGTCATGGCTTCAAAGGTGCTTCGACCCCGATTTTACACCTTTTTCCTCCTTGTAACCACAAGAAAGAATGTCACAACTAACGCAACCGTTCCAGTTTCTGCGCGAATACAAGCTGGTGGTGGTAGGAGGTGGAGGCGTGGGCAAGTCGTGCTTGACCATCCAGCTGATTCAAAGCCACTTCGTCGATGAATATGACCCTACAATTGAAGGTGCGGATAGATCACAAATACCCAAAAGCTGGGAAGCACGCTGACAGGTCTAGACTCATATCGCAAGCAGTGTATGATAGACGATGAAGTTGCCCTCCTCGATGTTCTGGACACGGCCGGTCAAGAGGAATACTCGGCTATGAGAGAGCAATACATGAGAACCGGCGAAGGGTTCTTACTCGTGTATTCGATAACCTCGCGCCAATCGTTCGAAGAAATCATGACCTTCCAGCAACAGATCCTCCGTGTCAAGGACAAAGATTATTTCCCCATCATTCTCGTGGGCAACAAATGTGATCTCGAGTCGGAAAGAGTGGTTTCAAAAGAGGAGGGGGCTCAGTTGGCGAGACAATTTGGCTGCAAATTCATCGAAACATCTGCTAAATCACGAATAAACGTTGACAATGCCTTCTACGACCTCGTTCGCGAAATTCGAAGATATAACCGAGAGATGTCAGGGTATCCCGGCGGCGCGCCAGGGCTTGGGTCTTTAGGCCCTGGTCAAAAGATGGAGATGGATAACCACGCAGAGAGCGCAGGCTGCTGCAGTCGGTGTGTGGTCATGTAAAGGGGATGGGGACTTAAACAAGAGGCGGCCCGGGACACGACACCAACCTCATACACCCCACAAGCGAAAGGGTTGCTGGGGCTCTATGACCGCACGGAGTTAAGAGTAAAGAGTGCATATGTCTCTCGTGGAATGGAACTGGACTGACTGGTTTGGCTTGCATTTTTTTTCTTGGGGTGCCCAAAAGTCGTTGAGAATCAAGATTTCTTAAGGCTTGCGCCGCAAAATTGAAAGATTATCTTCTTTTACATATTATTGGGAGGGGAAAAGGAGGGTTTGGCAGTCATGGAGGATGATTCTGCCACGGCGTTTGATTCTTATGGGATGCAAGTCATACACCAGATACAGAAAACAGACATCCCACAGGGGAGAGGCGGAGGGAGAGGGAGTATTCCTCAAGGCAGCCATCCAACTCGCCTTTCTCCCAGAATGAGATCTTCAGTACTGAAACACAAGTCTCGTCGCTTCGAGTGTCACCTACCGATATCTACTGATTCACTATGATGTGCCTCGTAGATATCACAACAGTAATGATATAGTGGCCGACCATGGTGGTGGTGATGATAGTTGGACCAGCTCCGCCCTCGCATTGGCTGTGGAACGTCTCCTTGGTTCCTTCTTCACTGGCATCCTCACATTTTCTGTCAGCATCATTCGTGAATGTGGAAAAGTTGACACTGAGACTCGAGGCAGTGGGCTTTTATTTTACATGTAGCAAACCCCTTGAAAGGATCGTCTGAACCACAGACCAGCCTTCTCTTTGTGTCCTTGCGACACCACGCCTTTGAACAGCGGTCTCAGGAATACAGGAGCATCAGCGGCTATCAAAATGGCATCAAAGGCTGGAGGCATCGATGATGGGCAGCCTGAGGAAGCATCCAAACCTAGTACTCTTGCCACCAAGCGCAATGCCTTCGCCGAACTCATGTCTCCCAAACACAAGCACCCAAAGCCACATGAATCCAAGCACATAGGTAAGCTCAGCAACCCAAACGATCCACGGAATGGCCTTCTCGCGTACATCTTGGAGCCGACCAAGTTCTCCTCCGATATTGTCATTCTATACAATGACAAGACAGTGTTGGTTCGCGACGCATTCCCCAAGGCTACAGTCCACCTACTTCTTCTGCCACGAGACCCAGTGAAACGAGAGCTCAATCCCCGTGATGCTTTGGACGACCAGGAGTTTCTGGACATGGTGCGGACGGAGGCCACTACAGCTGTCAAACTGGCAGCATCTGAGTTGTCGAGGCTGATCGGTCCTTACTCAGAATCGTGCAAAGCTCGTAATGCTGCAATGGAAAGCGAGAACCCTCCAGACGAACTGCCACCTGGACGAGACTTCTCCAAGGAATTCAAAGTAGGAATCCATGCGCATCCATCGATGAATCACCTTCATATCCACATCATCAGCCGGGACATGCACTCGGCTCGACTGAAGCACCGGAAGCATTACAACAGCTTCAACACAGACTTCTTCATCCCGCTCGAGGATTTTCCGCTCGCCAGAGATGATGTCAGACGCCAAACAAGTTATCAGAACGCGAACTTGACGAAAGAGTACAAGTGTTGGCGTTGCGGAAAGATGTTTGGGAATAAATTTACACAGCTCAAAGCCCACCTTGAGGAAGAATTCAATGCCTGGAGGAAGGAATAATTGCTTCGTCACCGGCATCATGGTCGGGCAAGAACCTGCGCCAGAGTCTGCCGAGTGGACGGATGATGCAAAACCTCGTCCTCGCTCTGATATGACGCCTTCATCTTCCCTCAGTGCCAGGATATCTGCCCCTATCACGGTCGCGGCTGTAACTTCTCGTCGGCACAATCCGCTCTCGCCGCCCAGGCCCATCGTCACCCACATCAACAAAGATTCTTCCCGGGTGAATGACTTCGTACTCATACTGCGGTCCTGGGCTTCGGTTGCGGCGCCGGCCTGTATAGCTGGCTTCACCCTCTCCAGTTCTGCCATTCTCCGAGCGTACCTGGGTGACTCCCCTTTCCTCAACCCCTCGAAAATATTCACCAGCTGCGCTTGCGCGTCGACCTGGAGTCAATATGCTACCTGTTCTCGACCTCACATTACGCCTTCTGGCGTCTCCAATGCCGCCACTGCCACCTCCACCTCCACTGCTGCTAGAGCTGCCACGTGCGCTTCTTCCACGACCCGCTGGGCCTGTCAACTTGTTCAAGCACCGCTTGACCAGTTCATCGGTTTCAAAGACATCTCTCTCGACCCTGCGGATCTGAATACGTTGAACTTGATTCAACATGTCCTCGACAGCTGATTTACTTTGCCACCTGGCAGGAGTCAGTCCAATGCGAAGTACGGGTGCTAGAATAGACCCCACCAGATGAAGCGATGAGCGAGGTCGGTCCGGTAGTAACGAGGCTGTTGGTCGGGAGCAAATCCAGCTTCGGCCAAATCCACCCGGTCCCTTGTCCTGGTCTTGTCCGGTCTAGCACGGGGTTTCTCTTCGATATCGCTTTCACCCCAGTAGTCGCCTTTTTGGACCTGCTCTGCGCGCAGCGGATTTCTTATAAGAAACGGACGTTCAATATTCTTGAATTGTTGCCAGATCTTGTCGATTGAAGATTGGAGGAGTTGAGCGACTTCCCGCTGCTTCCGCGTCCGCTTGCGCAGGGAAGGGAAGACACCATACGGATCTCCCTCGCGGCATCGATAGCGGAGGAGAGCTCTCTCTTCCTCAAGTTCTTGTCGAAGATTCCCTAGCATGAGCGGGATCGCCGTGTCAGCTTTCCGCATTGTGGATATCAGATCGCGGTACACCCCTGCGATATCATGAGATTGTGGCAGTAGCTGTACGTCCCGGATTCGATGACGCACCCAATAAGGTTGCCAGTGTGATGCCAAAGGAGATGAATCCAATGACTTGAGATGCTAGAGCGATGCTCATTCTGACATTTCAACAGGCGCCGGTCCAAGCACCAAGGCGTTTCCTAACGCAAATCACAGCTTCTTTTGTCCTCAACTTTGCGTGAAGCATTGACAGTCAAATTGCACCAATTGGACGAGCTGGTCGATTGAACTGCACGCCACTGACAGCGTCGAATTCAGGGGAGCAAGTGGAAATGCTCCAATCTCAGATTCCTTGAGGATGCATGTTTTAGACAAAACGCCAACGAATTATGATTACAAGATCGACTGTTCCGCAAGGCCCGCGCGTGGTTCCAAGTGAACCCTTGACGTTTCTTGTCGATCCTGCTATGCCACAGGAGTTTGGCCGCTCGCATCCGGGAAAAGTGATCCAGCCTTAGATCGCAATCTGCCCCACAGGCCGTTGCATCCGCCATCTTCGACGTATGGGAGGTTTCTTTTCCCACGTCAAAGGGAAGATGATCTGCTCGGCGAGCCTCAGGATGGAGGACTCGTCGGCACGAGCGCCGAGATATAAAAGGATTTCTACTGTCCGCGACCGTGATTCGCGGGGTCATTTTGCCCATGACGGCATTTCCTCCACTGATCATCTTGATGTCATGTTCACATGGCAGGAGAAGAAGAAATTCCGCCAGCCCTTCGTGTCTTCCAATGGCTCAACCACATCTATAATTGTTCAGCCACAGGGTTCCTTGCAGTCTAGTGAAAGGCGATGTCGGACAAGCCACAGGCAGCTCCAACTGCCTATCCGGCAAGCCCGCTGAAGGAACAGAACCAAGAAGGCGGTAAAGGACTGGATTCGAAACTTGCGCCAAATGCAAACTGGACGTAACTCGAGTTCTGGGACGACGAAGGGAAAGCCCCTTTTCTGAAAGATTATGAAGGCCGAGGGTTGCTCAAGGACAAAGCCGTGATTGTAACGGGCGGGGATTGTGGCATTGTACGCGCCGCTGCCGTGCTCATGGCACGCGAAGGTGCCGACATCACCTTCGTCTATCTCCCGGAAGAAGAGGAAGATGCCCAATGGACAAAAGCTCAGATCGAAAAGGCGGGCCGGCAAGCTCAACCGCTTGCTCTGGATGTCACTTCGGAAGAGAACTGCAAGAAGGTTGTCGAGGCACACATGAAGAAATTCGGCAAGCTCTCTGTCCTCGTCAACAATTCGGCGATGCAAGAGATCTGCAATGACATTCAAGACATCAATCTCGGGGTTGTGGAAAAGACTTTTCGCACTAATATCCTGAGCATGTTTGCCATGGTCAAATATGCACTACCCCATATGAAGCGCGGATCGAGTATCGTGAATTCGAGCTCGGTGGCTGCATACATGGGCAATCCTCAGCTCTTGGATTATAGCTCGACTAAGGGAGCGATCACAACTTTCACGCGGAGTCTGGCGCAGCAGCTGGCGCCTAAGGGTATCAGGGTCAATGCTGTTGCACCTGGAATCATGTACGTTCGCCACAGCTGTCTCGAAAAGACCTCTTTTCTGTCGCATCGTTACGCATTACTGACCTTCTCTCTGCGATGATAGTTGGACTCCTCTTCAGCCTGCTACGAAAGGCAACCCGCCTGAAGCAATGAGTGCGCTGGGAGTCGAGGAGGCGCCGCTCCAACGACCGGGTATGCCTGTTGAAATGGCCACAGCGTACATATTTCTGGCGTCACCTCTGGGATCATACTTCACGGGTGAGACCATCCATGGCACGGGTGGGTTGGAAATGCACGGATGAACCCCAGTATGCCCGAGAATACCCCAAGAATGGTGATGGACGGGTAGATTTCGATGCAAATGCGAAAGATATGGCCACTGGGAGTAGTTTTGCCTTCCATGGGATGATCGCCGGAAGATTCTTGTCTCGATACCCGTCGAGTACACCGTGCTATGCAGGTGCATATTCCACAGGGATATTCAACCAACTACAAGGCTGCGTGGCCCGAAGCGAGACGCTCTCACTGCGCCTCACAATCCACCCACTCTAGTCTCGGCTGCAATCCCACCTGCAAGTTATTGGCACATTTCCGGTATCCTGCTTCAGACAGTGCGTCGCTAAGCTCCGCCGCCATTTCGACTGATCGATCCTATTTGTGGAACTTGTGCAGGGCGTATTCATTGTTGCTTACCTGGTCAGCCTCACCGGGGCCAACATGTCACGGACAGGACTTGTGACTTTTCTCTTCTCTTCTTCTCAGCCTCATCTGCCTTTTTGTTGAGGATTTCAAGTTACAAATTCAAGCCCTGTCCACAGAGCGTCTTTCCAGACCTAGGCCATTTAACTGAGCATATTTGGAGCTCCGACCTTCGACAGTGTGTGCTGATTGTTCAGCCATGGCTTCGAGCTCGCGCGAACGAGATGTTCACCCTCCGGGAGAGCCTGTGGCGAAATACCCCGTCCTTAGTGAAAGCGACACCACCGATACATCCACCAGGGCAATGGATAGCCTCAATGCGAGAGCCTATCGCAGTCCCATCCAGTCGGAGGACGTCCTCCATACCGTTGACAACCGTCCCAAGCGGCTTTTCTCTGCTAAGGGCGACGAATACAAGCCTCGAAGTGAGCCGCGTCGGGTACGCGTCGTCGACGAGCTTGACGAGTCTTCGGAATACCAGCTTCAGCTGGCTTGGGAGCGTTGGGAGCTTAACCGTGAGGCGATTCAGGAGTTTCCGGAGCGTCGGCATCGTCGGGAGCTTCACCGTGTGGAGATTCAGGAGCATCTGCAGCGTGAGAGTGTGGAGCTTCGGGACCGTTTGCAGCGTGAGCGTCAGGAGGCTCGGAAGTCCCAGGGGCTTCGAGGGCTTGGAGATCCTTTACCTGTAGAGCCCCGGGAGCGTCAGATTGTGTGGCGTGACCATCTGGAGCGTGATCGTCGGGAGCGTGAGCATCAGGAGCTTCGGGACCGTTTGGAGCGTGAGCTTCAGGAAGCTCAGGAGCTTCGGGAGCTCCGGGACCGTTTGGAGCGGCAGCGTCAGGAAGCTCAGAAGTTCGAGGAGCCTCCAACGCTTGAATATCTTATAGCTCTAGAGCGTCGGCAGCGTCAGCTTCTGTCGCGTGAAAAGGTTGGGCATCAAGAGGCTCAGACACGTCTCGAGCGTCTGGAGCGGGCGAAATACAAAGCGGGCCATGGTGAAAACGTCCACAGAGCCACTGCCAGCGAAACAGACAGTGTGCATGACCCTCAATCTGAACGTCAACTTCCTCAAAGCAGGGAGTCCACTACAGACCAGGCCCAGGCCGACGACAAAAGAGGCTTGCAAGGCGACCACTCATCTCACGGTACGATTGCTTCAGACTCGGAGGAAACTTCAGGAGAGAAAAGAGAGCCGCAGACGGGAGAACCTGATGAAGTATTTTCAAATATTGATCATGTAGTCCGATTCGCTTTGCGGGGCTCCAAGGCCCGCGGTGTGTCAATACGCTTGCGCTGGACCTTTTTCCAGGCCTTGGAAGGCCAGTTCGGCAAAGGAGACATCAAGGTCGAGTCAATTGTCACACTCACCGGTTCGGTTTTGCGCGCACAAGCAACAACATGCGGCGACTACATTCGGACAACATGGCCACGGCATGGCCCCTTTTTCATTCGCTTGCTGCAAGGCCTTTGGGATTCGTACAGGGCAAACTCGACACAAAGTAGGTTGAATCTTCAACTCTGCGTTCAAGAGCGCTTTCGGCGTTGTCTTCAAGGGGAAGGAGACCTCTTATGGACCAGATTATACCCTTTCACAGCCCGAACCCTTTTTGTTACTATGCCTGATATCTCCCCTTGGTCCACTGAGTCCAAGCTGACCTCTCTTTGCCTGCAGGGTTCAGTATCCCGGTTGGGGGTGACGGGAGTCAGATAGTCACCGGTGATATCCTTGGGACCAGGGTGACAATGGAAGTCATCCAGGACAAGGACATGATAAGGAAACTCGTTCAGATGCTTGCCTGGGCCGGAGCAGCAATTAGTTCTTCTGACGACATTGAAAACGTCGCATATTGCCACCCGGACCTCACTGTCAGCCGCGGAGTTGTTGAGTTAGACTTTCAGAAAAGATCGCTGCCTGCCAACACCGACTCCTGTTGGATACCGCTCTTTTCGGGTGCGTCGATCGCATATGACTTCCCTATACCTCGACGGCAGGATGAGGTTGGACTCGAAATCCCTCTGCAGATTCTGGCCGCTCTGTTGGGCGCCGTTCGCGCTGTCGAATATGACGGGGGAGTTGTTATCAAGGGATTCTCCAGCATGATTATCCCCACCGAGAGAACAGGTGAGATAGTCCAATGGCACCTAGTTGCCAATGCAAACTTTGCGCAGCGTCTCTCATATCGTGACGGTCTTGAGCGCTGCCCAAGGCGAGCTTTAATGGACCAAGTCGACTTTGAATGCCTTCAGAAGACCCGTGCGGTGCTTGGTTGGTGTTCAGCGACACGTTGTTTGCTGGGCAGCCGTGATGCCGACTACGGGTCCATCGATTACTCGGGTGCAAAAGAAGCCGGAAGGTCGTTCAATTTTGCAGGAGGAACTTTGGGCTTTCAGCAATTTGGCGTGGCGCAGCTCGATTTCACCCTAGGGCCAAAGGACGGCAAATGCCACTTTCAGCGAACCGGTCCTTACCAGAGAATAGTCAGCGCGGCAGAAAAGACTTTGGTTGTCCTCTACGACACGTCGGATGAACGGGGATGGCTTGTACCTGCCTCAGAAGTCATCCTGCATATGTGCCACCACCGTAACCAGGTCGAGCCTTTTGAGATCGGCGGTTCAGCAGTTCTGCTACCTTGCACCAAGGCCACGGGACAGTCTGCTAAGAAGATACTCTTGGAAAATGCGTCGCTTGACCTCTGTGACCCCAGCTTTGAAAAGTACACCTTGAGGGACCTTATCTTGAACTACTGGTCCCTCCTTGAGTTTCTACTGGACCAGAACGTGAGAAGGGATCAAGCCTCAGGTAATGCCATGCATATGCCCCTGCACGAGGTGCTTCAAGGCTACGAGTACAGGTCCGTGGTTGAGGAGCGCTCTCCTTTTCGGACAAAGCAAACAACCCTCAGAAGGACTTGTGGTGGCTGGCCGGCTCTAGTACGAGATGTGGATGCTTTGGTTCTTTTCGCCAGTGGATTCGAAGACATACTACGTCCTCTGAAAGATGACCAGTTTCACCATGTATGCCTCAAGTGGCGGAGTATGCCCAAGGAGCACAGCTATCTCGCTACGACGGTCAAAATCCTGCAGGATCTCTATGAAGTTGCTGGCAATCGGCTCCACAGACAATACCTTACCTCAACTCAGCTACAGTGGGTGCAGGGCGCCTCAATGTTATTCGAGCCTTGCACCTCTCCAGGAACATTCCGATGTGACTGCGTGCGTCTGCAAAAGATCGGGCGAGAATCGCACTGGCACAACAGAGCAATACCTCCAGCCCCGGTTCTTGACGGGCTCGAGAGCGGTGCGGTGATTTTTGGACAGTCCTTTGATGCTCCGACAAGAACCAGACCAGCGTCGAACGTGCCTTCAACGAAAGGGCTATACAGCCAGCCAAACTCGGTCTTTGTCCACGCTGAGGATAGAGAACCGCCTCGAGGAGACCCGCGCGGTTCTACGAACCACGAGCATCGGTTCCCAGGAGACACTATCTCAGCCTCGCGGACTATCACTGTGGGGACAGCCCTTAGGCACAGTGCTTATGCAGGAGTGCGTGCCTCTTCGGTGCAGTCGCCCCTGGACTATGGAATCGACGAAGTATTGCCCATACACCAATTGACAGCCTCCTCTACCAGGAACCAGGAACACCGTGAGAACTGTCTAGAATCCGGCTCCCGGGCCGGAGGCAAACGTAGCACAGAGTATTTTTCACACGGGCGTAGCGAGCACAAAAGAAGAGACCAACTTCAGTACGATATGCGGGCAATCAGTCTGAGGAATGAATCTGGCCCGCTTGGAGAACAACCAAGGCTTCCCACAAGGGACGAACCCCCTGCAGGCTACACATCTGCAACGCTGTACTCGCGAAGGACTTCTAACGGCGGTAGGACAGATATGGATCCATTGCCTGGAGAGGCGGATATTGTAGTGCTGCCGTTGCGGACGTTGCGATAGGAGCTAGACGGATGGAACTTGGTGCATGAAAGACTGACATATTGGACTCGAACTCTGCTTATTAGAGAGATTCCTCTCGTTGTCCTTCTGCCTGGCTGGATGCCTGGAGCTAATGCTCTAGTTCTGGAGCAATAAACGCATCTCGTCCATTCAGGCTCCGGCATTTTTACAAATGGAACATTTCGCCATCCAAAGGACCCGCTTGGGTGACCATCATAGAGACGCGCCCTACAGAATACATACGTGCATGCCCGAGCCAGGTAGTTGTACGTTACCTCGATCAGAATGCAGAGGGCAAGCCACGGGCAGGAGTAGTATATAACCATATAAGCAGTACATTTCATCTTGTCGCCAGGACTTTTTATTATTATTTGGGAGTTATCTAATTAAGCTACATCTTGGCCTGGATAGTAAATACTTTCTGCGAGAGGAGACTGCACAAACCATGTCTGAGCCCCTTGTCCCAGGCATTCACCTCTTGACGGCCTCTACTCCCGATGTCTCTTCAGTCATCGACGGCATAGCCCACATCCACGCCTCGTGCGTCTTGAACGACGGCACCCTGGCCACGTTCCTCCCTCCGTTGTCACACCCCCAGATCTATCAGTGGTGGGAGGAGCGTGCGAGGGAGGTCAGTCGCGGCGAGCGACAGATCATCATCTGCCTATCCAAAGTCAAGGACCGCACGACCGACAAGGACGCCCCGGCGCCCTGGCACGCCGAGGGAAGAGTCTGGCCGGTCATCCGCTCGACAACCCCCTCTTCACCCAACCAGGCTCCCTCCAACACCGCTCTTGACACGACAGCCAACCCCCCCGGGACGGAAGAGCTGGAAGTCTCCGGCGTCGTGTCCCTGGCGACGCCCTTCTCGCAGACCGGGCCCTTCCGCGCCCTCGTGCAGAAACTCTTCGTCTCGCCCCTGCACCGCCGCCGCGGCATCGCGAGGCAGCTGATGGCCCGGCTCGAGGGCGTCGCCGTGGGTCTGGGCCGCTGGAATCTCATGCTCGACACCGAGGTCGGGTCCGGCGCCGAGCTCGTCTACCCCCGCCTCGGCTACGAGAGGCTCGGCGTCGTCAGGGAGTACGGGTACTCGCCGCGCGACGGGCGGCTGGTGGACGAGGTGTGGTTCTGGAAGGATTTGAGGACGATGAGGAGGCTGGAGGCGTAGAGAAGAGGGGTTCACGGTGCGATGCGAAAAAGTCACGCGGCGGAATAGCACACAGCATTGGACGGTGTCACGGGAAGCGGCAAGTCTGCCTATTCACGGACGCACTGCGCTTGTTGAAGCATTCGCGGAGCAATATCTACTGGGCCTCCATGCCGCTCTGCAGCACTTCCTTCACCGTTCCTCAGCTCGCGAGGTCTCAGGTCTCCCTGACTTTGATGGGAACTACGTCTGGAGAATATCCTGTCTCAGGTAAACGATAGAGATACATTAGATATGAATTCGAATAGATCCACATATACATTGTCTCGGGGGAAGAGGTGAAGCAGGCCGAGAGGCTGCGAGGCTGCGAGGCTGCGACTGAATTAGGCTTAGTGCCAGCTCCAGGTCCGTGCACCAACTGGAGCTTCGGATTTCAATGCCTCGCATCATCAAATTTGTCCTCACAGCTTCCACGCTCTTGTTTTCCTTTCCCTCATCTGCCAACACAATATCTTTGTGGCCATAACCTCCAAGATGCGTCCCGTCCCTTCCCTTCGAGCCCTTCACGCTCTCCGCGCCCTGACACGCCTGACCATCTCCGCCCCTTCAAAATCTACACCAGCGACCCTCCGAGCTCCCACGGCACCGACGCTGCTGTGTAGTCCGCACCACCGCGCCTTCTCGACGACGCCCGCCCGCGCGGTGACGCTGAACCAGATCCGCACGCGCCTGGGCTCGCGCAAGCCCAAGAAACTCCGCCACGCCGTCTCCCCGGCGCTCAGCGCCGCCAACCGGCCCGCCATGAAGGGCGTGTGCCTCAAGGTCGGCATCACCAAGCCCAAGAAGCCCAACTCGGGTCAGCGCAAGACCGCCAAGGTCAGGCTGTCCAGCGGCAGGGTCATCTCCGCGTACATCCCCGGCGAGGGCCACAATGTGCAGCAGCACAGCGTCGTTCTAGTCAGGGGCGGCAGGAGCCAGGATTGTCCGGGTGTCAGATATCATTTGGTCCGGGGGGCTTTTGATCTGGTGAGTTCTGCGGTTCTGTCCTTTTTTTTGTCTGTTTCTTCGGGCGTGGCGTCGCCCAGGGCAGTGCGGATCAGGGGCATTTGCTAGCGTCGAGGAAGCAAAGTGTTGGAAAAAGAGACGAAGTGCGACGGATGATCTTGAAACAGTGGTATAATGGGTCTACGAAAAGCATTGACTGACGATGCCGCGTTATGGCTTTACAGGGAGGTGTGCCCACACGAATGACCAGTCGATCCAAATACGGCACCAAGAAGCCGAAGACGACATAATCGTGGATTGGCCTTTCTCAGAGCGAAGGTTGAATCTGGATCAAGCCGACTCAACTTCAGGTTCAGATGACGGAGAGACAAGACAGCCAATGGAGATCAGTGAGAAGCAAGGAGATGTAGAGCTTCCGTTGTCTCTCTAAATTGACGGTGCTCTCAGCATATGATCAAAGGGTTGCAAACCAGGAGGGGCCTCGAGATGTCAACTGTGTCCCCTGTGCTGATACAGGATACACACCTCAATTGGTGCTGTGGATGGAAGTCAAGTCCACCTCTACGGTACCACCTTATGCCCACCGCAAGAACGGCCGCTCCGCAAATCTGGACCCGGATCCGAACCAGACTCAGACCCAATCTCTCAGCGTATGTTACCGTACGATCGTCCTTTCCATTCACTCGATGACAGTCTACCGAATTCAGATCCTCTCTCCTACACCTCCCTTCGCACGCTCCTACAGACCACACTCCAGAGAGACGAACATATTACCTTTGGACCATCCAGCCGAGCAATCCCGCAACCGAAGTCCACCGTACTTGCGCTACAAACAACGCGATCTAACCTGATCATTTGAAAGTGGCGCAAAACCAAATGCCCGCCTGGCCTGGAGATGAGCTGTGCATTGGATCGAGGACGAAGTGCCGCTAGAGAGGCCGAGCACAGGGATAGCGTTGGAGATTTGAGATTGGGAACGCGACTGTATCGAGGACATGGAATAGAGATGGAGGTGTAGCCTGGATCGGGACGAAAGTGCCCCTCTTGTATGTATATGTAAAATGTAAAATGTCAAACATACCACGTGAAGCTCGTGTCAGGGGCCAGAGATGCGGAAGACATATACACACAAGGAGCGTCAAAAGAGGCAATTATGTCAAGTCCCAATGTGTACAACCCGTCTCTGATTGAATGATCCTAGGCCAGGTTCCGCTTGTTTCCTATACTACATACTGTGCACTGTGCACCGGTGCGTCCTGCCTCCAGGGGGGGTTCCAATGCGTGCCATGAATAATGATACCGTGCATCCCAGCTCATTCTTCACAGTGCACAAATGCCTCTATCGTCCAGCCCTGGTGCATCACAATGCATTGCGGTGCGAGACGAGAGGAGACGAGGGACACAGGCTCTCATTCCCTTAGTGCCATGAAAGCTTTTTGATGCTCCCTCCAATGTGTTCGCTCTTCCCAATAGTTCAATAGCCCAATCCCTGAATCCGTAGCCCTAACCCACTGACCAACGCCTCTCATGCAAAAGTAAAAGGGCCAAGGAAGCAGTGCTTCTCTAGACGATCCCAGTTCTGCCTCCTTCGCGTTGTTGGACAGGATGTTCGGTGCTCGACCACTTCCTCGTTGAGTAACTCGTAGGTATAAGATGGGTTTGAATGTCTGTCCTGCTGAAGCCATCCAATTTCTCCAACGGAGGCCATTTCTGAGATGTCCGCCACTGCAAACGGTGTTCGAAGGTAAAGAAGTGGTTGGCGGCGCCGGATTGATGCCTCCACGTCTTTGAGAGCATGAGAAACAAACCGAACACGCCGGGAAATCCTTCGATGCGCCGAGGAGGTGGTCCGCGACCCGGTCCCCTGAAACCACCTGATCAACCAGAGTTGTCCGACCTTGAAGGCCTCTCCGGCTTTTTGTACCAATTTTCATCCTCGTCGCGGTCGAGTCCGCTTTCGTGCCATTCCGCGAGGCGTTCCGCCCACGAAAGCAACTTGCGTCTCGTCCAGGGAATCCTCATCAAAGTAATCGTCAAGACCAATCCAACGCTAAACGTAATGCATGCATATTTAAAAATCTCCCACGACAGGGAAACGCCTGACTCTGATTCGTTTTGCTTGTCGCCGTTACCATCGCCGTTTCCATTGTTGTTGCCTGGGCTTCCGACATCACCGCCGGCTAGTCATACCTGAGTCTCCCACCCTTCGGGCTTCTTAAGCTTGTTGAGGTCGAAAAACCGAGATGTACAGCTATACGGCTTCCAGTCGAAGTTGTCGGCCGGGTTACAGTGGCAACGGAGTTTCCTGCGAACGTCCTCTCCCGTTGGACAATGTGTGAAGGGGACGTGGTAGTAGGCGATATCATTGAAAAAATGAATCTCGTCCTTCCTTAGGAGTAGACTAGCAGCGATGGAATGCACTGGAGCATCGCCCCAACGTTCGTAGAAGAAACCACCGTCTTTGTCAAGGGTTTCGAAGAAGTCAATGTAAGGTTTCGATCGGAGCCAGTCGAGGTTACCAATCTCAAAGTTTGACCACTAACAAAGATTAGAAACAAGAAGACAAATGACTTCTTGGAGAACTCACGAAATGGCATTTGTTGTATGTGTCACCTCCGTCGTCGCTCAAAAATCCCATCGAGTTATCTGGAGAGATGTGTTCAGGATGCGCCTTGATGAACTTCTTTGTGCTATCCCACAGCGTTGGAATGGTCTCGACGTATTCGTACAGGCTTAGGACGAAGCTGTACTTTTTCTTGTTCTCTTTCATGAACCGGAAAGGATCATAATGGATATCGCAGAACAGCTCAATGCTGGGCTCGACTCGCCAGTAGTACTCGAATTGCTGAAGCAGCGGATGACGAAAGAAAAAACCTGACTCGAATCGGCACATGTGTCGGTAACTGACTGAGTCGCCATAGATAATCTTCCTCCGGCGCATGTCTTCCCGGACGGCCTCAGCCTTCTTTTGATCGATCCATGGCGGGAATGACCAGTGATCGACGGGAATTTCGCCATAATGTGTCTTGCCCGAGACGAGAGAAGTCGTTACCTTTTTAAATGTCTCATCAAAGGGTTTATCGTTCAAAAAGACCCAGTCGTAGTTGTAGTTCCTATTGAAGCGGTCTTCGACTTGTCTGATTGAGCGGGCTATCTCCCAGATATCGGTGTTTCTTGCCAGGGTTATAAAGGTCGCATTGATTCGTTCGCCTGGAGCGGGAGGGGAGAGTTCCGAGGGAATGGTAGGAATCACGTTAGGGGTCGTTGTTTCCTCGGACTGTGAAGACTCCACAACAGAAGTCGTCTGCGGGAGATGAATGGAATCGTCTATCTCGTTGGTACTCGAACTCGGCGTGGACTCTCCAGGTCGTTCCCACGAGAAGGCCGTACCCGAGGTCAGTGGTTGGGCGTAGGAGGGCAGTGACGAGGTGGAAATAAAGTAGATGATGGTAATTCCCTGTTCATGTCAAGTCAGCATTCAATGTCTCAGACTTGGGCTGGCCGGGTTCCGTGTAACTCACAAAAACCGCAAAGAGTATATAACGAAGATATCTCCCCGAGCCGGTCGCCATCTTGGGCGAGAGAAGCCGGTAATATTAAAAGGAGACGAGGAAGCGGACCAGGGGACCACCACTGTCGTATTGGCAGTAAAGACTGGAAAGACGAGTGAGGCTCGTGGAGGAAATCGGGCAGCCTGAAACGGTGCGATCAGCACATGAGGCTGACTGGTCGAGGTTAAACTGAGTAGCCCAACGCTGAGACAGAAACACGACGTGGAAAAGGGCTTGGAAACAAAGAAATCTCGTCGCTCAGAGGGTGAAGGTGTTTAAAGGAGTGAAGTAGGTCGAGGAAACATTTCAGTTCGCAATAGGGAGAGCCGCAGGAAGACGCGCAAGCCCCGAGACAACGTGTTGCAGGAAACTTTTCTGTAGTGATAGAAAGGGACGCCTCAATTCCGGTTTAGCTGCACTCGGGCACATGGGGCTGAAGACGTAGGCTGCTTTTTTGGTAGCGGCCCCCTGGACGTGGCATCTGGATGCGTGATTCGGGTAACGGGATGGCTTGCGCGCCCGCCTAATAGGCTAGGTGTGGGCAACTTAGGCGGGAAGGGGCCCCCGAAGGCTGCAACTAGAGCCCAGAGGCTTAGCACCAGACACCTCACCAATCGCCAGGCTCGCCCGTTTCGAGACAAGTCTGCGTCACCGATTCCAGTTAGCAGCCCATCCACCGTCACCTGCCGTTTACATACTGCATCCCACAATCCAGCAATACGAGGACCTCGCCATTCACAACACCATCGTTTGATCATTGAACGGTCTACGAGTGAGGGTCACTTTGCCATCTCCACCAGGTCATGTCATAGCATCCTTGCTCTACCTTTTCTCTCCCTCTGTATCATGCGAATAGGCATTGCGCTCTGGTCACCGTCGAGAAAAGAGGTGGATTGCAGTGGGGTGAAAATAACAGAACTGCCATTCTGAATTTGGCCAGTTCAGCTCATTTTGGAGACTGCAGCCATGTCCTTCTTCGGCTTCGATACTTCCCTTCCCAGGGACAAGCCTGAAGGCGCTGGCAAGGGCATTTTTGAGCACACAAACCCCTTCGCCGAAGTCGCAAAAGCTCGGAAATTGCAGGCCTTCCAAGACAACCAGGACGAGATGTAAGTGAACCGACTTTGACAAGCAAGACATACAGTACTAAGTCCTCGTTCCAGTCTTGACTTCGAAGATACCTACGATGGGCTAGGCGATCAACTCGAGGAGGCCGGCGATGACTTCAACGACGATACCTTTGGTGGTGGCGCCGAGGGCGCAATCGGCCACGGCTCGGTGGGAAAAGACTACGACTTTTTTGGAAAAACGGCACAAGTCTCAAATGTCATCAATGAAGAGCATATGCGCTATAACTTGCAACATCCTCATCAGCCGCCAGGTGCAGCGGCTCCGCAACCCACAAAGGCCAAAAAGACCGGTTATGAGAAATATCAAGATCCGGGTTACATTCCAGATATTCAAGCAAAATCTGGGGCCTGGGGCACCAGGTCCAGCACAGCTGCTCCTCCGTCTGGCGATGGCCGCATCAGTACGGCTCGTAGCGCTGCTCCAGCCTTGCCCGCTGCTCCTCAACCCTCACCTCCACCGGCACCTATGTTACCACATCCAATGATGACCCTTGAACAGGTTGAGGCGGCTATGCTTGGTGAATCTCAAGCGAGACAGTCACAGCTTCCATTCCCTCAACCTCAGCCATATCCGTTCCCAACTCAGCCAATGCATTCACAATCTCCACAGCACTACCAACCAATGGGACTTCCCCCCGGCTTACCAACTCAACCTCAACCACAACCACAACCACAACCTCCGCTCGATGGTCCTAGAAGCCACAATCGGATGCCCTCACAGCCGCGTGCGCCTCCGCAGCCTCAGCAGCCGCTCCAGATTCTGCAGAACCCAAATAGGGCCCGTCATTCACCTCAGCCAAGCCTTGACAGGTCTCAACCTATCCCGCCACTCGGACCTCAAGGGTCTGGTGGCTTGCCAATCATAACTCATCCTCAACAGCTAATGGAACTCTCTGAAGAACAGCGACGAGCATATCTGGAAGAAGACGCCAAAAGGGCGAAGAGAAACCACAAGATCTTCCTGCTTTCCAAAGGAAATGGGTTAATGACACCCCAGGACAAGAACTTTATCACTCGAATTCAACTTCAACAATTGGTAGCGGCTACAGGGAGCTCCACGGATTCCAATCCCGAAGCTGCTCTCAACGAGGATTTCTATTACCAGGTCTACAGTCAAATCCGCGGCGCTCCAAGACAACATCCTACTCAACCGCTGGGTCACTTTGCGCAAACCTATCTCTTCCAGACGGGGACTCGTGTAGGTGGCAGACGGCAGCAGATCAATGGAGACAACCACATGCAGAGAATGCAGCAACAAGTCCAGCGTGCAGTTGAAGCAGCCAAGCTCAAACCCAAGAATAAGCAGCTGATCATTGAAGGTAGCTTGGGTAAAATATCATTCAGCAATGCAAAGACACCGAAGCCTTTGCTCAATATCAAACGACAGGAGGGCATCGACTCCCGACCAACAGGTGCCAAACGAGCAAGTGGAGTCAGTGACCGCAAAACAATTTTGAAGAACATCGAAGCTGTGTACACGATCCTGATGCGCCTGGAGGATCATGAACGACAAATGCCGCCTCCACCCACCGAGGGCGACGCTGATTCAATCCAGGCACACCTTGAGTGGCGGCAAAAGCAACAGGAACTCGGCAACACTCTATGGCAAGATCTCAAGGTCCTCGATCCTATAGTCCCCGGATCGACCATTCCTCATCCCTTCATTGCATTTCTATCATTTGCCAAAGGCAAGAAGGCCATTCCGCGTGTCTTCCATCAAATTGATCAGGACAAAAGACTGACCATCTTGACAATGATTGTGGTCCACCTTGATCAGCTTGATGTAGTCAAGGACGCCCGTCCTGCGCCTGGGGAGGTACAGCCTCCTCCCCTTGTGCGGGAAGAGATCGAGCTATTCTCACAAGCCGTCATGCCGTGCTTGTTATCTCATGTTAGCGAAGCACCCGTCAATATCATCACCGGATTGCTCGGGCTTCTCATCGATCACACGAACATCTCGGTCGTTGCACATACCAAGATTGGGCTTGGTATGCTGACGATGCTATTGACCCGTGCCGAATTGGTGAAGGAGGCTGGGTCAGTGAGTGATCAGGATTGGCAACAGTGGACCATGCTATATAGTCGCCTTTTTGACATGTTGGAGCCTCTTCTTGGTTCTCTATTCCCTGGCCCGGTCAACTCTGGTGACGATATGTACGTTTGGCAATTCCTGGCTGCCACCGGCATATGCGCCAGCCCCGACCAACAACAGAGGCTGGTCATCGGTGTTAAAGACAGAGTTATGGAGACAGTGCTTCAGAGCAAGACATTACCACCCGAAATGTCGAGCGTTCGACTAGGGAATGTCAACCTGTTCATGAGAGCCATCGGCCTCGATGTGGAGATGCTGGGATAATACCAAGAAAAAGTTGACGCCATTTTGAAGAGAAGGCCGGATCCCATCTCGTCGATGGGGATTTAGCGACGGGCAGGATATTTAGGGGAGGAGGATTTTGATCGGACCAAAATACGGCCATCAACGCTGAAACAACTCTGGAAATGGAGCACGAAGTGTCCTGCAGGGACATGACTTTATTGGACGTCAACCTGCGACTCCTGCTCTGCTTGCTGTCCTCTGATTTGACATTAGTGCTGCAAGTGGCTCCTTTCTACGCCTTTCTCATTAACCTGCAACTAAGTCGAAAGTTGGTTTGTTTCTTTACTACTATCGTGCTTCTTTTATCTCTGTTGCAGGGCCGTTGGTGCCTTGTCTGTTCGGCTGGAAGGTCGAGCTTGTTCCAGAGCTTCTCGCATTCTCTTTCCAGTGAACTTCGCAACGCCTCCACATGCCATGTTCTCTTTGGGATTCCCGTTTTCCCTCACTGACTCCCCGTCCGAGGAAGAGCCTTGCCACGCTGCGAGCTGCGAGTCCGTCACCGGGGTTTCGCGATCTATTTCATCTCTGCCCCGGAGATGGATATCTTGCCATCTCCCTCCTTCTGCAGTCGAACGAGTTCTTGCTGCGTGTTGAGATTCTGGTTGCGGTCGCGCCTTGATGTTTGGCGGCTTCCGTGTCCTAGGTCCTCTCTCTCTCTCTCTCTCTCTGTGTGTGTGTGTGTGTGTGTGTGTGTGTGTGTGTGTGACTGATAGGTACCTACGAACACCATAGCCCAGCCCCACGGCGTCCTCTGTCTCAGGCGGTCCTGGAATGACCGGGCTTCTTCCACATGGCCACGCCGTTGTTTCTGGTCCAGGTCCAGATCCAGATCCAGATCCAGACCGGTTCTGAAGACAGGGACGGCGAACCCCCCGATTTGCAACACCGTTTCGAGGGGAGACCTTGCGCCGGCCCGGACAGGCAACGGCGTCGCAACAAGACAGACTGACACTGACCTGACACTGACCTGACCAGACCGAAGGCGCGCTTTCTCGAGCTCAACGCGAACCTCTGAACGAGCTGGATGTCTCCCTCTCCTATTTACTGTTTTCTCCAGCCTAGAGCGCGAGAGTCGGCAGTGGAGAGCGTAACATGGCTAGAAGACGTGGCTTCCAAGGAGCGTCGATAGATTGGAGAGAGAGAGGGGGGGGGGAACAGCGTGAAGAATTTCGAGTTCTGTGGGATTTGCGCCACTCGCCATGCGCCATAGCCACGGATCAGAGGATAAACGGCGAGTGAAGAGGAACGTTGGTAGGAAATCGCAAATCGCAAAGGGAAGATGAAACTCTTCGAGTTATAAACATGTTTTTGTTTGGAAAACTTTGCGATCTGCAATTGATTACCTGTCTTACTAACGACTACAGCAGGTCACTGATTGATCCTTGGTCACGGATTTAATTACCATTGCACAATTTATGGAATCGGAAACCCTTAGATGCAATGGCATAACATATATACTCATGTGCAACATTCTCTCCCGCAATCGACCATAGGATATGGAAAGCAGGGCTTCCCGTTCGCTCAGCCATACTTAAGCCATATGCCGGCCAGTTAGTACTACCGTGGGTGACCAGGTGGGAATCCTGGCTGTTGATTGTTTTTTTTAGCTTGATTGACATTCTCTTTTCTTTTGGGTTGTCCTTTTTTCCCACTCCTGGTTTCTGAAGGGATATCGAAGGGTTGGGGATATGTTTTTGGGTAGGGTGGGCGCGTGGTGGTCAACATCAGGCTGCGAGTTACTTCTTACGGCCTGGGCCCTGATAGCCTACTAGCCTCACCAGCATTTGTTGCCGGGGTCTAGGCTGGTACATAGAGGCCATAGGTGCCAAGTACGGGCTGCTTTCTAGATCAGCTTTTCTGCTGGCATGTGATACCTGTTTGCGAGCGGGGTAATAATGTTCTAGATGTATCGACCAACAAGGACAGCGGGGACACGGCCTGAGCAATGCACGGCCCAGGAGGCTACTTCCCAAGAGCCGGTCAATCCAAGTTGTTGTGGTATTGATGAATCACCAGTGACGGACTGGTTCGGCGAGTCCTAGATTGTTTCTTCTGTCGGTTATTTTTGACGTCAAGGAGACGAGGTTACGCTGCAAGATGCTGCCAGGCCAGGATCCCAGGCTGCTAAACATGGTGTTGGGCTGAGTCATGAAATAGTCAGGGGATGATGGTCATGATGATGGCCAAAAATGAATCGCGTCAGACGGTATACCCAGGTCGACGCGGGAAAGTTGAGTGTAGGTACGGAGGAAGGGATCGCTAAACAAGGACAGCGACGAGACAAAATACAAGAAGCTTTGCCCGAGGTAGCCCAGACATCGCCAATAACCCCTTTTGAATGTTTGTCTTGCCACATGCTTGACATTGGACTGCAAGGGGAAGTTAGTTTGTGGTGGCAAACAAACCAGGTCACAAATGGTCTCGGTGGAGAGACTGCCTGACTGAGTGACTGAGCCGGTCATGGACTGCAAGTCGGGTCAAGAGCCCGGGTAGTGAGCCGAAGAAAAGAACAAGGAGGCAGAAAACAAAATGCATCTGGTCAAAAGACTCGTTCCGGAGGCTGGTTGGGATATTTCCGCAAAAGCAAGGTAGCAATTGGGTTCGGGGAAATGCTTGCATCGAGATGCAAGGACAGCAGCGTTTCCGAAAGAGTCAACCAGTTGCAGCACAGGATAGCCCACCGACAAAACAAGACTTGCCCAGCGCACCCTCCATGGTCCTCCGACACCTTCGGCAGGTGGGCTGGCGACAGTAAGACTGTTCAAGATGGTCTATGCGAGCCATGTGCTTGGCTGTATTGGTTCAACCCGCACCGTGGGAGTCTGCAATGCTCCAGTAAACCGGTATGATACAATCACTGGTCAATCTTTGCCTTGAGTGGCTTCGGAACGTGAAAATGTGCGCAATGGAACAGGGCGATTGAGTTCCTGGGCACTCTCAACACGGAAAATCGATCGGAACATCAATGCCAAATCGTTCTGTTTTCGAAGTTGAGCACATAAATTTGCCGGTGTCATATGCCTCACTGCTGAAGTTAGAGAGGTAGACTTTCTGTCGTTGCAGATACGAAGTCCTTGACCCGATCGCCGCAGGGGTGAAGTAAGAAAGCTGGAAAGGCTGGGATCTTTTGTCTTCGCTGCAGGAACTTTTTGGACGGGTTGGAATGCCCCCCTGTACGGAGTACAGGAACACGCCAACGTGATGGATGATCCAGCCTGTCAAGAGGCGGTGCGTCAGCCCATCACACCTTCCCAGTTCTGGTAGTTTCGGTTGATCAGACTTGTCCCATGGTCAATTCGGCTGGAGCAATGGTCGATGCCTGGTGGGATGTGATCGACGAACGGACAGGAACTAGTTAGGCTGAGATGTGCACGACCTTGCCTCCGGAGGGGCCAGAACAACCCTCCCGCTCCTTTATTGGGAACGAGGACACTCTCCAAACTGGCGCGTGTTGGAGCGACCAAGCTGGTGCTATTAGTAGTAGGCCCACCGTATGCAGGCAGGCTGTGGGATGGATGTCCAGGCTGACTTAACCAGACCTTGCCCTTGTTGCGCTTGCCCTCGTGCTGCGGTGTGTTCGCACTGTCCGGGCAGTCATGCTTGCTATCGCCACTGCAGAGATACGAGTTGGTGCATTGGTGTTTGATGCTTGACACTTGACACACTTGGACACCCCCCTGCTTCGAGTTTTCCCACCGGCCAAATCCTCCGTGATCACGCCTCGGTTCCACCGCTCGACCAACGTCATCATTTCCATGTTCCAAATGAAACAGGTCCTGCATTTAGATTTGCCGCATGGCTCACAAGTGTAGAAGACATCAACTTCCGGGGCTTCTTTGCTCTGCTCCTAACTGGGAGAGACGAGTGACAAGTCAATGCCCTCAATTTGACCAGAATCCACAGGGGGCCGGAGGACTCCGCACGGCAATCGGAAATGTCCAAGGAAAGAATCTGTTGGATAGCGGGGTCGAGGGTTGTGCCAACTGCATTTCCAGCAACAAATTCTGGCGAGCAGTTGATAGGCAGAAAACTCATCTCGCAACAGCAAAGCTCCTGGTTAGAGTTTGCAGCGGAGAAGCCAGCAGGGCTGCAACCACAACGAACATCACGGCTGTGGGTTGGTGCAGAAGCACACAAATCGACTTAAATCGTGTCATTGATGGAGACTGGCCCCCCTGCACGACCAGGCCGCATGACGCGAACCCATGGTTGCTCCTAACTTTCTGCCCATGATCGAGATGAAAACAGCATAGGTGTCTCGGTGTCACAGATGGCGTGTCGAGCCAAAATTGAGAAACGGCCAGCCTTCGGGGAGTCTGCGAACAAGACCGTGGTGGCGTAGTCTCACACGCCCAGATGCAAACAACATTAATCTTGCAAGGTTCCAGATTTTTTTTTTTCGTCCAACTTGTGAATCCGGCGGACCGAAAACGAGGTTGTGCTGTATGGAGCCGTGGCACAGTTGCTCAGGTCAGTGGGTGGACCTGCTCATCAGTCCTGAATTCTCGTCAAGACTCTTTTGGCGCGTTGCGCTTCGATTGGTCCGTCACAGTTATTGTCCCTTTGGATGTGCCCAAATCTGATCCGTGCGATGCCGTGCGTGCGCACCCCGGTGCAGATCCACTCTAACCTGCGCAAAACTGGGGGTCGCTTGGAGATGTGACAGGCGGGATGATAAGGCCTCGACGTCGCCTTCTGAGCCGTCAGCAACCCGAGGCTTGAGGTAATTTGTCGGCGGCCACGGACTATCAAAAGATATTCCAGCTAGGATCGACTTGGATACAGAACCGCGAAGCTAAATCTCAACGCTGCAAGGGAGCCTCGGAAGATAGTCCGTCGGAGCGGCGTTCGAATCCTCTGGTGGCCTTGGACAAGGATAGCAATAATGGTTGATAGGGGCTCAGATCGTGAGAACTGAGAACGTGGACAGTGGAGTTAGAACCTTCGGGAGGCCTATTAATGTGGATCGCTAATGGCGCTGGACCCCAGGTTCCCTTTTCCCTGAAGCATCCTGACGGAACACCTGGCACTCCGTACAAGTATTCCGTACGTTCATCATTTTGCCGCTGATGTTGTACTTGGTATCCACCGAGCTCAAACGGCAGATGTAAGGGTGGCCCAGGCCAGTTCTGAGCGCTGCATATCCTGTCATCGTTCACTTAGCTGACCGTGGAGTCTCTTGTACGCCAAGGTCTGATGGTTGCCACTGAACGTGCTTGTGACGAGTCGACGCACTAGGCTGAGACCTGAGAAATTCGCACCCTGGAACGCGGTGGCACCAGTGGTAACCAGAAGGCGTGATGACACCACGGATCTACCTGAAGGGGACGGAAATGGGTCCCGCTCACATTGTCGCATCGCATCCTCTGCACGTCCCGACTACTGGATCAGGACGAGGGAAAGGGGCCCAGGTTGGACGCTACCAGACCAAACGACTAGCTGCTACTATCGCTTGAAAGGAGGACCTATACCGAGTACACCGTACAAAAACGTATCTTGATGGTACGGTGTACGGTAGTCCATCGGATTGGCGCGATCTCCGAAATGAACCACAACTCGCTCCGGAGGACATCCAAGAAATTGAGTCCTGGTGCAGGTGCCTTATGATTTACTCACCATTTTTGGTGACAGGATGCTCTCGCTCGTGATTGTCTTCTCATGCCGGCAATTCCGTCTCAAGTTTGTTGGTACACACGGACGGCCGACAAGCATTTGCGTTCGGATAGACACCAGAAAACCGGCAGCTAGCCGATCGACATTTCCCAAGTCAGCCTGTGTTCGGCACGGAGCATGCGAGCAGGCCCAAGGGATGTCACTCGGCATCTTTGTAATTGTCTCATTTGCACGCAAGTGGACGGGAAAATAGGAACCAAAGTCTCGTAGCGAGGTAACGTGGCGCGCGCCCTGCCGGCAAGCCACTGGGATCAATTCGGTGTCAGAAGGGCAACCTTTGGGGGGGGGGGTGATGCTCGGCGCTGGGATGCTGTCAGCCATTCTGGCCTGAAGCTTACCCTTACGCAGCAACTTGTCAGACAGTGGAGACCAGCGTTGTTGCAGCCACTGATGGCGCTCCCCCCAAGAGCAACACTGCCAAAATTGTGCTCGGGATCTAGCTCTGCTAAGGAGCCCATGTCACTTCGTATCGAATTTGTAAGGGCGAGTCAGGACCCGTCGCGCTCCCAGATCACCGATTGTGTGATGGCCATCAACAAGGCACCTGTGGGCCACAAACGCACCTCCAGAGGTGATGGACTGTTGCCAAACAGGAATTTCCAGCGTTGATCGACTGCAATAAGTCTTATTGGCCAGACAAGCAGTCTGGCCAGGGAGGATGGTCGATTCACCGACTGGAGGTGTTAAATTTGGGAGGGCGATCAGTGGGAAGGGGGAAGGACGGTTGATGGACAACAGGTGTCAGCTGCCTTTGGCGGTCTGCACCTGGGGTCGAGCTTGAAGGAAGATCCGAAGAATGTCGCTTCTGTTATTGGTTAGTCAAGGAAGACGAGGGACTCGGGGGGGGAGATATAGGGTTTTCCAGCACATCTTGATCCAGCAGGGAAGACGACGCAGGTCAATGTCGGGTCGACACGGTGATGGAGTGAAGTCATTGGGCTCTGGTTGGTACCATTCTTCGGGGAGCGCTGACTCCATAGGGGCGCGTGGGGAGGGGGCGGCTGGCGTGAAAGAGGATTGGAAGAAGTGGTGCAACGAAAGGCGCGATGCAGGTCCCAAGTCGGAGGGAGAAACATCGCAAATTTTTCGAGATTCTGCTTTCTCCGTTTGGTGTGGATGGGGGAACAATGGACCAATGTGAAGGGACGGATGAGCAGGACACCAGCACTAGGTTGGCCTAGGGCCCATTGCAGGCGTCACCAAGCTGTCAATGCGAGGGGAATTAGCTATGCCTAGTTAATCCATTAGCCCACTGGAGGCGCCTAGTTGAAGACTCCCTTAACTAGCAGCCGAGCCAGGTATCCTCTGTACGAGAACATCATTTCCTTCAGGATTGCTTGCTCGTGCGCGCGCCCCTCCCTTCGCCTGCGCCTGCGCCCATTCTCACATCATGATTCCCTCCTGGTCGTCCCCTTGACCCGTCGTGTCTCTAGGCTAGGCGAAGCGCTGCAACTCCTCCTCCTCCTCCCAGCTCAGAGTTCCTTCGTACAACCACAAAATCTCCGGGTGACCCAACGAGCCCTGTCCACAATAAGTGGCACAGTCTGACGAGAAAGGGTATTATAGTACTCCGTAGGTAGCAAACTATCAATTGAACGGCAATCGTCATTCAGACGGCTAATTTATTCTGCCCTTGGACGGAGTGGTATCCCTTACCTTTGTTAACGATACTAGCTATTTCTGATCTGGCGGCCACCTCGTCGCTATCAAGTGAGTTGGCTTTTTTCTGAGATGGCGTCTATTCTGTACAGATTAGACTGTGCCAGTGATTTCTGACGAAAGGCTTGCCAATCCTCCTTGTAGTTTGTGCCGTCCAATGACATTGCTGGGAAAAGCCCCGGCCGCCTATCCCAGGCGAGGACAGCTGATCCTGTTTTAAAGTTAGCCATGCAGTTTGCCGTGTGCCGGTGATCCACGCCTGGCAGGGGGGAGAGGTCGCAGCTTAAGCCTGGTCTGGGCCTGGGAGCTGGGGCGGTGGGCTGTGGGCTGTGGGCTGCACCATGCACAGACACACATTCACACCGTCGATTTCCTTTTTGCGCGTTTCTCGCTCATTCCATCCGTACGCAAGCCGCAGTGGTCGATGGTCAGTGGCCAGCTGCCTGGACGGGCAGTGGCACCAGACGACAGCCTGGAAGTCAGACGGGCTCGAAACCGCCCATCCTTCCCCTGTTAGGCCTTGTTGCCGCCCCCGGTTGGGCTTTTTGTCGGTCTCTTGCCTGATGCCGTGATGCCCTGACACTCCTTTGCGTAGGCCTGCCCAGGACCCCCCCTCCAGCGCCTCGTTGATAACCTGCTTGGGGAACTGTCCCGGGTTTTCACGGGGCCGCCACCCACCCTGCTCAGTGCTCAGTGCTCACCTCGTAAGCTACAACCTTCTGTTGCCAACCACGCAATTCCCCCCCTTGACCCTTGTCAACCCAACTTTGCATGTACGGGTAATGGACCCTAGTCACTCTCGCAGTTCCATTGCATCTCCATTGCAAACCCCAAGTGCGCATTCCCAGTCTCCACCCCACATGGCAGCCCCCTCGGCCCGTTTTTTTCTTTGTTTGACCTCTCGTGCCTCTCTGGACCGTGTCTCTCTTTTCTCACTTGCCATGTCGGCGCCATTTGCTTGCTCATCTCCATTTCCTGAATGCGCCCATCGTCCCACATTCCTCGACCCTTGCTCTGACTCATGGGGATTTTTCTCGATTTGCTTCCATCCTGCCCGGTTCCCACTCCACTAATTTCAGAAACCCTTCCCGACCCGATGGATGGCGGCTAACCTTGAACCACCCAGCAGGCTATTGACCAAAAGCTACCAAAGCTCCAGCCCCGGCCAAACTTGTCCCTCGTCTTCCTACCTCGAATTGCCTCGCGATCATCCTCCCCAAGCCTAACCTAGTCCATTTTACGAGGGCGACTGTGCGGCACCGCAAGAGCTGGGCTTTACGAGACGATGACACACCCCTGCGGCACTAAAACCGAGCATGGAGGATTGTTGCGCCAGCTTTGGGAAATCAATTGTTGACCACCCACCTCACCATCTTCTCGCCTCTCGAAAACCGTATCGACGCCAAATCATGCATCCCTGCAGCCAGTTTTGACCCTCCTTCAACCCTGTTTGACTTTTTCTCTCAAACACGCACATTTGAGGAATGCAACCGCATCATCCCGTGCCCGCCGGCCGCGTTTCCTTTCCAACCTCATGCTCCCGCCATGGCATTGGCTGTACACTGTGCATCAGACGGTTTTTTTCTGGCCACCTCCGCTCTTTTCCCCTCTCTGTTTCCCGTGTCTGACCAGGTTCATGCTGAGCCACCTCAAACCCCATCTCCGGAATGATTCTGGTGCTCGTATGATACAGTGCCCACTCGCCAGCAAACTTGGAGCTAACGGGATAGCCTCCTTTCGATACCTGTCCACCTTGACTTCACTTCTGACCTCCTCGTACGCCCCGTGGCTCTTCAGCACAACTCTGACAGCCTTGGTTCCAGGCTGCAGCGAATTCCCCCCCCAGTGCTGCGGCCAAATCTGTCATCCTGTCAACGCCATCCAATCCATCCACCGAATGTTCGCGGTCCACACACCGCGCACTCTTGCCATTCACCTGGTCGACGGGCTCCCTTGCCCGGCCCCCCATACCTTTGCCTCTGTGGGACTGTTTTCCTTCCAGATCGCCTCGGCCATCAGATTGACGCAAATATGCGTACCGGTGCGCTGCTTATGGCTGGCCCAGCCAGGCTTTTCCCGATTTCTACCACTCCATTCCCTTTTGCCCCGGTTTCCACACCCTAAGCTACCGCAGCCGCCCGTTTTTCTTGATGCATCTCGCCTGATCGCTTCCCCTTGGTCCTAAGTTCCTAACCCTGAGCAAACCCACCGTGACCCGCCAATAAACCCCGTCCCCTGTTTGTACCTGTCCTGGAGTCATGTTCGTCATGCTTTGGCTTTGCGCCTTGACCTTCGCCAAACCCTGGCTCTGGGTCAAACTATTCCACCCTCGTCAAACCCTGACCCATATACACTTGTATTGACTAACTCTGGCTACTGCTTGCAGCAGCCAGCTTCTCCTCGCCGCAACTGATGTACCAATTTAATCTTGCCTTGTCTCCCTTGGGACCATATCCACTATCAACTTGGCCTTTGCCGCGAGTCCGTTTGTCCCTAGATTGGGCAATAGATATGGACTGTCGGCACCACTCAATTCTTTCCCTTCTCTCTATCCGCCAACACCGTTTTCAATATGGACGCCCTTCAGCAATACCACTACTCTCCTCCCGAAGCGACTTACAACCCTGCCGTCTCTGTCTCCGTGTCCTCTTTCTTTATCCGGCCCAACAAAGTGGTTAAACCGAGCAGCAGGAATAGCAGTCCACGGACACTGGGTCGAAGGAAAACGATGACTGCAGCCGCCGCTTCGTCGAGAACTCGGTCTGTCGTCGACCATCTCCGCTCCAGCACACAATGGCAGAACACAGAGATGCCTCGCCCCCGCCCCGTCAGCTGGCATCCAAATTCTTTCGAGGCGCTGAACTCTACATTCAACCCGGTTGCCAATGAACAAGACTTGTCAACATGGGACTTCTCGACGGCTCAAGTCCATGGCCTCGTCACACCTATCTCCTACCCATCCATGAACGAGCCCCAGATCCAAGAGCCCTTCACGCCGCTTGATGAGCTGCCCACCCGAGATCCGGGTTTCGTCTTTGAGAGCGAGCCATACCTGGAATCCATGTGGCTCAACCAAGGACAAGTAAAACCAAACTCAAATTCCTTTCCCCTCTATCCGGAACAACCTTTCTCACAGCCAGCGTGGGGATTCAACCAACCGGTCATGGCGCCGAATGTGCAAACAGCGCCGTCCTCTCCGAACTGCCTCCCACTTCAGAATTTTGGGCTTGACACGTTATCACTCGGCAATAGCGACTCGAAGTCCAAGGATAACTCGGAGGAATTGGTCGGCATGGGCTTGTACGATTCACCTGCTGAAGTCCAATCGTCATCTCTGCTCTTTGGTCGCTCTGCAGGCTCAGTAAGAAAGGGTTTGAAGCTGGAGGAGTCATTTGAACCGGTGGAACAGGAAGACGAAAACGAAGACGGAGAACTTGACACAGAAGACGCCGAAGAAGATGAGTCTGGCCAGCAGGAAGTTGAGGAGCAGGATGAGGATGGCTGCCAAGTGTGGAATACGTCCGACCCCGCCAGGTACGAGGGCCAGTCTATCGCGGATCACTTGACATTTGGGATGCAAGCACAGCCAGATTCGCTGGCAATGAAATATCTTTCGACACTGAGGCAGCTGAACAGCGCCTATTATCCTTCAGGGCATTCTTATGGTTGGGCCTGAAATTGACGACTTGACGACAGTTATGACAAGTCACTGGAAGGATGAAGTGGGCTTTGTTGGCAAATTTGCAGCGTTTACACACTGTTCTTATATCGCCATGATACCCCTTTAGTGACGATCTCGAAAGGATGACTAGGCCTATGTACAAACTAGAATACTAGGTACCTTGAAGATATCATGTATTACTTAGAACAACAAGCGTGGGTGCTCTCAGTTGAAGGCACCCGCACGCCTTGAAATTGAGCGAAAGACTTCCTCAATGTTTGCTCTTGCCTCTCACTTTCCATATCAAGTCCATTCCATGTTCTCAAGGAATGTGCTTGATTGCCAACCAATCGGAGCAGAGCACCTGCATCGGATCCGCTCCGTTCCCGCTCTCTCTATGTCATTGGCTAGAGGCGGCGAAGTCACGTGAGTAGCCAATACACCAACCGCGTACCTCACATCTCGTCTTTTTCTCCCCTCAGGGAATGACTTGACGGGCTCTTCCCCGGAGGATCAGCCAGAAACTGTTGAGCAAAAAACTGCATAAAGCCCGCGCCCTCTAACCGCACCATTCAATATGCGCCCTTCCTGTCGCTTCGATGTCACCTTCCTCAACAAATCTTAGATGATCACCACTTCACCTGTCGAAACCTCCCCTCTTCGAATTTTGGGCGTGATCCGAGGGCCCGAGCCCTAAACCGCGGCTTTCCCACCAACCATCCATCCCTGCTGGGTTCTCCAAGCTCTCACCACCATGAATTTACAATTTCCACCATGGCGACACGACACCGAATTGGCCATGGTCCGAGACTGGTTCTTTCCGAGCCGGGCGACGCTGGAATTATATTGCACCGTTGCATCCCTCGCTTCGCGAGACCTGAGGCAGCGTGCTATTGACAAGGTCAATCTCTGGCTGTTCAAGGCCGGTCAGCTACCTCCAGCGCTGGTAGCCACGGCAAGCTTGACCGATGCTCTGATCCATGATGAACAAAGGAGGTCGTTATCTGGGACAGCCATCTCGGACCAAGCCATGCAGAGCATATATGCCATGGCCTTTGCGAGGTTTGTCAATGGATTCGTTGACCGTGATGTTGCCCGCTCATATGCTGCTGAAATGGCCCGGGACAGTACTCCTGATGGAGAAGAAGTGACTCGATTCTCAGCAAGTGCTGCCAAAGGTGAAAGCTCAATGTATGCTCACGCCGCCACGATCGGGATGCCCCAGAAATTTGTTGATCTCCGTCATCAAGTCACACACGCTGACATCCCCAATTTGATGTATCTGAGAAAGATGACAGAACAGGCTTTGGACTGGATGTGGGAGAGGTGGTGGGTCAAGAGTGCGACTGGCAATCCGGAACGTGCATTGAGGGAGCTGGAAGATAGGCAACGCATATCACGAGAAGCGAGAGATGCTACAGAATCGAGCAGGAAGGATTTTCCCGGCATGGTGCCCCAAGATCCCCCTGAATGCGACGATCAGGCTGTGCCAATGAAGGCGACACGGGGGGTAAACACAGCACAGAATGAGTCTGTTTTCTCCACCCCAGCAAGAACTAGAGGTGCACTGAAGCGCAAGTCTACGGCGTTAGAAGACGACGACTAGATGTGATACTTGAAACCATGACTAGGTATTTCTGACAGGATATGTGATGGACCACCAGCTTCTCGTAGTGGTACGAACCCTCATCTTAGATTGCCAAGCCTTTTCGAGCTGCGCGTGCGAATCTGGAAGTGATACAAAGATCAACTTCCTCGTCATCCGAAAAGCAGCCTTGTCGTGATCACGGACCCGATTCGCCTCTCCCTCGAATCTTCGGACAAAGAGTGAACCGCTTTCTACTGTTACCGATGGGAAAGCATCGACCAAGTCTTCAGTTCGCCTGCATCTTCTTGTCCGTCTCCTTCTCGCGTTCTCTCCTTCGACATGAGCAACCTCCCGGCTAGGGCAAACGAGAGCCCATTCTACGACGTGCCCGCTGACCATCGGATTACCTCTTACCCGACCGAGACCAAGATCATTTCTACCCTTGCTTTGTTGCTTCTGGGGTACTATGCCCTGTCCTTCTTCGACGCCTGGCCTTCGACGATCAAAAGAGCAGTCTACGAATTCGTCGTCTACATAATCCCTTCTCACCTAATCTACGCCATGCAGTACGGTATGATCCGCCTGGGCCGTCTGAGCCCGGAGGAAGCAAAGTTCAAGAGAGCAAACTTTGGAGATATGGTTGCAAAACAGGAGGCTGTCAGGATCATACTGGGACAACCACAGCTGCCCCTTGCACTTCGAAAGGTGAGGAGTTTGTCCGGCTCATACATGGCCTTGGGCCACGAGACTGGTCCTCCTGGCTTGGGAAACTGGGACAACTCCTGCTACCAAAACAGCGTGTTGCAAGGTCTGGCTTCTTTGCCGGCTTTCATCGAATATTTAGAGCAGAGCTTGGAATGTTGTGACAGATACGACGCTCCTGCAGCCACACACCGAGCTCTGGTGACCTTGCTGGAACAACTATCTGATCCAAACTCTCGGACAAGCGTCCTTTGGACTCCCAGAATCCTCAAGTCCATGGACAGCTGGCAACAGCAGGATGCCCAGGAATATTTCTCTCGTGTTCTCGACGCGGTCGAAAAGGAGGCCAAACAATACGTCGACAAAATGAAACGTTCTACAGTTGCAGGGCTAGAGTGCCTCAGGGCATTTGAGAAGAAAGGCTCTGGAAAGGACGTGCACAGGGAAGAGCAGGACTCCGGAGGTTTATGGACGAGGGGGATTGGTGGTTCGCCAGCAGCAGCAAGTTTGAGGGAATGCGGACTGCGGAATCCCGTTGACGGCATGACCGCCCAATGTCTTGAATGCAGAGTCTGTGGCTTCACCGAGGGACTGTCCTTGACACAATTCAACTGCTTGACCTTGAACCTGGGATTGCAAGGGGCTTGTGATGTTGCGAAGCTGCTCGATGAATACACAGCACCAGAAGAAGTTGAAGGGGTCGAATGTGAGAATTGTACAAAGTTGGCACACGGTAAGACGCAATCCACAAAAAGCGATGACAAGAGCTCAGAGCCATCCGACGTTGAGCCAAATGAAAAGCAAAAACCAGTCCTGCGGACCAAGGCCAAGCAGATCACCGTCGGACGGCTGCCCAAAGATTTGGTTCTTCACATCAACCGAAGCATTTTTGATAATTGCGGAAACCAGCTCAAAAACACAGCTCAAGTCCGAGCCCCCACCAGATTGGATTTCTTGAGCCGATGGTGTGCGCCCCTGGACAAGAACGATGACTCGGTCGAAGTCGTGTACGAGCTAAAATGTGTCGTGACGCATTACGGCAGCCACCACGATGGCCATTATATCGCCTTGGGGAAGCGGGATAAAGATTGGTATTCGTTCAACGACGAGCGGGTGACAAGGATCTCAGAGGAGGAAGTCCTCTCTCGGGGGAACGGATTTATGCTGTTCTACGAAGCTGTTGGCTCGCCACCACCTCCTTGGCCAGAAGTGGAAATGCCAAAGGAGCCCGCTGCAGCCAGTGCAAGGCTGGAGGAGGTTATACGCCAGATGAAGGATCACCCAGATCGGGAGCAGATGGTTGAAATCGAGGAGCTGTCCAACAGACTGTTTGATGACGACGAAATGGCCGAGTCGGTCTCCGACCTTACTCCATCCAGCGATGTGTCTCTGGATTCCAACTCTGCTTCTTCCAAGAGCAGCTCGCCCGTCAAGTCGTCGGCAGAAGAGTTTGAGCCGCAGAACGCGGCGATGAAGGTCCCGATCATCGACCTAAAGACAGCGACCGACATGTCCAGCCCCGTTGCCCAAGGTCCGTCTTCGGGAGAAACCATGCCTCCTGTGCCTGTCCTCTGAGAATAGGGCGGGCATCGTTCTGCGGAAACGAATGTTACGAATTGACGAACAGAACCCCAAAATATGATACCCAAAGAAGCAATGATTCAACTAACAGATGTATTCGTGTCTATTAATGGTGCTGGGACATGATAGCAGCAGCAATTTATACATAGCAGTATCCCTATCAATCATACAGCGATCTTATTCCAGTTCACTGTTTCGTTTGCTTTCCAGTTGACTTCAGTCAGTTCTGCTGCGTTCGATCAGTGCTTTTGAACCCCTCGTTGAAAGAACCTGACTGTCCACATAGGTGCCGTCGCCGTTGAGAGGACGCGAACAAGGAGCCATGGAGCCATAGCTTAGGATGACGATGGACAGTTGAACTGTAGCACAGCCTCCATAAGAGTACTCGGTAGAGGAGGTGAGGAAGTTGCTTTCCAAAAGGAGACCGGTTAGTCATCAATCTGGCAAGGCTGCATTACATAAGCCTCATGGCGGGACAAGACTCCCTGCGACTCTTGTGCGTCATTGGGTCACGGCACAAGGCACTTTGCTCATCAATGAATTTGGCTAAACTTTCACCATGAGGTCGGCACCTGTCGCTCGTCTTCAAGTATTGCAGCAATGAAATCGTAGAGCATACTCTCACCTCGACCATCTGTCTGTGTGTGTCTCCCAATCTCTCCCGTCATGTCTGACCCTAGGGATGCCCCTCAAGTGAGCCGCAGGATCAGCGAGGTCCTTCCCGATGATGTATGTTCTAGCCCTCGCAAGTCGAGATGTGATGATCCTGACAGTGGTGTGCGCAAAGCGACAGGACGGCTCTAGTAGTGAGGATGACTACAACAGGAAGATAGAGGTGAGTTCGCCTATGGTCCTTTTTCCCGACTGCCAACCTAACTTTATCTCTTTCGCCCAGGTGGTCTTCGATAGTGAGGTTGTCCGCCGACGCAAATCCTCAACCGTGCTCGCTGAAACTCCTGTAATCGAGAAGCCGAAGAGAATCCAGGCTGCGCGCACCAAGTCCCAGTGCTTGGTCCACAAGCTGGTCGAGAAAAGCTCGTTGGGTCAACAGCCCAAAGTCGAATCAAAGCTCGAACAGATCGACGAAATAGAGCCTGCTTCAAGGCTGGACGCCAATGGACAGAACTCGGGCAAAGAGGAGGTCCGCGCGACAGAGTCCCGGCTGCTCACGAAGAAACAGTTGAGTGACATGGCCATGAGTGTGAGGACAATGGCGAAGCGGCTGGGCAATCTCAAGGTCAAGCTGCGGGTCCGGGCCATCTTCCTGCTCACCAAGATTTATGACAAGACGTTGATTACCAAAACGAAAGAGGTGACGAGGTGGCTGCTTTCCAAGGACAGATCTGTACCTTACATTGTGTATGTCGAGGACAGCTTGAAAGACAACCCGGCCTTCGATGCTGAGGGTATTTGTGCCGAGGACCCTTCCTTTCGAGAACGTCTGAGGTATTGGGATGCCGAACTGGCCCGGAGACACCCCCATACATTTGACTTTGTGGTAACACTGGGTGGTGACGGGACAGTCCTTTATGCGAGCTGGCTGTTCCAGAGAGTGGTGCCGCCTGTGCTATCCTTTGCGTTGGGCTCGCTGGGATTTCTCACCAAATTTGACTTTGAAAACTACCAGCATATACTCTCACAGGCTCTTAAGGATGGCGTGACGATCAGTTTGAGATTGCGGTTCGAGGGCACTGTGATGCGGACCAACAGGCGAGCCGACGACGCAGAATGCCGAGACATTGTGGAAGAACTGATCGGCGAGGAAGCCGATGATCGAAACACCCATAGACCGGACCGGACGTTTGAGATTCTGAACGATATCGTGGTTGACAGGGGTCCCAATCCGACAATGTCAACCATTGAACTTTTTGGAGATGAAGAACACCTTACGACTGTGCAAGCTGATGGGATTTGTGTCGCCACTCCCACAGGATCGACTGCTTACAATCTTGCTGCGGGAGGTTCACTGTGTCATCCCGAGAATCCAGTTATTCTCGTCACAGCCATCTGTGCCCATACTCTATCATTCAGGCCCATTATTCTCCCGGACACGATTGTTCTTCGATTGGGGGTTCCTTTTGATGCACGATCGAACTCGTGGGCAAGCTTTGACGGGCGGGAGAGGTAATACTTCATATCATGCCCAGGTGTTGTGGACGGCTGAACTGACCCGATGACAGAATTGAGCTATTTCCAGGCGACTATGTGACCATTTCGGCCTCTCGATATCCGTTTGCTAATGTCATGCCACCTGGGCGCCGAAGTGAAGATTGGGTCAACAGCATCTCAAGGACTTTACAGTGGAACTCAAGACAACGGCAGAAAGCGTTTCATGAGTGGGGCGGTGTAAAGACAGTGAAGGAAGCGGCCAGCAAGGAGTAATAAGCGCAAGACCAGTCGAGTCCGAGATCCCAGACGACCCGGGCTGATATAGACTAGAATTTCGAGGGGCCGCAGATAACGAGATGGAGCGGGTTATGGTCCTGAGGAGCTTACCCAGAGGTGACCACCCGGGACTCAATCTGATGCCATGACTTTTCAGGAGAACCAACGATGATGAAGGGGGGCAGAAAGGCTTGTTGATGGAGTTGTTATATGACGATATATCATTGCGGGAACATGCGGCACCACGCTGCTGCGACGCTCGAGCAAGACAATATACCCAAGAAACAGATTGAGGCTGTTGAATCATGGTTGCCAGTCCTGGTGTCGCCGATCAACGCCTTTTTCTTTGTCCTCTGTCTGCCTCAACCTTGCCAGATTCCAGGCATATTCGCAGCTTTGCTCCCTTATGGCTCGACTTCACCCAGCCAAGATCTGGATCCTCCCAGAAGAGGCACGCCAACGTGTCCGAATGTGCGTATATCTTCGTTCTTGCAACTGTCCATAGGAGGGTGACTGGAATGGTCATGGCCATAACAGGTGGACAATCGAGGGAGCAAATATACAAGTACGTAGTAAGCAGCGAGCACAGCGACAGCCTTGGGAAGCAGAGAAAAGAAAGCACCTGGTATTCGGGTTATTGAGGTTTTCTTAGACTTCCGGGACTGCAGCCGCCGCTGGTCGCTTGACAGCAGCATCCACTATTATTCGGCTGCCCGACGATATCATTCCTCGCTTCAAGACGAATTCCCAATTGCCTGAGCACGACTACAAAACCATACGCAATCCACCTCTTGTCGCTCGGTGCTGCTCCCACTGCGATCACTGCCGGGGCCATGGCTGCTGTTCCGCCGTCCCTCTCGAACTACACACCTTCACACAGCGGCTCCCCATCCCGACATCTCTCCCAATACTCTGCCTCCTCCACCGTCGCCGGTACTCCCCTCCCAGACCGCACGTCTGGCACTCCCACGAGTATTACTTCGATCTCGACCCTCCGTTACCCTTCGACCCGCAAAACCATCTATGACCGCAACCTCAACCGCTCTCGCAATGCCGAATTGTCCAGAGCCAGCTTCGCCTACCTGTTCATGGAGATGGTCTCGTACGCGCACAAGAGGGTGAAGGGGATACAGGATTTCGAGAAGAGACTGAACGAGCAGGGCTATCCGCTGGGGTTGAAGCTACTGGATCTGCTGCTCTACCGGGCGTCACCGATCGGAGGGTCGAGTTCGTCGAGTGGAGGGTCGTCGAGCAGCAGTTCAGGAGCAGGGGCAAGTCGACCGCTACGGCTGTTGCCTCTTTTGACATTATTGACGACCAAGCTCTACCCGTTACTGTTCTCCCGTCCCGCCGACTCCCTCGAACAGTCCACCACGAACGCCGGAGAATATATGATTATCGACAACACCCCGCTCACGAATCAGTATATCTCGGTCCCGAAGGAGATGTCCCAGTTGAGTGTGGCGGCGTATATTGCGGGGATCATCGAGGGAGTATGTGATGGTGCAGGCTTCTCTTGCAAGGCGAGTGCGCACAACACTGGCACGGACGTGTGGCCCAGCCGGACAGTCTTTCTGATCAAGTTCGATGAGAGCGTGATGGAACGGGAGAGGGAGTTGGAGAGGCAGGGCGTCAAGTGAGGGAGTAGGATCCACAGCGAGATTGTCGCAGTGCCTTGCGAGACGAATGCTATAAATGAAGGAAAGCGCCGAGTGAACCAAGGAAAGAGTTCAAAGAACAGGGGAATGGGCTCAAAATGGTTGCCTATCACTAATTGCAATCGATGGTTGAACCGGGAGCCCAACTCCAGGCATGCGACGCTGTGCATCCAATGCGACATTCGTCAGGACTCCCAAGAGTGCCAGACGAAGCTGGATTCAACTGATTCAAGTGTCACACGCCCTCATGCAAATCAGAGGCCACCACGGCTCTCACCCATTACACTCGGCACTCCGATATCATGGTCCATTTCCAGCCACCCAGCCTCAAAAACTGTCCACTCGATTCCCCTTGATACTCGCAACAAATTAGCCATGAGGCCACAACTCACATTCCATCGTTCTGACGGATGGCACCGGGTGAACTTGTCCTCACATCGAGGGGAGAAAGGGGGGGGCATGACGATTCGATCCCGATCATTTGCACCCGAAGGTTTCTTGCTATCTGCCGCCACCTTGAGGCTGCGGAGGAGGCGTGTCAGGCCGAATGGGATCGATTGTGAACATACCTGTGAGGTCGGTCAGTGTAACCACCACCGCAGAACTGATCCTGGGGTGTACCAAGGGTAGGATCTTCCATTCCGCGGCCTGCATAAGTGTCCGCTGGACGCGGTGGATCTATTGGGGGGATCAACGGTCCCGTAGACGCATGACGGACCGTGTATGCTCTGTCTTCTAGGGGCTGAGTCGGCAATCTTGGGCTCACACGGAGCATAGCACGTGCCGGTTCGACTATTGGGCAAACCAACGGCCCTGGAGCGCCGGCTTTAAAAGAGCCTTCTGCAGTTTCAACGATAAGTCTCCCTCTCCAGTGGACCAGCACGGGGGAGTCGAGGCAGCATGAGCCCAGCTTACCCGAGATGGCCATTTTGGTTTCCCAGAGAGTGCGTCAATGTTTTTGATATATTGGAATCGCTGCGAATGCGCTGGATCTTGCGGTTCTATCTGTGAATTGGTCTTTGCTTTGAGGGGGCTCGTGTCTTTGGGATATGAAGATATAGCGCGGGGGATTGAGTCGCCGAAGCAGAGGGGGGGAGTCCGGGCATCTTTATATCTTCCGGGACGAGGTGTGCAAACACCAGTTCGTTTGCATGGTCCTGTCATTGTCCCAACGCCCCTGAGTGAGGCCGAGATCTGGTGAGATGAGTGAGCAGGACGGTGAGGGCATTCATGACCTGTGTGACCCGTGCTTTGGTAGGAACTTGGCCGAAGCAGGATGCCAGACAGCAGGCGTGAAGGTCTGTCTGCTCGAGCTACATTACTGTATATACTCGTGGCGGTGAGCCATGACGAGACCGGGGGGGGGCGGTGGGAGTACACAGTCGTCACTTGAGTGGGCAGCTACAGCCCATATGCTGACCCGAGAAAAAGAAGGAATCCAATCATGGCTCCTCCCGAGAACACAGAGGTACATATTCGCATTGAGAGCACTTCGGATCGATTCTGATGCTCGCCCTCTGTGGAGGAAGGAAAGGCCCTGCAAGTTCGTTCTCGAGAGGGTCGGTTGCGTTTCTGACGCGGAAAGTAGTACAAGTATGTTCACGGCGCCTTTTTTTTTTGGCTTCTTCACACCTCCACTAAGGGCAGTCAGGTCAAGGCAAGCCGACGACGGACGATCCCTCGCAATCCCTCGAGCATGACAATATCAAGAAAAGTCTCCTGAAAGCATCTGTTCGCCGTGCGTGCCCGTCCGCACATGCCTCAAACCCTCGCGCGGTTCTCTCGTCGGTAGGGTTCGCGATCCCGCGAGTCTCGCTCGTACGAATGCTCCCTCTTGCGCCGTCGAGGAGACCGGGATCGGGAGCGAGAGCGCGATCTGGAGCGGGAATATGATCGCTTCCGTCGGTCTCTGTCCCGGTCTCTGTCTCTGTCATCCCGATGATCGCGACCTCTGTCTCGGGGCCGGTAGGAGTCTCGATACGAGTCTCTGTCCTTGTTCCCGTCTCCGTCCCTCTCCGTGTCTCGATCGCGTCGGGACGCAACGGCACTTGCATTCGCGCCTGTGGGACCGGCCCTCCCTCCTCCGCGGTCATCGTCGGGCAAGAACCGCTCGTCCAGGCCTCTCGTGTCGAACGCTCCTGTCCCGCTTCCCGGCCCTCCCCTGCCGGCGCCACCGCTGCCCTTCCATCTTTTCACATCCTCTCCAAACCGGCCAGTGTCCTCCCCTTTCAGGTCCGTGTACCTCGTCCTTCCCTTCTTCCCCAGTTTCGTCATGTCTCTCAGCCGCATGTACTCGGGCAAGGTCGACTTGTCAGTAACCTGATCCTCGAACCGTGCGCCCATGACATCTCTCCTCTTCAGCAGCTCCGCCGTCTCGTCGCCTTGGAAGAATGCACCTTTATGATGATATCGCGCCAGAAACGCGGCCTCCGAACGGCCTCCCTCGCGCTCCTGCTTCTGTCTTTCCAGGTATTCCTTGTCTTCCTTCTCCCTCTCCTCTGCTGTCAAATTGCGCCGCCGTTCGATTTCTTCAAGCTCCTTTTCCCGCGCGATCAGTGCCTCTCGGTCTCGCTTCAGACGCTTCAGTTCCCGAAGTTTCCAAGCTGCGTATTCGGCTGCAGGGTCAATGCCGTCAGTATCGTCCACCATTGACTCAGGCACCAGTTCGTCGTCGTCGTCCCATGCTTTTTTGCCCTGGGCGCGGGCTAGCGCGTCGCGTTCGAGCTTGTCTTTGATTAGAAGCTCGGCTTGGGCTAGACGACGAGTTTGGGTGTCTACTTCCGGATTGGGGTTTGCGCCGTTCGTGGCCGCAGCAGGACGGGCGTCGGAGGCTTGTGGGGGAGGTTTCCGATCCGACTTCTTGATGAATGTCGGGCGTTGGAACTTCCGCCGGGGCTCCTCTTCTTCTGATGAACTCTCCTCTTCCTCCTCATCCTCTGAGGACTCCTCTGCTTCAGATTCCTCGTCCTCCTCGGAGTCGTCTCTTGTAAATTCTTGTTTTATCGGGGCTTGTCTGGCCGAAGGGATTGTGCCCTTCACTAGCTGTGGCACTGTTTTTGTCGTCGTCGTAGCATTTGCGCCATCTTCCTCGTCCGTAACAAAACCTTCCTCGTCATCCTCATCGCTTTCCTCTTGTGTAGGCTGTTGGGCCCTCGGCGGCTGCGGTCTGGCAGTCTGCGGCTTCCTCTGGGGTGGCGGTCGCTGTTGTTCCTCTTCTGATTCTTCTTCCTCGTCAGAAGATTCTTGCTCCGCAACTGGTTTGCCGGGACGATACCTTGCAACGGGCCGCGCAGGGTTTGCGGTCATCCGCTTTGCGGGGTTAGGCATGGGTGGCGGCATTTTGGGAGCGATGCTTTTGGTATCGGGATAGACCAGAAGGCATAAAGAAATGAAAAAAGACCCTCGGACCGGAAAGGGGTCACTTTCAGACCGGAGACCTGCTCTGGCGAAAGAAGCATACGGAGTACACACTGGTTACCAGTAAAGCGCATATTGCCTGACGTCGAAGTACGGCGGAGCAAATGATTTTTCTGCGACTCCGAATATTGTCGGCATTACCGCGGGCAAACATGGGCAGACGAGCTCCTCAGCCTACCGTTCACCTCACTCTCACTTTGACTGTGAGTTGCCATGACTCGTGTCTTCCCGCAATCAGATGCATGAAGGCAGGAGTCTGTGTTTTGGCAGCTCCGATAATAGAACGGCACCTGCGTTCTTGACCACGTGAGTACGATGTGTGCTATGCGTTACGTGCCCGTAGGCGTGCGGTGAGACGATTATCGATCGGATGTCAGTACTGCTGAAGTGTGTTGATTGATCAGTGAAAGGACGACTGGAACCCTATGATACAGGGTAGGACCGGCGTGCTCTTTCCTCGTGCCAATGGACCAAGTCCTGCCGTTCCCTCCTCGTCTGATGTTTGAAGTTTGCTTTCAATATCCATTGACTTGAGCTCCTCCATGTTTGCTATTTGATGGGTTCGAATCGCCGTTGATTTCCCTCCGAACATGATCAAAGCTTCAATCCCTCCTGAACCACAAAACATACCAGAGCCAATGTCTGACAGCACTGAGTCGCCACCACCTGCCGGCATGGCATCCTTCCGGTCTCGCGTCATTGGCACCTGGGGTCTGGTGTCTTACGTCGCCATCAGCCTTGAGAACCCCGAAGACATCGTCTACCCAATGGGCAAGGAGTGCAAAGGTCAAATCATGTATAGCAAAGACGGGTACATGGCAGCTTTGCTACAAGAGGCGGACCTCAAATCATTCGACCATGACTGGAAAGAGGGCACTACTCTGGAGCTGGCCAACGCAGCAAAGAAGACCATTGCGTACTGCGGTCCATTCTACCTTGACGAAGAAGACGGAAAGCCACAAAAGATCGTCCACCATGCTCAGATCAGCGTTCAGCCCAACTGGATCAACACTCTGCAAATCCGATGTGCAGATCTGTTCGAGGAAGACGGCCAGGACTACATCATGCTGGGACCGGAGTCTCCGACCGAATGGCAGGGCGTCAAGCGACTTCTCCGACTGAAATGGCGAAAGCTCACTCAGAACGACGCAGCTCAGCCTCCAGCTGACGCCAAAGAGCTCAAGATTTAACAAGTGGTGACAATGGAGGATAGCATAAACCGCGGCAAGACGAGCAAGACGAGCAAGATGAGCAAATGGCGCTGCATTACAATCGTTCCAGCAATCAGAATCAACGGCAATTTGCAGCAACGAACGGGTTTCTATCGTTGTTTGAGCTGACGGAGGATGATTTGCATTGCGTGTTCAGGCGCCTGAAGAGATGCAAGCCAGAAGGAGATGGTATGCTGTATTTCGTACCTGGACCTAAGCAGAAATCGAGATAAAGCAAACTGTGCAAAATTCCTGGTCCTTATTGTAGTACAGGTGTCTCTGGCCTCGACCGTATCGCCTAGGTGCGGCATGGTCCGTGGTGGCTTGATCAGGCTGACCGGCAACAGGGGCTTCCGATCTAGCTTCACCGATTTCCCCAACAATCTTGGAATTTATTCGACTTTCACAATGTGAACCTATCATGCTCCCAGGATCTAATTGATCCTTTCCTTCAGATTCTTGCCGTCTGTCCACAACCTTGTAGCATGGCTGCTGAGGTAGCGAGCAGTCCTCTGGTGCCCGATGGGCCAACCGACCCTGAAAAGGCGGCCGCTGACCTCGCCTCCGGCATTGACCAAGTGAAGCTCGAAGACGGCACTACGCAAACCGCAACGCAGACCACAATACAGACTCCAGATCAAACCCAGAAAGTTAACGAGACTGCCGTTGCAACAAACGCCACTGTGGCAGAGAAACAGCCGGAGAATGGAGTACCGCAGGCATCCCCTGTAACAAATATACCGAACCTACCACGCACCGCGGCCGACGGGCTGATCAAGACACCGTTAGGCGAACCTCTAGAGACTTCGAAACCCTCTCCTAGATCAGAACTAACGACAGAACAAGAAGGCAAATATGCGACCCTTCTCAAGAACGTGTCTACCTGGACCGAGATCCCAGAATCATCTGCGAAGGGCTCGAAGACCGCACCCCTGACCGACTCAGAGCGCATGTTTTTAACTCGGGAATGCTTGTTCCGCTACTTGAGGGCTACAAACTGGAACGTGGCGCAATCAGAAACAAGACTAAAGAATACTTTGATCTGGCGGCGCGAGTATGGATTGGAGAAGCACACAAAGGACTACATCTCGATTGAAAATGCGACGGGCAAACAAGTGATTCTGGGGTGGGACATCCAGGGACGGACGTGTCAATACCTGCGGCCTTCCAAACAGAACACGGAGCGAAGTGACCGGCAAATTCAGCACCTGGTGTTCATGCTGGAACGAGCGATCGACCTGATGCCAGCGGGGCAAGAGACTCTCGCTCTGCTCATCAACTTTGCAGAGACCAAGTCCGGACAAGGTGCAACATTATCTCAGGGCAAGCAGACCTTGAACATTCTTCAGAATCACTACCCAGAGAGGCTGGGCCGCGCTCTTGTCACCAATGTGCCGTTTTACATCTGGGGCTTCTTCAAGCTGATCACGCCGTTCATCGACCCCTTGACAAGGGAGAAGATCAAGTTCAACGATGATATGGGACTGCATGTGCCTCGGGAACAGCTGCTGAAGGAAAGCGGGGGGTTTGTCGAGTTTGAATATGACCATGAGGTGTATTGGCCGGCTCTCAATGACCTGTGCGAATGGAGGAGGACCGAGTATCGACGTCGATGGGAGGAAGGTGGCAAGCGAATTGGCGAATATGAGGGATATCTCAAGGGAGCGGGCGAGAAGTCGCTATCCGACCGAGAGAAGGATGCGGAGCCACCATCTGCATGATGGAGACCAAGGATCTTGTCGATATTGATTGGCCACATGGATACACCTGCACTCTCTAGAGTGCCTTGAATAGAACAGGGACAGGAGGTTGTTGATAGGAACAGGCATGTTGTCTTGTGACTGCTGCGCGGGATATGGGCAAGTACTTGCAGTAGGGCCACCAGGGGCGCCAGGGCGCCAGGGCACCATGATCTATAGGGACGGGAATCACATGCTAATTTTGGCGGCAACAAGCCACACCAGCGCCGGAGACCCTGCCTAATCGAAATCTTCATCTGCTGCCCCTCCATTTCAGCATCGCTCCTCGCCCCCTCCGCCTCGTCCGGACTACTGCTCCGGTTGGCAGCCCTGAATCGTGAGCCCAAGGACGGGAAGACGGGATATGGCGTGCATCTCGCAGGTTCGTGTCTTTTTGCCCACAGAGAGATAGTTGGCCGAGGATTCAGGATCCGTCACCAGCCCATCCATCCCTCCATCTAACCCTCGTGCAACGATTCCAGCAACCATCTTTTCAGCTCTTCGTCCCCCCAACTGCTCTGTCCTGCGGGAATCCTTTCGTGTGACAAGCCCACCTTTTTTTCTCCACTCTTCCTCATCCTTGGTCTGCTGCACACTCGACACCACACATCATCCCACACCACCGGCGAGAAGCAGAGTTTGCGATTCCCAGCAAAAAGCAAAAAGATGCGGTTTGACAGGTCGCTATGGCAGACGAAACAGAGGTGACCCAGCCGCCTTCGCACGCGCGCACTACCCCGCCAAATGGCCAGCCGACCGGCCCCTACTACCACCACTCTCATCACCACCACCATCAACAACACCACCCACATACTCAGGATAGCGCCCCTTCTCCTCCCCCTTCCGGTACCGCTAATCACGGCGCTCACGAAGCCACCTTCGTCCGGCCATCAGACCTTCTACGGCCCAAGCCTGTTCCGCGACACATACCTCCCCCTGCCCCTCCGAAACCAGAGCGTCCCATAGACAGAGATGAAAGAGCTGGCTTGCATGCGATACGGGACTTCCTACGAGCGCGCAAATGCTATGATGTGCTGCCTTTGAGCTTTCGTCTGATTGAGCTAGATGTCGGCCTCACGGTCAAGGAGAGCTTACAGATCATGGTCCAGTGCGGTATGCTTTTGCCTTTCCGACAAGGCTGACCGGATGGAACTTATGCTGATGATGCAACTTTTAGGCATCGTCTCTGCACCGCTATGGGACTCGAATACTTCCACATACGCCGGCCTATTGACCGTCAACGACTACCTCAACGTCGTCAGGTACTACAATGTCCACGCCGACAAGCTGAAGGACGTGGATAAATTGCTCCTCAGCGACCTGAAAGGTAAGGCCATGGGCCCCGTCTAAGACCATTCGCAACAGCAAAGACTCATAATCCGCAAAGATGTCGAGAAGGTCCTCAACGTCAAACCTCCTGAGACGGTCTCCGCCTCGCCCGAGGCTATCCTCTATGATGCTCTCCGCAAACAACTCGTCTCACGCGCTCGTCGAATACCCTTAGTCAGCTATGACAGCGACACCCAACGCACCATGGTCACTTCAGTGATTACCCAGTACCGTATTCTCAAATTCATCTCCATGAACGTCAAAGAGACGGATATGCTGAAAAAGCCCCTCGAAATGATAAAATTGGGCACATATACCGGTATTGTGAGGTGTAGCATGGACACTACTGTATTGGATGTGGTCGACGAGATGGTCACCAAGAACATCAGTAGTGTGCCAGTTGTGACAACGGAAGGTATGTTGCGAAATTGCTTCTCAACTCCCAGAGCAACTCCCAGAGCTTCACATGGTTTGATCTCAGCGATGCTGACTCAACTGTGGCAGGTATGCTCCTGAACGTCTTCGAAGCTGTTGACGTGATTGAGATTCTTAAATCCGGCGACTACGGCAACTTAACTTGGACCGTAGGCAAAGCTCTCAGTTGTCGTTCGCCTACCCACCCAGGTATATACTGCTGCTCCATCGAAGACGGGTTAGACACCATCTTCGAAACAATCAAGAAGTCCAGGGTCCATAGGTTGATGGTGGTGGACGAGCAGAATTACCTGAAGGGAGTGCTGAGTCTGAGTGACATTTTGCACTATCTGCTTGTAGACGGTTCGGAGGAGAAAGACGGTGCTGGCCATGGACATCTCAACGCCGAGAAGATCTACGGCGCGTGAAGATCCGTCTTCCACGAAGGAGCTTTCAGACGAACAATGATGAGTGAATGTCTCAGGGAAAAGAACGAATGGGAATCAGGAAGGGCGTTGCGTTGGGATGACTTGGCCTGGAACAGTGCCACCGACAGGTCAGGGGGCGAATACGGTAAAGGAACACCACAAAGGACGAGGAATAGCCTGGCGTTGCACATGGAATCTTCGGGACGGCGCTGTAACGACATGGCTGACTGCTGGGATACGAGCGCAACAACCTACAATCCAGCCGGGGACGGTAATGAGAAGAGTGGAAATGTCAGCCACGCATGAAGATAGTAATAGACGGATCGGCTTCACAAAGGGCAACGGCACATGACGTGACAGCATCGCCGTAACTGATAGCAGACGCAATTTTCCCATCTTTGAATCAACTCTGAACTGCAGCTCTTCTTGCTATGTGCTCCTCCCCCCTAGTTGATTCGTTTGCAAAAGAGAAACTCATGCAAAGCTCTGGATATCAGTCGAGCAAAGCCGTGAGCCTGGTAATCCGAAAAGGGTTAGCAGAAACGCCAAATCTTGGCATCACTTAACGCGTCCAGCGTCGCGTTGCGGTCCAATAATTGTCGACTCTTTCCCACCCCCTCAGTGTCGACGACGACGAACCTCTCCCAAGTGAAAGTTGGCCCGTCCACCGCGAGAAGCCCTGTCACGATGACCGCCATGAAGGAAAACCTCAACGCAGTATTTGATCCCGCCGGGAACGGCTTGTCCGGAGACATCCTCGGCGTCCTGGAATCGATCCTGCGCGTCCACTCTCTGACCCCGGACGAGCTGTTTATAAAATGGGAGGTATATTGCTTGAAGATGGGGAGCGAAGAGACAAAGCTGGACATCGAGACAGCGCGCATGTTTGCAAAGGACGTACAAGACTCGGTTGAGAGAGGCGAGCGGGCCCAACACACGGCCCCGAAGTCTGCGGTGAAGTCGGAAAGGAAAAGTCTGGTCCATGCTACACCTAGGACCGTGGGGACTTCAGACGTGTTCGGGATGTATGTTGCGACGGCGCGCTTACTACCCATTGGGAATCTCAGAAGCTGATGCTGTGTACAGGCTAGACGAGCTCACTCCCAATGCTATCTCAAGGCGAAACGGAAGTGTCAAACGAAAGGCAGATTTCGACTCGCCAGTGCCTAGGAAAGTCAGCCGTCCGGAAACCACAAACAGGACGCCGGGTAAGGCTGGAAAATTAGATACATCCGCGTATGTCACTTCTTCGGTGCAATGAACATGTCCAATTCTAACATCGGGGCAGAGGCATACCCTTCTCAGAACGGCCGAACGCAGGACAAATTATCGAGACGTTGAACGAGCACCTCTCCGCCGCCGAAGCGCCAATTGCTCCGTTCTCGCAGGCGCGACTGCGCTTGGTCTCTGGGACGGAATATAAAAAGTTTCAGTATAAACCTATGGCAATGCGCCTTCGAGAGTCTTCAGAGGTGCTGGATGAACGAATCGATGACTTCTTGGCTCTCGTCCAGAAAGCTCACAATCTAGAAGACTCTGCATTCGGGAATGCTGCGGCACAGCGCACCAGTGAGATCGTCGCAGTTGGCAGGATTGCGTGCGATACGGCCGATGGCAAGCTCAATTCGGCGTCACTCGTCTTGGAGATGTCCAGACGAATGGGTGCGGGACTCCGCGTGCCTCTTAAAGTGGACGGTCTTCCATCTTATCAGTTCTTCCCCGGCCAGATTGTTGCATTGCGAGGCACAAACGCGTCAGGGCTATATTTCACGGTCAAGGAAGTGCTCTCAGTGCCCAAACTCCCTATGCCCTCCTCACTGCCGAGCAACATCGAGGCGATCAACGAGCGGCTTGAAGTGTCGGACAATTCGAGCTCTCTTCCACTCAATATCATGATCGCCTCTGGTCCATTCACGGCCGAGGACAACCTTGACTTTGAACCACTCCAAGCCCTATGTGAAAAAGCCGAGGAATCAATGGCCGATGCTCTCATACTGGCTGGCCCCTTTCTCGACATTGAGCACCCGATGCTTGCATCAGGAGATTTCGATTTGCCAGAGGTGCGAGGGATGGATCATGAGGCCAGCCTGGTAGCCCTCTTCCGACTCTGGATTTCCACGCCTCTACAGCGCCTCTGTTCTGCCGTCCCGGGCATCACAGTGGTTATGATCCCAAGCACTCGGGACTTGATGAGCAAACACGTCAGCTGGCCACAAGAAAGGCTGGCGAAGAAAGACCTCGCTCTGCCCAAGCAGGTTACCATGCTTCCAAACCCGTCTTTCATTTCACTAAACGAGGTTGTTTTTGGAGTCTCGTCACAAGACATCCTGTACGAACTCAGCCGAGAGCAATTGTCCCATGGTCCTGGGCAAGATCTTTTGACCAGATTGCCTGGGTATTTGATCGACCAGCGGCATTTCTTCCCGCTTTTCCCGCCCATGCCAAGGGATAAGCTGTCCAGTAACGGTGTGGTGAAAGCCACCGGCGCGTGTCTGGATGTGGGATATCTCAAGCTTGGTGAATGGATGCAAGTCAAGCCTGACGTGCTCATTCTACCGAGCATGTTGACTCCTTCTGTCAAGGTACGTCTGAAGAAATCAAGCCACCCTGATCTAATAACTTCGAATGAGCTGATAGTGGTATTGCAGGTCGTCGACAGCGTCATGGTAATCAACCCAGGACAACTGTCTAAACGAAAGGCTGCTGGGACGTGTTCCCAGATCTCGCTGCATCCGCGCATGTTGTCCGAAGAGGAAAAGTCGGCCAGAACTGTGGCTCATAATGTCTTTGAACGAGGGAGGGTCGATGTCATAAGGATATAGTGGTTGGCCTCATAGTGTTCCGCCCATGGAGGTTTTGTTTTCGGCTGATCCCGGGCGTCTATCAATACCAATAAAAGTCGGGTGTAACGCTCCTGGGATATAATGCCTGTCGTGTTTCTCATGACCAATGACCCCCAATACCGAGACAGCGGCCCATCCTCTTGCTTTCCTTGTTCCAGCAATCACCGTAGGAGCAATAATCCCGTCCTCTTCCCTTCTCTTCTGCGTCCAGCGCTCCCCCCGCCGACCGTGGAAACTCCACTCCTCGGCGCATCGGCCACCAACGCATCCAACCCTAGATCTCTCCACATCGGATCTCTCGCCGCGCCCGCATGGCTGGCCTCGCCGGTCGCTCCGTCCGCGCCCATTGCTCCACCGCCGACGCCGACGCCAACGCCGACACCAGCGGCCGCGACCGCCGCCGCAGCCGAGCCCGGGACGATGGCGCCGGAGGAGGCCTGGTTCTGGTTCAGGGCGCGGTTGATGCCGAATGCGGCGTGCATGTCCGGGACCACGTCGTCCTCGTCCTCCGGGTTGACGGGCATCAGGTGCGGCGCGAGCGTGATCTCCTCGAACGGCAGGTAGTGGCCCGGCAGGGAGGTCATGCCGCTCCCGTCAGCGATGTTGCCGTGCATGGGCAGCGCATTGCCGCCGCCGCCAGCACCCACGCCGCCAGCATGTCCTGACGGATAAGGGTGGGTTTGCGCCGTGAGCGGTGTGGACAGGGCGAACACCGTCGACGCGGGTGGGCGGCAGAACTCTTCGAACACGTCGGCGAGCCGCGACGCGCGCAGGTGGATGTACGTGGCAGAGGAGTCGCGGGACTGTCAACCGGGTTTCACGAGGTTAGCGGGAGAGCTCTCGAGTGAAAGACTGACTGGTAGACAGACAGAGAGACAGTCAGAGGGAAAGAAAGACAGGGAGCGCCGTGAGCTAAGGCCGGGGCATTGAAGCGGGCTTGGGGACGCAGACGCACCATTGTTCGTGTGGGTTTCTGGGATGGTGCCACAGCGCAGGCAAGACTGGACTTTGGTACTGAGGGTGGGTTGGATGGTTGGATGGAAGGAGACAATGATTTATTCGAGACGTTGTAGGCGAGCGCCGCGTAAACAAAGCGTGGGGTAGCGAGCAGGGACCTAAATGACAAGCTAGTGGTTACCTACTGGTGATCCCCTCACCCCACCGGTAGCCTCGCCCAGCCTTGCCAAAGAGAGATTTTCAAATAGATTTCCAGTCATAGTCTAGGGATAACTTCACTTCATATCGCTTGCCATATCAGATCCATTCTGTGGCGAATGAAACCATTGATTCCACGGTTAGTGTTAGCTATAATAACTCGTGATCCATGGCATTTTGAAACAGTTATTTATATCAGCTGAGCACAGGAACATGTGTGTCCAGGGCCGAGGGTGCGCTACCGCAAGACAAGGTCAAGAGGGGGAGTCTCTCCTGGCGAAGCAAGAGATATAAAACGATTCAGGGCTGCAGGGAAGCTGAGGGACTACAAGTTGGTCCGAACCAAGGCTGCTTCACACATGCAGGACGGTAGCTTTCAGAAGGACAGATAGATTCGATGGTTTCTGTGGACGAGTGCTGTATCCTCAATTCGCAGTCCTTATCCTCCAGGCAGTCGTGGGCCTGTTTTCCCCCAATCACATGAGCCTCTCTGGGCGCGTAAGGTAACGATCAGATCCCATAAGACATTTGTAGTATCCGTCAGACTCCGCGTGGTGTCCACCCCGAGATATTTCCATGCGCCTGCACTGCCGTCCACTTTTGGGGAGCTATGCACATTGCTGACTGGTCGGAAGCCGGCATGATGATGATGCCCCATTCGTCTCATAGACAGTCTGGCTCGGGTTCATTTTGGTGTCGTTTGTGGCACTCCTGGTGCACCTTGTGTACAAACTCGGCACTCTCGACCGGGTACGCGGCGACCATCTCCTTAGCCCACCCCGACCGGCGGTACTCCTCGAGTGGCCATACACAGCCATACCCTTCCTCGTATTCTCCGTGGTCGATCAAGCTGTCGAGATAATCGGCAATCTCCACGCGGGCCTGACCCTCGGCGACAACCTCCTGGTCGAAAAGCTTTTTGCGTGGGGACTTGCTAGTGTCGTTCCCCCTCCGCGGGCTGCCGTCGCTGTTGCCGTGCCTGGCGACCAGCTTGAGCACCGAGTATGGAGCCTTGACTAGAGCATGGATGACGTTAGTCATTCCTACAAAACCGACATGTGAGCGGTGTGAGAAACCTGGAGCAAGGTGACATACTCTTATCATTTCCGGTGTGATCCGCGTCTTTATCTGCACCGTTTGCGACGACTTTCAAAGTGTCGATCGCATCTGAGAGCTCCGTCGAACCCACCGTCAATGGCGCCGCAAGGGGGCCGGCCTTGTCATGACCCTCGTCGTCGTCGTCAGACGCATCTGATCCAGACTCACTATCGCTGCCGTCCCCGTCGATGTCTGGTATATTGTCCGGATATACTCTGACAGGTCCTTTCTTCTCGGCTGCCTTGACTTTGGGTTTGGGACGTGCATTGATATCAGATTCAGAGTCGGTCGGTTCCTGTGGGGGTGGCCATATTCCACAATGCAAGAACTCTGGAGGCCATTCCCCTCCAACCTTTGGTGTTGTGGTTGGTATTTGCGTCGGCTCCGAGATTGATGCCTTGGCGTGCTTGCGACAATGATGATGCTTGCATCCTGCATGGATCATCTTCCCAATTGATTTTGCGTCCACTGTTGTGTCCATTTTGATTCTTGAAGTTGTCATTCACCCCTAGGGAAAGTGAGACTTCACAAAGTCTTGTTATTTGTTAATAGAGCTGACCCGTAGTCTCTTCGGCATACGTTGACTTGGGCTGGGATAATTAAAGACTGAAGTGTTGTGGTGTAGTCTGTGGGAGCCCAGGCAAGGGCAGACTTGTATAGAGGGATCATGTGAGATCCAGGCCATTAAAGTACTGTGCGAAGGGAGATCACGGGTCTAGAGCCAGTTCACCCTTTCGGGATTCTGTAAGAAGCCACAAGTCGCGTGATCTTCACGATAATGTGGTGACGGCCGAGGGCAAATCACCGTGGATAGCAGTGCGGGCGGCAGCAGGACATCGTTCCGAGACACCACCCCGAGGACATATTTTCAGTGTTTGCGAAGGGGCTGTGTTAACATTAAGCGGTGGCGCCACGTCTGCTGCCTTGTGATGTCGACTGGGAATAGAGATGCGCCTCTTATTGGGGAGTGACTGGAGGTGGTTCGATTATGGCGCGATTATTGTTATTTGGAAATATCGCACCTTTCCTGAATAATACTAGTGGTCCCCGCATTCGGCCAAGAGCTTCCGCCAACTTCCTTGGCTTCTTGGCGTCGTGGCTTTACACCTCGAGTGTTGCTGCGAGATATTTTCGCAGAGTACCAACTTTATCTGCCCTATACTTGCTTGCTGTCGATCCTGGAAGATGATATCCATGGCTTCTTATAAGTGAATATCACATGGTGGTCGATTGTCCCATTGCCATTTGCCCTCCATCTCGACAGCTCTTGCTAGTTGCGCGCTCCAGATACCCGCTCTGACTAGCTAGGACGCTAGGGAAAATCGACTCATTCTAGTCCGTCCCAAAGCACTCGATCTCCCAAGACAAGGCTAAGTGGTGTTATTCCGACATGATCTCACAATGCCGAGCCACGATTTCTTCTCTGTGCCTTCTCATAGCATGATTTCCTCACCTGTTAAAGAGGTCACTATACACAGTAGGACGTTGCCCTCGACCGCAAGAACTATTTTGTCTGGGGTAAACCCTGCATCAGGGACCCGCCAGTCAACTCCCTATCCTCCGATTCCCTATGTTTTGGATCGCCCATGCCCTAACTCACATGGTTAAAAGGAGATGGGTGGACATGCATGGAAGCACATCAGCCCATCATGGAACAACCTGTCTATATAAAGATGGCGTTCATGGCCCGACTCTCTGCATGCTCTACACAACCCATTCCATAAGGTTTGTTCATTCGCCTGCTCTACACTGAGTATACTCCAGTGGTCACTCGTAACACACTGAGCCTCTATCCAATCGTTCGCCATGAAACCATTCGTCCTTCTTGCTGCGACGGCAGCTCTTCTCGGCCTTGCAACGGCTGCACCCGTTGAAGCACCCGAAGTCAGTGACATCGAACGCCGCGCCGCACCCACCTACGACCTCGCCATTGGAGGTGGTCGCTTCAACATGAACGAGCTCCAATCCTACAGCTTGTTCTACGCCAACGGCTCCGCCTACATTGGACAGATCAAGTACCAATCCTACTCGGAGCCGCTGATCGTCTCCGGTGCCAGGAATGGCATCGACACCCTTACCTTCCAGTCCATCCACACCAGCCCGACCGGTTGGCAGCAAATGTACGTGGTGCCACGACAGACGAAGCCCGTCGGCTTCAGCACACCCCACGGCTCCCCGCCCGCCGGTGTCCGCACCAACGAATTCAGCTTCACCTGGAATGGATCTCTGCAGAACCACGGGCGCAATTTCTTCTACGCGTGCCAGGATAAGGCAGGCACCCTCGCGGCGATTCACAGCTACCAGATCTGGTGGATCGCAGACGGCTTCCCAAGCAGATGGATGTGCAAGGGTCCTCTGAACATCCACGCCGCCGATGGATGTGCCAGAAGCTTGTAAACACCATCTCGAAAGCGCATACCTTCTTGTTCGCCAACCGTGTACAATAATATTTCCTTCAAAGTATGAGGAGCGAAAACTGGCGGCATACACGCATGGAGCACGGAATTTAGCATTAGCGTATTGAAATATTAATGACATTGACACGCGAACATGTTAACTCTTGGATATTCTTTATCCCATGATAGTCCACGAGAGCCTCAAAAGCTCGTTCTGGGCCTAGTCTGGACTGTTGCTTTTCAGGTTATGCCCCGACGGTCCCGGTGCGTGTGCTGCGCTTCAACCGACCCCTACGCCGTCTCAGCAGGATCGACCGTAGGTCGTAACACGTCTCGACCGAGCTCAAACGATAGCCACACATTTTGGGGGGCTACGAAGTAAGAGTACCAGCCCGGTTGACCTATGGTACTTCCAATGATGGCAGAGCAGCAGCCATATGTCTGAAGGTGGACAAGATATCAGTGTCTTGGGAACTCGACGAGGTTTGGTGACAGGGAACATGACAGGGAACATGACAGGGAACATGACAGAAATCTTACAAAGGAACCTAATGCGACAACAATGGCAACACTTCTGAGATAATTGTTCAACCCTTCACCTCGTTCCTTCCCCATGGTGATATGGACAGAGACAACAGCAGTATATTCGCTGCGGGCGATGAGCCAGGGCGAGACATTATTCGGAATCTCCCTGTGCTCAAAAGTCGTGAACTTGACACCTCGTACCCGTTCCTATATATTCATCGGCCCGAAGCTATAAGGGTATTCTGGACATCTTCCCTGGGAAGAAAATGTACTTGAGTTGACAGCAGGCATCGGTGACTAGACCAGGAAATGTGCGGGTTACCGAAAGATAGGGTTTTGGACCCATGGTGAGACTCCAGCCCGGACGCTTGCGGGGCAATTCCACTCGGTGCTGTGGTTGATTCTGACAAACTCTGGGACTAAACAATTTCGGCTTGGAGAGAGGGTTTCAGATCCCGGGGAATCGAGCGAAGCGAAGAGGCACAGACCGGAACATAACGAAGTGGACTGATATGAGCAGGCAAGAGAATGAACTTTACCCGCAGTTCCATAGCTGGTAGCTAGTCCCTCATGTCGGTTAAGAACCGGAGCGAAATAGTAGTGAACGTACCAGGTATCGGGTCAGTCCCATTCGAGGCCAATAGTCTTTGTCACCCATCCAAAATTTGCACGTCCAAAGACATACGCAGCACAGTCTTGTGCGTGAACTTGGAGAGGAACATTCGGTGACCCAATAGTTTTATCAACAGCTTCTCTGTCAAGCTCGCACGAAGTCAAAAGACTCCTTTGTGAATAGACTAAGCCATTCGTTTCAAGAAGCTAGCCAGGGATCATCCAGGCTACATGTGGATATCGGTGAGATCTGAATGAGGAAGAATAGCTGAAGGGTGTTAACACGAGCGCATCCAGACCACGATGGTTGTCCGCAGGGGCAATGCGCAAACCTCACCGGCCAAGGCTTCAGACATAAAGGGTTACGGCTGGGTCAGGAGGACCGCGTTTGACATCGATCCAGCAGTCTCATGGAATGAAATCGCCTGTATTAAGAGCATCACCAACCTGCCAATCGTACTTAAGGGCACCCAGACTGCCGCGGACGCGAAACGCGCGATACTCGAGGGCTGTAATGCCACGGCGGCAGAGTCGTCGACACCGCCCAGCATCGCTCTTGGTCCTGCTGGAAATGCACCTCCTGTGCCCGGAAGTGTTTGGAAAGATGGAAATCTTCGTTGATGGTGGCGTCCAACGAGGCACGGACATTCTGAAGGCCATGTGTTTGGGCGCAACCGCCGTCGCCCTAGGCGGGCCAGTCCTCTATTCGAATGTGTACGGAGTTGATGGGGTGAGACGTCTGTTTTCAAGTAAGTGGTCCTGTCCGTTTATTTGTAACAGTTTCGATATAAACATTACCGCCGCTGAAGGCAGCATGCTAACATCACCATCGCAAAGTCCTCAAGGACGAGCTTGAGACTGCTATGCAGGAATGAGGCTTGACAAGCTTGCGGGGTGCATCCCCTAAACACGTTAACACCTCAGAGTTGGATCATCTGCTCATGAAGAGTCATATGCATCCTTACGCGAAACATGTCCGGAAGGGCAGATTGTAGGCGAGATTGCTGGCCAGGTTGTAGGGCAGCGCTCACAACCACAGTGCCTGGGCTTTTGGACGGGGTTGCAGATGCGGCAATTAGGTCAAATTACACTGATCCTATTCGAGTCTTTTTCTCACTGCTCAGGCAGTTGAGATCAGTGTCATAACTTTGTAGCAAAGCTCCCCGTAATCCACTAGCACAACTTCGAAACGTATAGAGACCTGTCGGACTGCAGTCCTTCCCCGGAAAGGGGGAATCTCCAGTCTCCCTGAGAAAGGGCAACGCAGTGAACAGAGATACTTGCAACGGTGATTTCCTTATCCCACAACGTACAAGATGGTTCGGGCAAATTGTCTGTTCCCACGACATTCATTCGGAATGGAGTATAAATCATGAGCTTAAGGATCTTGACGAAACAGATGGCCGCAGCTGGAGGTCGAAGCGCTCCTTCATATACTCGCCTCGTCTCGTGAGCGTATCGATACTGCTAACGATCTGGCCGGTGTTTCTGGGGCGCATTCGATGGTGCGGACGCCCTGCGGCTCAGGGGAGTCCTTGGGGGAGGGTGCAGGCCGGCGAGGTCGAAATTGATGACTTGGTGGCCATAGTGACGGGTTCTCTGGTTACATACCGGTTCGTTTTGTCCGAACCATCTGTGACGCCGACTTTCAAGCTGCACACAGTAATTGTTGTGAGGCAGAGCGTCTTGAAGCTGTACTATTTTGGTATGTGGAGAGAACTAGGGTGTTCGGCGATGTCCAATGAACATCGACATCTGAGTCAACCACGTGACTAAGAAATATTCTTGGCATTGCGGAACCCACATTCTGAATTCCGATCGAGAACTTCGACCGCTTCTGAGAATTGCAGGGTCTTCCAACACACCAAACGACCAGTTGTCGCCAGCTTGAACAGTGAGCCTTCCTTCTCCTAAACCCAGTCGGTCACTGCCATTGGCGACTTACAAAAGAGAGCCAACACTCCCACGAAGATATTTGCACGCCTGCAAGAGAAATTCTGACATATTTTTCACATCCAGAAGCTCAACCGCACCGCCACCCCTTTGCATCCTCCGCGCAAGAGACCTAGACAGAAACCGCAATCATGTCTCACGAGAGCGTTTGGTACTCCCGACCCCGAAACTTCGGCAAGGGTTCTCGCGGCTGGTACGTTTTTTCAATCGCACTGCAACCTCGAAGGGAGGATTTGGACGCTTCGGACCCTTTTTAAGAGGTGGACTATGGAACAGGACTCGGTGGGAATGTCTTGAATAACAGGATATCTCTCCCGACCATCTTGCAGCGCTGTGCACGGAAGCGGTCATGTTCAAGGAGCGAAAGCATCCGGATCGATGTGACCGATACGTCCGCGTCCCACCCCTGGACACGAGTCATCAGAATATCTCATACGCGAGAGAAAAACATGTGCTGACTCTTCCGTGTTTCACAGCCGCGTGTGCACCCATAAAGCCGGTCTGATCCGCAAGTACGGCCTGAACATCTGCCGTCAGTGCTTCCGGGAGAAGAGCCAGGACATCGGGTTCATCAAGGTATGTTCAGGCTGCAGCGACGCTCTAGATGTATCACAGCGGGATACCTAGAATAGCTGGCTGACGTGCGGACCTTCGTGAATAGCACCGATAAATTCTACGGCAAAGACTGCAACTTGGTCGACTAGGTCGAAATCAATACGAAGAACCTCGATGAACGAAAACGGAGTTCGACGATGCATGCAATGGGGAGAGTAAAATGGCCGAGAGAAGAGCAGTAGGACTTGGAGGAGAGGGGGGTTGCTGAGTGAGGGTCACTTCTCACAAGTCTGCGAGAAGGAGATAATCCTCCAGGTGAAACCGATCAACGGTGGGAAGGGAATGATATTTTCTCAATGGAGCCATGATTGTGGCTTCCTTTTGCGACATTTTGCGGGAGGAAGAAAAAAAGCATGCCGCATAGTATGTGCTAGACGGTGAAACAGACTCCGGCCAGATACAGACTAAGGGATGTGTCTGGCCATGAGAGCATTTTTCTGCCAGCCTTACATCGCTCTTCTTACCATCAGCACATTGTGCCCTCGTTGCTACATGCCTTCCCTCGCTCGGAGTTTGACTGGAGCTACTGTTAGATTGCACTTCGACTTGGAGTTCTGGCCGCGTAGCTGTGCTCCGATGGTAAAGGTATCACATTCGTCCATTCCTGCACTGCTTGGTAAGATCGCCTGCTTTTGGAGGTCTGACATGCTCTCCATGACAAATCGATCCGTCGATTTCACATGAAAAAAATCCCAAAGAGGAGAAGAAGAGCCATCAACTGCAGCCGTCAAGCCAAGGCTTGGTCGTCTCCATGCACGCCATTCACCACCGGCACCGCCTGGGGCGGCAGACTGCCCAGTTCACATACCACGAGATCCAGAAACTCCGCTGGCGTCACATCATACATGAGATTTAGTAGGAACAGATTCGGTTGATCCTTCCAATCCTCCAATCCCCTAGTATTCGACGAGCTGCTCTTCTCATCCCCATCGTCTTCATCCCTCTTGTCCTTTTGCTGATTCGGCTTCTTGTTGGCGCCTTTCCCCGCCGCATTGGCTTCCACAGGTGCTTTCGTTGACGACAAGATCCCAACTTCAGTAGTTTCCACCAATGCATCTGGCTCGCCTAGTTCATTCATAATGATACTATCGAGCGCTGCCTTCGCTGTGAACTTGACCGTCTCACACAAGACAATGACAGGGACGTTCCGGCCCTTGTTCTTGTTCGATTCCTTGGCCATCATAGCAACCATCGCCGAGCCAGCACGAGAGAGCAGCCTCCCATTACCCAGCATCGCTGAGGCACCCAAGAAGCATTTTGTGACTGATTCCGATTGGTTGTCAAGGACATCGGCTAGGCCAGACAGTAGAGTGTAGCGGACTTTGAGACCTGCGCGTATGAGGCTCTGTGCGTGGTTTTTGCCTTCGAACATAGGTCTCGAGTCGACGACAATGACATCGAAGCTCTTCCCCTGCTGATGCGCAGTGAGGAGTGTTTTCTCCACGATACTGCTCTTCCCGTATGTCAGAATCACGTCTCCGTCTTGGATCCGCGAACCGGCTTCCCGGGCAATCACTTCATCAGCTAGCGTGATCCTCTCACGAATGAACAAGTCGATAGCCCGACACAGACTTTGCTTCGCTTCGCTATCGGTGGCCTCGACGGGTTGCGTGGAGATCAGGTTCTTCAACCATCGGATGCTGTTCCCTTGGCTCATGCTCAAAGGTCGCGCATTGCGGAGGTACGCGATCTGGTGATTGAGATGAGTGAGGAGATGTCGAGATAGCGCGACGCCGGCAGGAGTAGTATAGGTCTGGATAACTTTCTTGAAGGCCAGGAGGGTGGCTACGCAACGTGCATTGCCGCCGCAGATCACGTAGTCGCGGAGTTGTAGCCCTAGTGATATTACGGCGGGATGTATTTCTCGACCAGCTCCGGATAATGTGGCTTTCTTTTCTTTGGGATACAGGTGAGAGAACATTGGCACACGTTTGAGTTCCTGACGCTTCTCTTTCTCCGGAACTGTCGAGCCTTGAGGCTGTTGTTGCTGTTGTTGGGTCGCGCCTCGGATGGGCAAAGCCTTGCCTGAGGGCGTCCTTTTATGATGCGGACCTGTGTCGCTTTCTCTTTTCGTCGTTGATGGCCGTCTCTGCGTCTCTGGTTTTGTTCCTGATGGTACGCCCTGGCCTTGTGCTTGAGCCACCGCTTGAGCTCCTTTCTCAGCAACCTTTTCTGCTCTTCTTGCTGCCTTTTCAGCCGCCTTCTGTTTTTTCAGTTGCGCGCCAGTCAACTTCGCTCCTGCTCCTGCTTCGGCTACGTTTTGTTCTGTGGTCGTTCGAGGGGTCGTCTCAGGCCGGGGTTTTGATTTTTTGGAATCTTTTGTCTGTTCGATTCCATTCACAGCTGTTGGCTGGGCACTTTGAGCCGTGCCATTGGGAAGAGTCTCTCCTCCAGTGGAGGGCATAGTGAAAGAGGCTGCCTCGGGGTTGAGAATGGTGTTGGCTGCAGCTGGCTTTGGGTCAGCCATCGCTGGTAGGCTGCTGGGTTACAGACTCTTCAATAGTGTTTAAGGAGAAATCCTTGGCTGAGTGCTGAGAATAATATCCGGTAGAGAGAAGAGAGCAGGCACTCTTTGATGGTGGTGCGACTGAGTCATTCTCGACTGCGCAGAGGATGCAGTTTGGGGCCACAGAATCGCGACTCCACACTTTTTTCTACTGATGCCACGCCACGTGAGCTCGCGCCAAATTCTGTTTCGAAACCAGACGCCACGACGGACAGCCTTACCAACCAAGTCTTGCCATTGAGCCTTTTCGAAGTGGCACGAATGACGATGCCGAGAGGTCAATGTTTCACGACCTCCTCCTTCACCATAGTTGACAGAGGGAGCTGACTTGTCCGAGTCGTCCATATGTTGATGCCACCAAATGCGATCTTTATGCGAAGAGCCGCAGATCCCAACATCAGTGCCGGCCCTCCAAAACTGAGGCACGGCATAGAAGTGCTATGTACAGCTACAGCTTCAGTACCGCACAGGGCCGCGCAGGCTGGTCAGCCTTGTCGCCCAGGTTCAGCAATAACTCATCCAGATAGGCAATCTCTGAAAAAAGCCATATGCTGAACAAGCTAGACTCCCTGTTCCCATGGTCCTGACGCCAGTCACGGCTGGCGGCCCATCTGAACACTTCATTCCACATAAAGTTTCTGACCATGGAGCAGCCAACGGCTTCCTTAGGGAGGCAGATGAGGCTTGCCACTTGCGTGCAGTCATTCGAGACACCTTCCGAGCAAATGATGATAGGGGGACAATTATTCCATGACCAGATTGGATAGGGCATCTATTACATGAAACGAAACACGGATCGAGTCAAAGATGAGATGCAACTCGGGTGTCATAGGCTGTTCAGCTGCGATTGGGACTACCGACCGCACTTTGGCAATTTTCCGTATTCCCATCCATGAGTCAGCGGTGAGTGTTCTCGTTGCAGTTTCTCGCTCGTGTCCTGATGCCGGTATAGGCCATTCACAAATCCCACATAAACAGTCATTCTTGCCAGATGTTGAGATGGAATATCACTTTGGACTATACCTGGTGGCTAGATCGCACGCTTTCGTACAGGGTGGGACAACGCTCATGGGACGTCCGACAAAACCGCTGAAAAGGGAATCAGCGAAGAACATCTCGTTCAGGGCAAAGCGACACCTTCCGTCATGACGGGATCGTTTTTGCACCCCAGTCGATGTGCATCTACCGCGGTCTCTCACCCCATTTCCGAAAGCTTCAATCGTCGAAGACGAATCAAGATAGTCTTACTGCCCAAGCTCAGGAAGGCAGATATGGACATGATCTGAGCTATTGGCACTGGATGTTTCGGCTTGTCAACGGTTGCCCAAATCTCTGTGACACTCTACGATTCTATTTCGATTTGGAAGGGCGATCCCTGCTAGAACATCTATCTAGTGATGTGAGGTCCTTGTATGTTGGTTGAAAGCACTGTCGATGTTCTCGGGTCATGTTGGCTGCTAGGTCTGGTGCTTCTTCCGGTCTTAGCCACCCCAATCCAAGTGTACAACTCCCTCAACGCTATCAGCCCTGTCCGTAAACAGGAAGCAGGATGAGCATGGGCAGCTACAAGCAGATAAACAACTCTCAAGTCGAACGGATCCGGCTGTACACATATCATACATGTCCGACCCCAAATCGACTTCCGTCTCGATCTGCCTCCACTTAATTGAGGAGTTTCTCTTCTGAATGCCATTCCCGATGGAGCATATCGTCTTCGGCCTGCGGTTCTGTTGAATGTGCATCGTGTCAAACTGTTCATCAACCTCTGGAGTGTAAATGTCTTTCTCTTCTCTAGGTGGTCCTTTGAGACATCGGACAGGGTCGAAAGCACGGTTGCTAACGAAAATCCTGGGAGCGGCGACATCACCACATCCATAGCATGGAAGACACTGAGAACCTTCGTCAATGAAGTATACGAGCACCCGTGAAATGGGAATTTGGGATCGCCAAAGCACTGTCTTCACACTTTAGTTCTTTGGAATCAATTCTCCGTCTCGATGCAACCGTTTTCCAGGCGATTCTCCATCTTGCAAACTTGCCACTGCTTAGGCTACTCTGGCTCAGCGCATCCCACAAGCATGGGTCTTCAGATTATGCTTCATTTTGTGGAATATCATCCACATTCGGCACTCAAGGTGGCCTCGGCGATTAGCATCATTTTCGTCTACAGGGAACAAACAGTACCTGTTTCTCTTTTGCACTGGTAGGAGAAAATGACAATAATGACGACGAAGTCGAGATGGGGAGGTTGGATTCACGTTTGCTATGAGGTGACGTGCTCATTGGCCTTGAAACAGTTAACCGCGGCAGCATACCTATTTCGTTCCCCTTCCATTACCGGGCGAGCGGAGTACCCATGGGCAGCCAAACCACGAAGGGAAAGTGCTAGCTCTACGACAGACTCAACACTCTGGGACGCGGAGGCCACCAAGGCCGAGACCGCCACCGTCCACTTCTGGGCAGTGCTAACAGAATAACAAATGCCTAGGTACCCAAACATCACTCGATACCTTATGGAGCTCTCTCCCACCTCTGGAGGCAAGCATCGCAGTCGATTATAGCTCATCTCTTCTCTACTTCAGCCCAACAGCTGAAGCCTGCTCAATACAATTTTGAAAACCTCTCGGAAGTTCGCCAGGCAGCCAAGGACTTTCCATGTCGCCCCAATCGAAGACTTCCAACAAACAGGACTCTTCTGGCGTCCGTTTCATCCCCGCCAAACCCGTGAAAAAGAGAGCTTCCCAAGCATGCACTCAGTGCCGGAATCGAAAAGTGCGTTGCGACTATGTCTTGAAGTCACCCGCATCATGCACCAATTGTCGACTAGATGGGATAGTCTGCGAGGTACCGAAGAGTAAGCGCCGCAGGTAAGTTGTCGTTCTTTACTCAATCTAGGGTTCCTCACTAACTTGGTTGCAGACCATATGATACAGTCAACATGTCTCTGACGGCACCGACGATCCTTGCTTCGCCGGACGTAAATGCAATTAAGACAACTACTGATATCTACCATGACCTATTCGGGGATGAAGATATACAGTCCACAGAAAATGGTCAAAGGACAGCATTATCAAGCGCAATGTCTGTCGAGCTTGATTGCATTACTCAAACCTCGCCAGATACTTCCTCCATCCAATCCATCGACAAAGCTGATATTCTTCCAACGTTGCATCTCCCTCGATTTATCAAATCTCTACCATCCCACTTGGACGAGGACGATTTGCGATACCTACAAGCGCGTGGGTGCTTTACGTTTCTGTCTGCCGATTTGGAGAAGATCGTGATCCGCAGATACGCAGAATTCATCCATCCATTGGTTCCGGTCCTCGACTTTGACGAATTTGTTGACATCGTTTTCGGAGATCTGCAGAAGAAGCTATCTCTACTTCTGTATCATGCTGTTATGTGTGCCGGGTTAGCCGCCGTCGATATACAGACGATTCTTGACCACGGTTTTGAGTCAAAAGTTGCTGCGAGAAAACAGTATTACACCAAAGCCAAGGTTCGCATCAGAAACTAAGCCCCGCTCAAACGCTCATTCCTAATGTTGCGTTTAGGTCCTATTTGATATGGACGTCGAAACGGACCGTCTGGTGGCATGCCAGGCAGCCATGCTACTTATCAGCTGGGGCAGCTATGAGCACTCTAGGGATCCGTTTTATTGGATGGGCATCGCGATCAGCGAGGCATGCTCCTTGAGGATTCACAGGCCTGAAGCTGATACTAACCTTCCCAAAAACGAGCAGAGATTGCGCCAGAGAATCTGGTGGACTATAATTATGAAAGAGTGCGATGTCTGCCTGACATTGGGAAGGCCGCCGCGGATATCACCTCATCGAACGCCCTTGCCTCAACACGACGCATTCACGAACACCTCCCAACTCAGTAACTATTCACATCTGCCAGAAACTGGAAAGCTTCGGAGAGATCCATGGATACAACGACGACTCGAGATGGCGTATATCGAAAAGGCAAAGCTTGCGACGGTTATCTACCGGATTCTGAGATTTTCCTCTTCTAATGACGACTTTGTCAGTTGCCAAAAGAATCGGAATGCAAGAATTTGGCAGCTTGAATCAGAACTCAAAGACTGGCGCCTTCAGTTACCTATGGAGCTGACCTCATTTGATACAGCTTTGAATTTGTCCGAAGATGCAGATAGGTCATTGCAGATGACCATGTCGATCTTGCATCTAACACAGCTCATGGCCTTGATAATGCTGCACAAGAGCGAGGTGTCGGTTGCGACTTGGACAAAATGCTTACAGATCGGAGAGGACTGGTTCGAAGATAACGAGGCACTGAACGCTCAGGGACACACCAAGTCAGTGAGACAAGCTGCGCACGAGATCACCGCCATTCACAAGACTTTACATGAGCAACAGTTGACTCCCTCGCTTCCAACAACCTGTATAGCTACGGTTTGTACGGCTGTGTTTGTCCATTTGCTGGACGCAAGGTCAACGGAAGGGTCCATACGAAATTCAGCCTTGGAGCATCTCGACACTTGTCTAACCATCCTACATGAACTTGGACATATGAATGAGGCGGCTACAGACATCACGAGGATTGTTGAGTCGGCCGTTCGAGCGGTCGGAGGCGGCTCCTCTGCTGCGTCGACCGGTCAGGAGAATGCTGCGTCACCGACCGGCACCGCGGGCTCGACTCGGTCTCGATTCACGAACGATGGCCAATGTGGCACCCCAAGCTTTATGGAAGGAGTTGTGCCTGACCAACCCCCGAACCAGCATACTCATGGGACTTCAAGCCCTTCTCGGGATGCGTTTGGAGCAGCATTTGAATTCGGTGGCCAGGACCTATTTTACGGCGTCGAGAACTTTTTCGACTTTGAGCTGATCGAAAGTGTGAGCTTACTGGCAGGGGCTTGACAAGGGGGAGTATGCGGGAGAGGCCTTCATCGGAAACGTACCCATGAGACGGAGCACCCTCAGTGTCCGCGATGTGAGAGGCAAATACAACATTCTGCATCTCCAGCGGAAAAAAAGGGAGTTCGTGGTAGATTAAAATGGGATGGAATTCTATCGCCTGGCCTTTTCCTTCTCTCACTCAAAGGCCTCCTTCCGTCCTCCGCACTTCGCCCCGTCTGAGCCGAGTGTTGGTAATAATGATGCCCATCTCCTCGTGCGCCGAGGACATCCCTTTCGACGAGAGTTTCGCTCGGGCTTGGCATATATCCCCGGTCGGAAGTCTTGGCGCACGTGTCAAAGGGCGGAGACCTGAGGGCCTTGGTCCGTGCGCGCCAAGACGCTGGGCCTTGGACAATTGCGCCCTAAGCTATTCGAGGCGTCGTCTCTGTGCCGCCTCGGCCTGCTTCATCTACCGCCACATAGATGGAGTACGGAGTATCCGAAGCCTTCTCTTTCAGATGCATATCCTGGCTCCAGAACCCTAGTCATCAAGACGAGGAAGGGACAGTGAAATCGATGGCGAAAGAGGTTCGATAGTATCGTGCTCTGTAGTTACGCTAGGGAGCACGGAGCAGAGCCGGAGTACACCGGAAATGGATACCCGCGGCCAATTTCCTAGAGGGGAATGGTACGGGCAACGAGCTGGGACTTCGAATTCCATGAACGCTTTCTCTGAAAAGTCCCATCTCCTCCTTTGGTCATTCCTTCCCTCTGGTTCTTCTGGCAGATGGAAAGCTGTGTCCGTCAAGCCTGGAGAACCGAGCTGCGCCGAAGTTGGTGGGGGTTGTTCCTGATTCGTTTTTCATCGTCCTGCTTGGGTTTCAAATTACTCGCATGTAGACTGTCTGGCTTTTGTTTACTATTGTGTCAACCCTGGGCATTCAGAACTTGGTCTTTCTTAGTTCTTGGCTCTTTTAGCTGTCGTGCATGCGAGACAGGGTCCTGCAGCCACGACTCCAGACAGTAGACCTGGTTGAAGGGTGTTTCAAACTCCATAACCCTCTCATGAACCCCATGGCTATCATAGGCTAGTAGTGCATTGTGAACAACGTCGTCGTCCCCTCGAGAAAAGTAGAATTTTTGCGGCACCTTTAGATCGGTGCCTGGAGGATGAGGATGAACCTCCTCAATAATTCATGAGATCATCCCACCATATATCGCCGACACGGTCCATCTGCTGATGTGTGCACATTTCGTCCAGCTGGGTCTCAGTATGACCGTCTTCTTCGGCTAGTTCATCTAGCTCCATCAAGTGACTGTTGTCCGTACTCATCTCCACTGTGACCGAACCCGTTTGAGGATGAGCTGGTCCGAGGCCAGGCATGGGCACCTTCTCTTGTGGCGACTCGAGAGAGTTTGTGCGACCATGATCCTGCGGCGATGTCGGATGAAGCCTGTGTTGGCTAGTGTTTGAAGCTGGAGGTGTTGCAAGCTGAGTGGTAGGAACTTGTGGAGCAAGATTCAATTTTTGGACTGCCTGAGAGAGCACCAAAAGGGCAAAATCAGCCGAATTGAAGGTGTCGCGTAAACGCTGCAGAACCTTGACGCAGTCCTGGAGTCGTTCCCGAGACTCTTGACACGTTGACGAGGTGGTCGACCGGGCATCCGCGTGAAGAACGACGCATGCCGGTAGCAGGACCGCCACGCTTGTGTTGGGCACACTCTCGGTCATGTTGCGCGCCACGATATCTCGGAACAGCGATGCCACCTTACTTGCAGCATCATAAACCTTCATCTTGGACGTCTTCTGACTTTCTGTCATGTGCTTCGTCGATGCAATCATGCATTGGGGTCGATGCAGGGTGCTGGTGATAGCAGTGTAGACACTAGCCACCACAGCACTGTGCAGATAGACGAGGCGGTCGCTGATGGGCTTTCTGTCGTCCTGCGTTTCTGGAAACGAATACCGTATCTCCACGGGCAACCCTTCGTACCACGTTTCAAGGTCTCGATCGCGTCTGCCTACTTCGGTCGCAGTGGATGGCGACTTGGGGAGCAGTTTCATAGTGGCTTCGTGAGTGCCACCGATCTTCTGCGATGGCGTTGCGTATTGCAATGTCAAAATGTCTGCAATGATTTTGCATAGGTCGACCAGAGCAACACAGAGCCGGACCAGATTTGTATGCGTTGTTCCGCTCCCAACAGCGCACGCAGACCCAATCATGTGTTCGAAATCAGATAGGGAGGTGCATGCTTCAAAGTCCTCGATGTCCAACCCCTGCACGCAGCATTCTTCTTCTTTGATCCTCATCGTCCTCCGCATCCCAGATGCAACCAGCCGGTCACGCATATAGCAGCCCCACCATATTCGCTTCCAAAGTCGCTTCTCCTGGAGGGTGCCGGAATTCTCTTGGGGGACACAGTTGAGACCGACGGATCTGGCATCGGCCACTGCGATCCCAACCCAGTGCCAGATGTCTTTGGGATGATTGGGGCTCTCATACCAGTAAGTCATTAGTAGAACGCATTGTACAATCGTGACTCGATCCTCCTCGTAGTCGAGGTCGTAAAGCATTTTGACCTTCTGGAAATATGCTTTTTGGTAAGCACGGCGGTCTTCGTAGCCGGTAACGTAATTCATGTCGATGAATGTGGTGCCTGCAAACATAACGGCTTGAAGCAACATCAAGCTGATCGTGTCGTTTGGGTCATTTCTGTCAATGGAGCGTAGGAAGTCGCGGAGGTCGATGATGGGTAGCAGAGGGTGCACATATTGGATGTAACACCGAAGCAGCTCGTTACGTTGAATTGTGGCGGGGATATCGAAGGCGCCCTTCTTCTGAAGGTAGGCAAGGTCTTCGTTGGAAATATGTTTCGGGACCGGGCGAAGATAATGTGGCAAGACAACTTGTGGCACTTCGTCAAATGGTTGGTCCCGTTGCGGGGACGTATCGAACTGGTCGGATAAGCTATTCCACAATATGGATTCATCCGCTTGTTCAACGGTCACGTTGGGCTCCGATATAACCTCATGGATTATATCTACGAGATGGATTCAATCAGCGGGAACGCGGCGACTTTTGGCTGAGCCTAGCATACCTTTGTCAGGGCCATCACATTGAAGCTCACATCCCGGACCATCGGAAGGCGACGTGTTCTCATGCCAAGGTGTGCTTGCAGCCACCTCTTGCGAGAGGAGGGTTGCTGGCGTGATCGAACAGAATGTATCGACATAGTGGGACCTGATAATAACGTCAAGCCATATGTTTCTACACCAGGAAGAGGTACAATTTACCTGCGACGTTTGCTCTTTGGCACTTCGCATACTGTTCCATCCAGGCGGCAGTTGGTACAGGATGCTGGACGACGAAACATATAGTCACAGCGAACCTTTCGCTGGCGGCATTGAGTACACGCTTGTGAGGCTCGTCTCTTCACGGGCTTCGTCGCAATAAACCGGATTTCTGAGGGGTTCTGGGTTTTGGAAGCTTTTGTCTGAGTTGAGGTAGTCATGTTCGACAGTACAAATCAGGCATAAGAGAGAAAGATGAGGATAAAGCTGTTGTCCGCAAGGACCAGGGGAGTTTCGGTGAAGCTCCAGCCCTACAGGATTGACTTGCGGTAGGCGCGACGCCGCATTGACAGTGTGGGTCAGGAATACTCCCAATGGTGTGCGGTGACCAGGTCAGCCCTGAGCATGGAAGCAAGGCATGACTAGAAGATCCAATCTTTCCCAATAGGTCTTCAACAGTAAAATTATTTGAAGCCTCTGCGGGAGAGTCTCCTTGGAGTTTCGCAAGGACATCAAGGCCCCCACGCTTCCTCGGTTAACTGTCTCGGGAACAACGCCAAAGACGAAGGACCGGCGTAGTAGTTACAGAACGCTGCAAGACTTGGCCAGAGTACTTCACCTGTGTATAGGTATGCTCATGGCTAGTGAGTGGATTTTCTCATGAATAAAGACTGCATGGAGAACTGTGAGGTCTTTCGCATATTAAATGCTCTCATGGGGTTGGCTGAGCGGCGGTTTCTCGGTGTTTCGGTGTTTCGGCGCTGGTAGAAGGATTTAATAATTGCGTCTAAACAACCGCATATGGACTTCGATGTTTGATATTGCCCAATTTGGGATTAGCGTCATTCTGTACGCGACAATGCGGCATTCGGCCAACTTCCGGCCCACGAGGATACCAAGTCACTCTTTTCTCTTTCAGTTTGATCCTCATTGCCTCTGATACCCTTTCAATACCTGTCTGTCTACCAATCTATTTGTACCTCGTCGTCTCCTCTTCAGGCGATTCCTCCATCCCTCCACTTGAGAGTTGTATTTATAATAGAGTCTACCACAATACAACAAACACACTTGCCAAAAGTATCACCAAGGCCGAAGGAGCAAAGATCTGTGCCGCAGATGAGCTTGAAGTGGTACTAGAGCTCGACGTAGAGCTCGAGTTTGCTGCTGGAGACGGGCAAGAATCAAGCGTCGTGACGCTCACGGTCGAGCTGTTCTGACATTGGTCCGCCGGCAACAGAGTGGCGTTGTTGGTGAAGGTAATGTCAGCGCACTGCGTGTCAAACAATCAGCAAGGGTCCTCTAGAGATGCTCCGAAGCTATGCATACATTGTACAAGCCTTCACCATTATGACCAGCAGTTGCAAATTGAATGGATGCCTGCGTTCCCTCCTGGATCGGGAGGCCGGGCGGCAATGTTAGCTTGGGGAAGCAGAGGTTTCCCGGGCCAGTCTCATTCAGCGGAGCAGAGAACAGCGTGACATTGAAGTCAGAAGAGTTCACTCCGAACCCAAGGTTGATGAAGATGTAGGCGGCAGCGTCATGGAGAGTGACATTGAGAGATCCTCCGGTAAGAGGCCAGTCTGTGCGGGGAGTTGTTGAATTGTCCGAGATTCCGGCACCTAGAATTCCACGAGGTCTGTGTAAGTACCAGGTGATTCTCAGCAAAATGAATTCGTCACGTACAGGGGTAGATCCTCTGCGAGAATGGTAGGTCGAAGGAGTCAGCACGCCACTCAGGATACCAGATCTGGGTGTGAGCAGACACCAGCGAAACGAGGGTCGCAATTCCAAGACAGAGCAGAGAAGGCCGCATTTTGTCAATATCTGATCGAATGAATTTCGATAGGGCTCAAGTTTTGTCAGAGATCGACTGCTCTGTTCTCTTCACAAGAGCGAGTGCGAAGCATTTATGGGCGACATGCTTATCTTGCTCAAGCTCATTTCATGCTCCGACCTAAAGCTTGTCAAGCATGCGAGGGCTCGACGCTCCCTTGTTTGTTTGCAAGCCACAAGAATCCTTGGGCCTATCAAGAGAGCATTCGCTGTGGTCGTCAACGAAACTAGTGTGCAAGGCTAGCACCAAGCCGGAAGTCGACCGAAGAGTGAGCAAGTTTTTCTAAACACCACCCCTCTCACAAGAGACCAGCACCACGGTTATTCGGATGCCAACGCACTCTGCCATGTGTTTCGATATCATGTCTTCTGAGAAAGACAGCAGCAGCTCCCCTATTTCGCCCTCTACTCTTCTTCTTCTTCTCTTTTCCTCAAACTGTATCTCTAAACCAAGTCTGCTCGCCAATAAGTAGCCATGAGAGTTCCTCAAGTCACTTCTCTCATCGCTCTCATATTTACGCCACTCTGTGCTTCTCACTTTATCATCTTGACACCACCACCTCTCGGGAACAACATCAACAATGAGGACCAATCGCCCTGTGGCGGTTTCAGTCCCTCGAGCTCCGACAACATCACGGATTTCCATGTCGAAGGAGACGCCATTGGTCTCACATCCCTTCATGCACAATCGTATTTCGCCTACCGAGGGCTGCTGGGCACATCCCTATCGGCACCAAACTGGACTGTCCTGATCCCGACTGTGGAAGAGTTTGGGTTGAACAGTTTCTGCCAGCCTGCCTTATCAGTACCGACTTCGTGGGCAGGATCGCCCGGGCTGCTCCAAGTAATCCAAGATGCCGAAGACGGCGTACATTACCAGGTATGTAGTTCATCCACGACGCATTCGTCGTCAGGATGTTGAGCTATGGATCAATAAAGAATTGCCTGAGCTGATCGTTTTCAACATTTCAGTGCATGCATGTGAACTTCGTTGCAGGAACCGGCACACCGCCATCAACATGCAGTAATTCATCGGGTGTTTCTGCGCAGTACGCAGACGATCCCACGTTTGACTCTATCGAGGGTGTCAGCACCTCTGCGTCACCGACGCCGTTGACTCAACCTTCTTCTTCCCCAACCCAGGCAACGTCGCCATCCACGTCCTCGGCCCCAGCCTCATCCTCAGCCTCGGCGTCCGCTGCTTCTCCGACAATGAGATTTAGGATTGTAGAAGCTGGGATCTTGGCTGGGCTGCTAGCGGTGGCGCTGTGTGCCGGATGAACATAACTGTGGGGTCCTTTGATTTGACATGTTACTGGAATTGTACCCATCGCTAGTCCGTCAGGTCGCCGGTTTTCGGTCTCAGGATCCGTACAAGTACCTGCCTACATGGCCCAAATGCAAATTGATTCCTCCAATTAGTCTGATCGTTCTCGATGTCCTCGTGGAAGGAACTTGAAAATGGACTCTGACGAAATGACCATGATGACTTGTTTTGTGGCTTGTACACCGACCAAGAAAGTATGGAACAACCCCAAGCTATATTGCCTGTAGTGTAATGCCAAGTCTAACGTCTGGACAAGTCACAATGCCCCTTGAGCTGAGTCTAGACTTCTAAGTAGGTGGAAGAAGCTCTCCGCCCGTGCCTTGGCAGCTCTCTTGGCAAGAGCCAGGTTTCCGCCCTGCCGCCTGTGAACACGAACGGTTTTCAGCTCCTCTTTCCCATTCTCCTGGACTGAAGATCGCAGATTGCAATCCAAATCCATTGAGAACATTATGAAACAGAGAGACTTAAACATCATGGATGTGTGCAGGCAATCCTTTACGCCGGTCCCTCTCAACATACTGTGTCTTCAGCGATCCCGATTTCGCGAACGAAGATGTGGCTACCCTCACCAATTTGCGGCTGAGATAGCCTCCGAGCAGGCTTTCTTGGCCGTTCAATCACTGGATTTGTTCCACCTTCAAGCGATCAAGAGACTGAATGCCGGGCCGGCTCTCAGCCCAACAGAGTGAATACCCTTCTTTCTCCGGTGTCCATTTTTCAAAGGAAACTAAAGTCTTCTCTGGCACTGCGCTTCGTAGTATATCTTTCTCCATCCGCTATGTTTGTTGTCACTGTCAGGACCCTCTACTTGTAACCACCCAATACAGAGACAACGCTCACAGCTAAGATACCCTTTGAAATGGGACAATCTCGGCCTCGTTCTCGTGCAATTTCCTTTCTGCTCAGGGTCACGGCCCAGATATCATGGGCCGGATACGTGCTAGGTGCAGCCGTGCGATCAGAGACTGATTATTCCCATCCTTGCGCTGAAGTTGCAGCCAAATTTGATCTTGTTGGCGAGGGCATGGCTCCCCAGGGCACCGCGGTCTTCTCTGCTAATGCAATTAGGTGTCGCCACCTTACTCGAACCAGAGATTGCCTACGAATGCTTAAGCTCTGTGCCTATCATCCAAGAAGATGCGGAAGCATTGGTTGGTAGTCTTCGAGGCTATCTCGAGATGCAGAGCACTCTGGACTATTTGGCTGCTCCCACCACTGGATGGCTTTTCCCGCCTGTCGATATTATCGATATGCTGGGGCAAATTCGACAGAAGATTGCGAACTATGAATACTCAAGCGAGTACGACCTGCAAGTTGATCTGCATACAATGACACTGTTGGGGAAAGACGGCCATCTCACGACCAAAGGTCCTATGTTGACCGCGCTAACATTCCACCGACTCCAACCTGCAAATTACTTGGTCTCTCTGTCTAAAGATGGAATACAAGATCCATCGATATATCTCTTACGTATGCAAGTTCGAAGTTTCCATCCACATCTCGATAGCAATCGGGTCTCATCGTGATTCCCACGATCACAAAATTATGTTATAATCCCCTACCTCTCGACTCACAGAAGTCTCGCATAACCCGCGAAACTCGGTGTATAGACACTAATGTATGAAATAGGGGACAGATACTATCCGGGAGACTTTTATGAGCCAAGGCTACGATCTGGCGAAGGGTTTTCGGCAATCACAAAGATCAACAACCTTGACGTTCAGGAATACCTACAAGTGGAATCATTGACCGGCACATCACAAGACCTAGACGCCTTATATAACGGCATGATGTATCCCTACATGCAATTTGACGGCCCTGAATTTTACCCCGGGCCTTACACCAACTTTACATTTCAGAACGGCTCAACCAAATCGTTCAAAAATTACGCCAGCTGGGGGGACAATAATCTGACAGGAATTGCCGATGGATACAGCATGTACGAGCGATTTCTTGAAATTGCTAATCTCTGGGATGACTCCGGCTCGTCTGCCGCACGAGCAAGACGACAAGTGAAAAGGCAGACATTTGCACCCGCTCAGGCCTCTGACGATGCTGGTGCAATCATGGGGTATTGGGACGATGGCCTTCCAAGCGAAGTGGCCGTCGTCGTGATCTCCAGTTTTGCCCCTGACGACTCCGGTGGTTCAGATGTAAATTCCCAGAAGATCCTTCATGAAATCCTGACAACAGCAAAAGAGAAGGGCAAGGAAAAGCTTATAATCGACCTGCGGCATAACCCGGGTGGGTCGGTTCATTTATGCCTAGATACAATGGTGCAGCTGTTCCCTGACACTCCTCCGGATACCAAGTCCAGCCTGAGAGCCTCTGGGGCTCAGAAAGCCCTCGTTCACTACTACAGCGAACAAACCCGAATTGCCGAAGAGATAGATCCTAACACGGGCCTAGACGAAGCAGAAATCCTCGCCGAGGCCAACTACTCACCCTGGGCATACCAGGCGGTCATGTCGCCCGGAGCCAGGAACTTCGACAGTGTGGACCACTACTACGGCCCCTATCGTGAGGGTCCGGGGTATTTCACCTCTTACTTCCAGGAAAACTATACAAACAACGAATACTCTCTGATCGACCATTCAGACATGAATATAACTCAAGTGAGACCAGGGGCAGAATGGCCATTCAGGCCAGAAAACATGATTATCTTGACTGATGGGTAAGGATTACTCCAGGGGAATGAATAATGGACACGAATTTTTTGGGCCTCCGTTCAACGTGTCCTTGATCGCGACTGATATGCTAATATGTTGTCGCAGGATTTGTGCATCTTCATGCTCGATCTTTGTCGAAAACTTGAAAAACAAATTCCGTGTCATGAGCATCGTCGTTGGCGGCCGGCCGCAAACTGGTCCTATGCAAACAGTTGGCGGCGTGCGAGGCAGCAGACTCTTCCCATATGACCATCTGGCGAATCTGTCCATTGCATATGCAGATCAGACTACCGCCTACCCGGAATTCGCGGACCCGGAATTCGAGGACTGGGACTACGGACCAGCAGTGCGCTTCGGGGAGGGTCTTTCGGTGAACGGCTTCAACGCCTACCGCATCGGAGAACCGCACAATATTCCGCTACATTTCGCGTACGAGGCTGCTGATTGCAGGATCTGGTACACGCCCGAGATGATCGAGGACGACCGCGTGCTTTGGAACCGGGTGGCAGAGCTGGCCTTTACCAAACGGGCGGGATACGTTATTGAGTCGCCTTACTGCGTCGAGGGGAGCACCAAGCACCCGACCAGCATAAGCGGCGGCGTCAGGCAGGGAGATCTGGGCCCGCAGACGCCGCCTGAGAACGCCTTTCCACACTACACCGGATGGATCGTGAACGGCACGAAGATCACGCAAGAGAATCTGGGCCGTGCGCATGGAGTTGGGCCCGGTGCGGACCAGAGCAGCGACGACAACACGCGCGTCGACCCCATGGCCTTGGAAAATTTCAAGGCCCTGTGTTCACAGTATATCACGGAAGATCAATGGTTTCTGAAACTCATGTGCCTGAATATACAGTGATCGAATGTGATACGTTGTGCTGTTTGTGGCTGTTGGATGAAAACGTCGTGTCGAGAATGTCCCAGACATTGTGGATAGGGCCAGGATAGCCCGCCCTTAGAAGAGGATATCAGCCTCAGAGGCTGGTTGATATTGTATTTAATCCTAGAGTGTCCCGTAACAGCAGGAGTGGTAGGATATTCCATACTACATGGCTGTTAAAAATAACGTCATCTCTGCCACTTGTAGACAGTAGGTTGCCTGAATTATAGCCATCTTCAACCCAGCACTAGGCGTCAGGACGTTGAATACCTTCTCCGTCCGCTCATGACCGCCAAGATTCATCGTGTATGGAACGTTCCAGTCTATCAGGGCCGCCGGCTAGGTGGACATGTGATCATCTTTTCGGTCGTGAGCTCTTAGAGTCCAGCACCATGGCGCCTGCGTGATGCGATTATAGGATGAAGAACGAGCAAGACATCTAACAACTCGAACAATATCAGTGCCTCTATCACCCACAAGAGCAAATGCTATCCGTCCGTTTTCGCATATGTCAATTCCACAAAGTCATGCTTCAAATCTGGATCGGACTTGAGATCTTCCAGATAGCTGCGGATCCTGGCCACCATGGAGGGGACATCGAAGCCAAAATACTCGTACGCTTTTGGCCCTGGCAGTGATTTGCCAAATCGCTTGGTGCTCATACAGACAGCCGCATGCGCGTAGCGCTCCCAACCATTAGCGGCGTAGGCCTCGATTACCACGACGGGGACACCGCTCTGTCGTCGAAGCACCTGGCGTTGATATGCTCTCGGTTGTGCTTCGAAAAGCCGCTGGCACGGGAACGATACGGTGCGCACCTTCAGGCCATGGGAGGTACGCAGCCCGGCCGCGACACTGATGGCGAGGTTGAGCTCGGCACCGACGCCAATCAAAGTGAGATCGGCCACTCCGGTGACTTCTTCGAGGACATAGGCGCCTTTGGCCACTTCGGTTCTTTTCGTCAAGCCAGTGAGCTGTGGGAGAGCATGTCGCGACGTGGAAATGATGGAAGACATGTGCTTTGCTTTGATTGCCTCTATCCAGGCACCGGCCGTCTCTTCGCTGTCTCCGGGTCGAATATACAGCAAGTTCGGCATCGTCCGGTATAACGCTGCAAGTTCGATTGGCTGGTGCGTCGGACCATCTTCGCCCATACCAACAGAGTCATGCGTGGCAGCGTGGATGACTTGCAGGTGCTGCAGAGCTCCCATTCGTACTGCCGGCGCGGCATACAGATAAAACATGAAGAAACTGACACTCGCCATTAGCACAGTGCCAGAGAGGGCTGATCCACTGAAGCCACCGTCTTACCTAGATGTGACCGGAACGAACATGCCGGGATAATAGGCTGCCAATCCATTGGACACCGCAGCCATAGCATGTTCTCTAACACCATAGTGGATGAACCGCCCAGAGTAACTTCCGGTTCCTAGGGATGGGGGCTCGAAATCTTCTTTGGACTTCCAGCTCATGTACACTGACGGAGACAAGTCAGCAGTGCCAACCATGAACTGGTCAAGTCTCTCAGCGAGCGGATTAAACACAAATCCGGACGCAGCGCGGGTCGCTGTAGATTTTGCAGGGAAAGACTGTGGAATCAGAGACTCCCAGTTGTCCGGTAAGTCGCCCTTCATGCGTCTTGCATATTCGTCGGCTAGATCAGGGTACGCTTGGCTATACCGTTGGAGTTTTTGATTCCACTCGGCCACCAGAGACTGCCCTTGGGACGGGAGAGCACTGAAAAATTCTCGGACCGAGTCTGGGATGATAAATCGCTGTTCTGGATCGAAACCATAGAGGCTTTTGAGAGCCTTGACGTTCTCCGCCCCCAGAGCTGCCCCGTGCGCGACGGCGTCCCCAGCGACGGCGGTGTCAACGCCGATGACGGTGTGGCAATTCACAAATGTTGGCAGGGCGGATTCACGAGAAGCCTCCAGAGCCTTTACAATGCCCCGGACATCCCAGCATCCGTCGGTGATCTCGATCACGTTCCAACCACAAGCTCTCATTTTAGCATTGACGTCCTCGGTGTTTGTTAGACTGACCGGTCCGTCGCAGGTGATCTGATTATTGTCGTATATCACGGTTAGGTTGTTTAAACGCATATGACCCGCGAAAGAGATGGCCTCGAGCCCGACTCCCTCCTGAAGACAAGCGTCGCCGACCATGCACCAAACGTGGTCCGACACTATGTCGAAGCTCGGTCGGTTGAACTTGGCTGCTAGATGCTTGGAAGCCATGGCTAGTCCCACCGCATTGGCAATACCCTGACCGAGTGGCCCTTCTCATAAGTTAGTGTTTTGCCATATCTTGTGATTCCAGCCACTCACCCGTGGTGACCTCGATGCCTTCGTGCTCGATCTCAGGGTGACCGGGGCAAAGGCAGTCCGTCCGATCCGAGTGATAGGACTTCAGTTGTTCCAAAGTCATGGCCTTGTAGCCGGCCAAATGCAAAAAGCAGTACTGGAACAAGCAGGTATGGCCATTGGACAGCACAAACCTATCGCGATTGACCCAATCTGGAGTGTGAGGTGCGTAGCGCATCACGTATCTCCATAAAGCGACGCCAATTGCGGCCATTCCCATAGCCCCTCTAGTTGGAATTTAGCCTCAGTAGTTAGAAAGACAGCAAACAAGATCACCATACCCTGGATGCCCGCCTCCAAATTGTTGACATAGGTCGGCGATGAGGACTCTGAAACTCTTCAAAACAAATTCTTCTTCAGTGCTTAGCTGAATTGAGACGTTTGTCTTTGATGCTGTCTCATCTTTTTTCTCGCCATTGACCAGTCTGTAGCCTGGGCTGGGAAGTTGCATCGGCTGTCCCTCGACGGGAACAGCAATGGGGCTCATGCTGCTTCGTCCCAGTCACCTATTTAGAACTGTAGTGAATCCTGATAGGAGTAGTGAAAAGAAGAGAATTGTCGATTGAGGGCGTGAGTAGCATGCCCGATTGTTATGAAATTCGATGAATTCGACGACGTTCATCCTTGTTTGTGAACAACGGTTCGCAATCGTACCACATGTTGGCTCGCAGTATTTGGTTCGAGTAAGAAGTACTCGACCCTTGCCCAGTCAGAGACGCCGTCAAACGTCTTGCGGCACCGGATGAGCCCATAAGCTCAGCACAGCCTGGACGTGGTCCATCTAATCGAGACATGCAAGTGTAGGCTCTAAAATTTCGGAATAGCATACCGGCTGCGCAAGAGGACGTGTGAAGGAGCGAGGCGGGGCCTCTTGGTGGGTACGTCTTAGCCGCTGGGCAGATACGCTGCCTATTTTGGCTTGTATAGGAAACAATAGCCACCGGCCTAAAGCCACACGGGGTCGTAATCCGTGCCCGCCGAACTCCGTAACCTCCTCAACGGAGCATCGTCATGAACCTGTTTTCCAACTACCGCGAACAATCAAAGTTAAACAATCGTGGCGGGTCATTGCCACGTCTACGATCCATCAAGATCTGTCTCTGAGGTGAGATCCAGATTGTGTTCCGAGTCTCTCCTTGGCTTCCAGGTCCAATATTGCGATACGGAAGAAATAGAGGTAGAGGGCGTTGCTAAATACCCCTTCAAGCGTCTTCAGAATACCATCCTGAACCCCCAAGACCTTTCGCGTTGAGCCGACAGGAACTGCAGACCTAGCCTGCTATTCAAACGCTATGACTTCGGACACGGTCACTCTAGCCTCGGGGCACAAGATGCCTTTGGTTGGCTTTGGACTATGGAAGGTCCCAGCTGAAAAAGCAGCCGACACTGTTTATCACGTGAGTTCCGAAATAGATGTTCTTCCCATCCCGGCGACGCTGATGTTTCCTCAAAGGCTATCAAAACTGGCTATCGACTGTTTGACGGCGCATACGACTATCAAAACGAAAAGGAGGCTGGTGAGGGCATTCGCCGTGCCATCAGCGAAGGCCTGGTCCGGCGCGAGGACATTTTCGTCACCACTAAGCTCTGGAATAACTACCACCAACGGGATCATGCCCTGGCTATGGCCAAGGCACAGAATGAGGCCTGGGGTTTGGGATATATCGACTTGTACTTGATCCATTTTCCGATCGCGCTCAAGTATATCGAGCCCGAGAAATTGCGATATCCGGTGAGTGTGTCACTTACGAGGGCCCCTTGGCAGCCAAAGCACTAACCGAACAGGCTTGGTGGATGGATCCGGAGCAGAAGGTGATTGAAAGAGCCAATGTGCCTATTCAAGAAACGTGGCAGGCATTGGAGGAGGTCGTTGACCAAAGGATCGTCAAGTCTATTGGGATCTCGAACGCCCAGGCGCAGACGCTGTATGACATTCAAACATACTGCCGGTATCCGATCTCTTCTCTCCAGATTGAGCACCACCCATATCTTGTGCAACAAGATCTTGTCGAGCTGGCGCAAGAGGAGAAGATCGTCATTACCGCCTACTCGTCGTTCGGACCGCAGAGCTTCTTGGAGTTGCCCGCGGCGTTTCGAGAAAGAGCAAAAGACACGCCCCTTCTTTTCGACGTCGATGTGGTCAAGAAAGCAGCGGCCAGATCAAACAAGACCCCGGCTCAGGTGCTGCTGCGATGGGCGACACAGCGGAACATAGCTGTCATCCCGAAGTCCAACCATGTCGAACGCCTCAAACAAAACTTGGAAGTTGGAGGTGGCAGCTTCGACTTGACGGAGGAGGAGATGCGTGCGATAAGTGCTCTGGACAGGGGCTTGAGGTTCAACGATCCTGGTTTCTATCTCCACAAGCCATTACGTATTTTCGCGTGAAGATGGTTGGTGTGGGATATTATTAGGTCATGACTGGGTTGTTTCTCTTATGGCTTCTACACTCATTGGATCCTCAGGACTAATTAGGCTGTCAATTATCGTGGATCTCGAGATTAATTGGACTCATACCAAAATCTATTCTAGCATTGAACGTTGAAAGTCAACCCGAGCTCCCTGAGAATTTAATCTAGCCCTAAACTCTCCTACAGCACAATCTCCTGGTTATCCACGATTTGGACCTTTATGCTCCTTTTGGTCGGATCAGCGCAGACTTTCATTGCCTCAACGGCCTCTTCCAGCGGGAATGTGTGTGTCACCAAAGCGTCCAAGTTCAGCACCTGACCATTGGTGAGAGCGTTGATTCCAGCAGGCCAGGTGTCAGAGTATCGGTTGATGAATTTGAGTTGGATCTCTGCCAGACTGAGATGCATAAACGGGAGATTGTTCATAATACTCCGACCAACCCCGACCACCATGACGACTCCGGCTCGCCGACAGCTGTACGCGGCGGTGACGACACTCGATTCCACCCCGGTACATTCAAGGACTGTGGTCGGGGCCTGATACTCGTGGTCGTCCGGGATACCCTTTTCAAGATCGCGACTGCCGGCACAGCCGAACAGTAATCGTATCTCCTCCGATGCTTGCAGAGGGCTCTTCGAAATCTCGACTCGGTAGGTTTGACATCCTGGAACAAATTCTCTGGCGAAGTCCAAGCGTGATTCCTCGACATCCGTGATCACCAAAGGCCATGCCCCAGACGCTCTCGCTGCAGCCAACGCGATCAAACCAATAGGACCGGCGCCACAAACCAGGACTGGCTGACCGATTCCTATCGATCCTTTGCACTGTCTGATGGCATGTAGAATGACTGATAACGGCTCCAGTAGCGCGCCCTGCGCGAAGGTCATACTGTTGGGAAGTTTATGACAATAACGAGCCTCGTGTGCGAGAAACCGCCTGATCGTTCCGCCGTGGCACACTCCGGAGAAGACAACACTTTCACACAAATTGTATTTACCAGATGTGCAAAGGAAGCAGGTCTGACAAGGAACTTGAGGCTCAATCGCCACCCGATCCCCCGGTGCAAGATGCGTGACTGATGAACCGACTTCCAGTACCACACCGGAGGCTTCGTGACCCAGAATGTGCGAATGACTGACAACGAGGGGCCCAATAGCTCCTCGATGCCACAGATGAAGGTCTGAGCCACAAATACCCGTGGCACGAATATGAACTAAAACTTCGGTTGGTCGTATCTTTGGTATTGAAGTTTCCTTCATGTGAATTCCGTGCTCCGGCGTAACAAATAAGGAAGGGTTCTTGTAAGAAGCGAATTTGGAAGCCACGAGATCAAGACATGGAGTCGCAACGTCTCCGTTGGAAATTTCCGTTACACTTGCGACGAGCTTTTTGGTGGCAGGAATGTCGCCATTGAGGAGTTGAGAGCCTGTGAGGCTCGCCGAAGGCGCCATCTTTGGAGGTTCTCGACACGAGAGGTTTGAAACCGCAGAAGACTCTTTCAATTGAGTATACCAGATATCAGGCCGAACGATATCGAAGTCTTTGAGACAGGGAATGAATAAAACACGTCTGCGAGCAGAGATCCAATACTGGTAAAGCACGACCGTGGCAGAAAAGAAGCAACTACGAGTGTAGGCTGAGGACCGTGCGGGGGCAATTTCTGCACTGGTGTAATTCCTTTGCAGACATTGGATTGAGCCGATGAACGGAGTAGACAATCCCGTGTCTGATGGTCCTCATGGACATTATTGGCGATGGTATCGGGAAAGCGTCCGCTTGTGCATCTGGCTCTCACATACCTCGGATCTCGTCGTGGGAGGGAAGGGCCCAGAAAGCCAGCGACCCTCGCACGCACGAGACTAGGTAGGCTCCGGGCTAGCAGGCTCCACCAAGCTTACTGCTTCAGGCATCATTAAGCATCAGTCAACTGCCGGGGTTGTCAAGCTTCGATGAGCCCCCTTCATGTCGTGCGACATCGTAACTCGTAGCTGGGGTAAAAGCAGAGTTCCACCACAAAATATTCTGCATAGGCACCACTCTTTGGTTTCACAGACACTTGTTGGTCAGTGGTAGCTCCTCGTGCGATTGCTCATGCAGGAACAATCAGGGCATTCTACAACGCCCATCCTGTCTCAACATCTCGAGTCAAGAAATCATCAGCTAACTAAGGCGGCACACCCACCCACGCATGATGCTCCCGTTCACTATTGATCCAGGCCCTGAAGACAAACTTCAACCAACGCAAGGAGCCAGAAAGCGATACTACTCCACAGACGCTGCATGCGACGCCAAACTGCTGGCAGAGGTTGAGGTCAGCTGATCCCACAGGAGGCACCGAATAGATCGTATTCTTCAGCCGTTGGGTTAAATGCTAATACTACTCTTTCCTTCCAATAGCGCTATCTACGCAGTTGACTCTATTCCCAGAATACTTGGATATCTTTGGCTCGGCCTCCACGTGGCTTCCTCCACTGATGCCGCAGCCCACTCGGTAATTTCCAAGTGTGTTATTGTTCACCCATGCCTCGCTGTTGGTTGTTAGGGAGAATTCTTCTCGCCTCCGGAACACAATTTGCGTTCGACCCACTGATTGCCGATATATGTCACACATCTTAGACTATTGGGCCACAGTGTACACAATCAGGTGTTACCCACTCGTAGACGAGATAACAGGAGTCTTTGATCTTTGCGGACAAGGTCCACATTGGGAAATAGTTGGCGAATGTCGCGCCTCCCCGGCTAAAATTGTTTGGCTGAAGACCTTGTGGTGCATCGACTCTTCCCCGATCTATTCAGAAGGTGCGAGTGGCCATATCTGGTGCTCTCAGGTAGGCAAAGGTCTCCACTCTCGACATAGAGGGGTGGAAGCATTTCAGTGACCTCAATCAGTTGCCTCAACAAGGCGGCACGTAGGAATGCCAAGGAAAAGGTCCGGGTCGAGTAAACAAAGTTGTCTCCCTATGTCAGGGCCGCTTGTAAGATTCTCCATAAGAGCTCGCGCATTGGGGCCGCCAGAGCAGCGAGAGGCAAAGGCAGCGGACAAACAAACTCGAGAACCGAGGACGTTGTTGCGACCGGCGGAAATCCGTAGTTGAGCTCCTACAAACTTCCGCAGTCCACGCCACTGAACGGTATCTATGGGGAGTTCAACAGCCACTTTCCAAGTTTGAAACTTGGTGCGCCGATAGTTCACAGAACTCACAGATGGTAATATAGCAAATATAATATCAGCGCTCTAGGCTCTGCATCATTCGGACGGATTACTCGTCGGTATTTGGCCGCTTCGCCTCTGAACGTGTGCATACTTACTAGTGATTCAGCTATACTCCGCACTATTCCAGGGGGTTCGCCCGGGGTAACGCATGACTTTGCCTGGGGCAGTACCACCCACGTCTAATTTGGGGATACAAGGAGAACCAGGAGCGCGAAGCAACGCTTCCCTGTCAGGAGACTGGTCTGGTACTGTGGCTGCAATTACCTGTCCAGGAGATTTCAGCCTCGTGATTCCTAATTTGCTCTAGTGGCCGACAGTTGTCTCCACATCTCTAGCCACAGTAAGCACCATCAACCCGCTCAAACCCTGGAGAGAAATTTCGGCAATTCCTCCGCCTTCGCTTGCAGACCGCGTTGCCGTTGCCCATGGGGTCTCGAATCCGAATCTGGTTCTAGAAAAGGGCCTACATAGTCCCTTCTTGCCGCTGCTACACCATGTCCCTTGAACGTTCCTGACCTTCACCCACCGAACCCAGCTGTTGTTTATCAAGATCTTCTCTACCTGTCCCACCATCCATGGAGAACTCCAACATCTCCCAACTCGGGGCGGACCCTGAGAGGCAATCCGTCGAAGTTGTGGCGAAAGAAAAGCTCAGCGTTGATCATATGGAAGTCACTCCAGATGAACAGCTCGGCCACCTGGCCAACCAGGAAGACCACGAGTTGGGTGTCTGGCTGTCTCTGAAAAGATATCCTTGGTCTTGCGCTTGGTGTGTCTATGCTTGCTGGTCCATCATCCTTGCTGCGTTTGAGGTCCAGGCAGGAGGGTCGGTCCTTGGGATCCCGGAATTCCGCAAAGACTTTGGCTCTTCCTTCGACGGCAACTATGTCTTGCCGGCAGATTGGCAATCGGCCTTCAATGCGGCCCCCGTCGCGTCTGCCATCTTCGGTGTGCTTGGTGGCGCCACTATTGCCGATATTATCGGGCGCAAATTCACTTTGATCGGCGCATTGGCAATCAGCTTCGCTGCAATCAGCGTAGAATTTGCCGCGACGACCAATCCTGTTTTCTTCGGCGGCAAGTTCTTGAATGGCTTTGCGGTCGGCGCCATTCAGGGCGTCATGACGACTTATGTTGGGGAGGTATGTCAATACATTATACCCCCGAGCTCTCGAATTCTTGCTGACCAACAACTTAGATTACACCCCATGCTTGGAGAGGCATCTTTACTGTTGGCATTGGAGTCGCCTTTGGCGTACGTGTTCTTCCTCTTTCCTTCTCCTGCGATTGTCTGGGACTATGAAGACCTCCCCGAACTTTCAAAATCAAGATGCCGATACTGACTCCACGTCGCAGATTGGCCCTCTCTTGGCCTTCATCATTGTCAATTACACTGGCGATGTCGACACTCGTTGGGCCTATCGTGTGGTTTTCTGCTGCCAATACGGCTTCGCGGGTGTCTCGGCACTTCTATCCCCCTTCATGCCCGAGTATGTAAATTTCGTCACTCCCTCTCCTGATAGCGACCGTCGCTGATCCTTTGTGCCTTCCAGATCTCCCTGGTGGCTCGTTTCAAAAGGCAAAAATGAAAGGGCGCTTAAGAGTCTCGCCAAACTCGGTCAGAAAGGCGAGGAGGGCAGGAAGAGGCTGGCACTCATTCAGTTGACACTCGAAGAGATCAGAAAGGAAACCGAGGGCGTCACTTACCTGGAATGCTTCCGACGGTCCAACCTTCGACGCACAATTATCAGCATTGGACCCTTGATCATTCAAGTGCTGACGGGGATCACCTTCGTGGCCGGGTACTTCACCTACTACCTCCAACTCGCGGGCTATTCTGCGAAGGAGAGCTTCCGAATCCAGATTGCGCAGCCGGTGTTGTCCATTGTGGGCAATCTCATGGCGGCGTATTTGATCGACAA